AAGAAATGCATGCAGAAGAAAGTTCAAATTGATATATCATTACGTACCTTGGCCGTTAACGGTATACCAGCACACTTTTGGCAATTTCCTTTCCAATTGTTTCTAGATCTTTTGAGCATTACCATTTGGAAATGCTATTTTCTTCAATATGTCCCAACAATCATCAACAGATAGACTTCCCAAAACATACATTGGATTGGAAGTATTTTTTTTCATGATTGATGCAACACTGGCAATGCGCGTAGTGACAATAACGACGCTTCCATGGGCACTATGAAGTTTTGATAAACAAGTCACCAAATTGCTCCATTTTTGAGGATCTTCGTTCCACACATCGTCGAGAACGAGAAAATATCTCTTTTCTTTTAATTCTTCTATAAGGTTTTTAAGCAGTGCATCTTGGCTTTGTATCCCAGCCTTTGTTGGGTTAAGACATTCTAATGTCGAGCTTAAAATCGACTTGACCACGAAAGTATCAGATACACACACCCATATTTTTTATTTATCAAAATGCCTACCAATAGAATCATCATTGAATACTGACTTAGCCAAAGTTGTCTTCCCTAGGCCTCCCATTCCTACAATGGGCATTACTGAAAGATTTTCTTGATCCAAGTTGGAGTTAGTCAAGATTGTAATTATCTTTGACAGATCCTCCTTCCTTCCAACCACGATTTCATCTTCCTCAAAGATTGAGTCGGTTTCTCTGGCCCCTACAATTTCTGGAGGGGTTGCATCTATTTTCTTGGAAACCAGTCCAATGAAAGATGCCTCAAATTTGAGATCCAACAAAGATGCTTTGATGCTCTTGATTTTATGTGCCATGTTTCGACGAAACAAATAGGGATTGGAGCTTGAAATGAATTTGCGTACCTTTTCCCTCTTTTGGTTTGGCTGTTCTACTTGCCTGCGGAGATCTTCGTAGTTGATTTCATCCAAGACATTGTCAGCATCATGCTATGTCTCTCAGTTTCCTCACCCACTCCTCCACTGCCTTGCCCCGTTGCTGTGGCTGGTGGGCAACATCGCCTAAGAAATCTTGAATCGCGAGTAACGATTGACGAAGCTTTGTCAGTTCCTTTTTGAATCCCCGGAACAGACTTATTTCTTGAGCAGCAAGTGAAGCCAGCTTGTTCAGTATTCCCTCGACAGGAAAAGTATAGAGAACTTCTAACACCTTTCCAGCTTCCATACTCGCGCGAGACAGAGATGAGAGAGCAGAGAATGCAAAGATAGCTAAGGAAACCAGATGATTGAAGACGCACGTACAGTGTTCCAGTGTTTTGAGTGTTTCTCTCTCCCCCGTAAAATGTGCTTTAAAATTTGAATGACATTTAAATACATTTAAGAGATAGTGGTTAAGTATTTTGTACTTTAATAAAGTGTAAAGCAATCCCACCAGAATTTCTTTATTGATTAATATCCTTTTAACTTTAATAAAGTGTTTTTATACTTTATTGTTGGATGAGATTCCCATTGCTTTAATTTTCACCAGAAAGAAAAGATTGATGCAATACAACATTGATGCTATGAGTCTGAGGTTAGTGGCAATCATGGTTCTTCCGAACAACTCATGAAGATCACAAATGAGCAACTCTATTTTATATGTAGGTAGGTATCGCTTTCATGTAACTCATCCCATCCATAGATCTAAACCCTAAGTAGAGACATACTAGAGTAACGAAAAACTCCATAAATGCATCCATAGATCTAAACAAAAATGACTCTTATTATCACTTCGATATTAATTTAAACCATCTTTCTTTTAATCTTTGCGGGAGACAAGATGCAGGGCTTGAATAGCTACGAAAAGTGCTTCTGCGCCTCTAGAAGTTGATTTAAAGCATTTTTCGTCGTTAAACTGCACCACAACAAACAAATTGACAATGTGATGCAAAACTCATAAGAATATAACTCAGATTTGATGATGAGTGTCAAGAAAACAAGTTAAAGGGATCATAGCTTACCATTTTGTCCAAAACAATAAGTTGTAGACCACAGGCACATTGCGTGCATGCGTTTCTTTTTCAATCTCTACTCTGCAATGCATAGTCAATATAAAACCAAGACCAACTTAGCAAGAAATGTTCAAAATAACCTTCAACTTTTCAAATGGCGGTAAAAAGGCTTATAACTGAAGATTTCTTTACCTGAACATTGCAATAAGCATAGGTAAATGACATGCTATCCGATAAGACTCGCTAATGTAGGTGAAATTTTATCATGTAACTTTAGGAACAGAGGCCTCTGTTCTGTGTGATCATATGCAACCATGCAAGAGTCCATGACCTGAATTATAGAAACAAGAAGGTTAGGAAAATGGATACTCAAGGTCAAGGGTACTCTAAGATACTCAAGGTAAATAAAAAGAATTAATAATTCAACATCAACAAATGATAATACCATATATTGGTTGCATTATGCAGTATACAAAAGGTTAGGCAGCATACTGAGTGTTGATTCCAGTATCTCTCCATGCATGGAAAAGAGAGAAACTAAAATCTGAAACAGAAAATTACAAATGTTGTAACGACACCATGTATGCATATAAACACCTGCAATTGTATAAGTTAGCAGAGTAGGGTAGTGATTTCCAAAGTGTATAATTGATTACAAAGGGAAGTTTGTGCAATTTGGAACTGAATGTACTACTTAGACTTAGAGTCGCTGCTCATTACAATGATGGACATTCAATGGACACATCAAGGTAGTAGATATCTTCCAGTGCCAGGAATGCACCGAGGACGTGAACTAAAATCAATTAATAACTGCAAATAGACAGTTCTTCAACAAATTAGGCTCCCCGATCACTCTGGTAAATCCTCCAATTCATTAAATGTATATAAACTACTACTACTACTACTACTACAGACCGTGTATACTTGGAATTAACAGAGACTGACATAGACTTACTAACAACATGTCTGTGGCAAGCATATGCTAAGTGAGATTTGGTTACTAACAAATGCATTAGTAATTTATTTATTTCATATCTGGACTCAATGTGAAAATTATTTATTTACAGTATAAAAATGAGAACTTTTTTTGTCCACCGGCACTCCTTTATGTTTTTTAATATTTTTGTAATTACCATAAAAAGGCGGTGAGAATTACCATTAAATGAGAGCAGTAGTCCCCCCTCATTTGTGTTTTAAAAAATGTTATACATAAGTTAATGTCTACAATATTGTTGTTGGTTAAAATGAAAATTTGAAGTTCATTTGCAGTTCAATAAGAATAAATGACCAAATCCTAAATGATTTACCTTGTTGATAGAAATGATATTTACTCTGAGATGTAGAAAGTAAAGGAATTTTGTATTGTTTAGGAATTATAAATTTCCAATTTCAAATGCTTAACATTGTAACCTCCAATTTCAAAACCTGCTCCTGCAAGTGAAGATAGGAATGCTTATTGGGCTGCTCTCCAACTTCAAGTCGAAAGTAGGACAAGTAAAAGTGATCTCAGGTTGCATTGCATTTGTCTCCCTTCCCTTATGCGCTATTTCTCTTCCAACCCAGTGTTAATGTAAAGATCATTGCCAGCACCCAATTGCATTTCATTTGTCTCCCTTCCCTTATGCGCTAACTACATGTAGTTGAGTTTTCAGTGGTCATAGGAAAGAGCAAAAGCTAGATACAAGTAGCCATGCCACGCTGCACGCACCTAGTGAAATGTCTTTGGATGATCGAATTATAAATGGAGATTTTGAAGCAATCTGTATGTAAGTTTTATGTCGAGACCATATAGGCTAATAAAGTTTGACGTGTGAAATTTTTGTGATTCTGAAAACAACCCAATGCAAGTTGCAACTACACTTTTGATGTGCCAATGCCAAGCGGAGTAAGGAATTTGTCACATTTAATTTAACTCTCTAGTTCGAGACCACAAACCAAACGCTAAAAGAAAAGCAATAATAAACAGGAAGAGGAAGATAAAGTAAAAGCATAAACACAAAAAGAACACACCATATTTAACGTGGTTCACCCAAAGTCGGGCTACATCCACGGGCAATGATGCCAACGATAATTCACTTAATCAAAAGGGTACAAAGAGTACGACAAGAAAGAAAATAGGTTCTCACCATCAAATTAAATTTATCTCGCTTCTCTCATCCCATTATTCCCTATAGAAATAGAACCCCAAGGGTACATGCAAAGGTCACTCGTAAAAGCACTTCAACTATATTTCTTCGAAGAGACAGGTTAGACAGCATATGAGTATTGATTGCAGTATCTCCTTGCCTGTAAAAGAGAAAAATTAAAATTTGAAACAGAAAATTACAGATGTCACACCAAGGACTCATAAAAGCAAAGCAATTCTGTGAAACTAATAACTAAAAGCTGAAGTGTCTTGCCTGTTGTGTAAGCGCATCAAACTTAAGTGCATTGAGATTTAACAGAGGTTAGTATCTACTTAATGATAGATGGGAATGTATGATATGCTTATTAGGGTAATTCTTTCTTCTTCTGCTTTGATCTCCAAAGAAATGACTAAATAACGATGTCGAGGAAAGGGAACTGAAGTGAAGTGCCTGGACTAAGTTTGCACCTAATGCGCATTATTTGTTCTTCCAATTGCGTAAGATCCTTCTGCAAAACAACAACGTATATAGGAAGATATGGAAAACATTAAGCAGAGGCTATAGAAGAGTAGAAAGCTCTGAAAATCTAGTTTAATGATTAATCTGATGAGAGAAGAAGAGTAGACTCACTTCGTGCTCCAACTGTGCTAGCTAGTTTGTGAAGGGGTCGAATCATCATCACTAAAAGATTCCGATGATTCGCATCCGTCAACTAATTAAAAATGTGTTGGGTCAATAATACTGAAGAAAAGAAGGAGATTCTTCAACAAGTATTTTATGTTAGAGGATTGTTTACATATTTCTAATCTCCATATTAAATCTATCAAGACATCTAATGAATGCAATCTGAGATTAGAAATATGTACCCAATTATGAACTTATGGAGAATTAAGTGAGAGAAGGGAATTGAATGATTTCATTTGAGAATATTGTAATTACCATCGATACGTGGAATGAGAGAAATCTTGTGCCATTCTGGGCCGCTCTTGAGGGCGGATCTTCCCCCTAGACGGGGGCATGCCTCAATCACTAGCTCTTGCAGTTTGGTGAGGCGTTGTATAACTTCAACGGCAGGAAGAGACACCAGATTCTTACAATGACTGATACTCAGGGTGGTAAGAGATGTAAGGTTACCCAACCACTCTGGAAGAGCCTCCACACCATCGAAAGAATCAATCTCCAAAGATGTTAGAGAAGTAGTCAAGTGTTGAATTTGTTGAGGCAGAGACTTGAGCCTAAGATTAGGCCACCCTTTCATCACTAGTCTTTGGATTTGTGAAGGAAGCTCAAAATCAGGGAAAGAATCGAGCTCCTCCGAAAATGGACCCATTTTCATAGATTCTAAACACGTAAGAGAGCGTAGCCCCTCTATTGGCAAATAGTTTAATTTCCCACAATTAAATATATGTAAAGAGGAAAGAGACTGCAACCTGGATATATCGAGATCTGCCAGAGATATCAAATTGTCGCATGACTCGATTCTTAACTCCTTAAGAGATGTGCAGGATGGTAGCCCACTCGGTAGACTTGTCAATCCATGACAACCCCGAATCTCCAACTCCTGAAGAGAGATGCAATATTCTAAGCTAGTCGGCAAGCTTGATAATTTCTGACAAAACTGAATCTGCAATTTGCGGAGACATGGCATGCCCTTGCCCAGGGTAATTGGAATGAACTCGAGACTATAGCAAAACTTTATAGTCAACTCCTCAAGGCAGGGAAACACCGCTACTTTCTCATCTGTTGGCAGTTCCTCCCATTTAATTAGAGCTGGGCAATAATCAATAGTTAAGCTTTTCAATGCTGGAAACAAAGTCTCTTTCTTCTTCGTACTCATAACCGCACCGTTAACATGGTTATAACCATAAAACTCAACTCCCACACATTTAAGGTTATACATACAGCTAAACTCAACAACCCTAAGATTTGGTAAATGGCCAAGTGATGGGACTTGTTCACATTCTCTGCAATTAATTAACCCAATCTCTGTCAAATTGAGTGGCAACAAACCATTCATCATCCATGATGCTAATTTGGTACCCATGAATTTGTAAATCTTTATGATTTCTAACTCAGAGTTGGGTCGGAGGCCTTCTAGTACATCAATGTCTTTCTCTTTTCTGACACTGTAATAAAAGCTCCATTCTAATGTCAACCTTCGTAGATTTGCTTTCCCAACTAAATTTGATGCCCCTGCTTGGCCTCTGTCCCTCACATGTTCCAAACCTCTAATAATTAGTGCACCTTTTAGTTGGTTTAAGCCACCTAGCTCGTCAATTCCACGATTACTTTCCTTGTCCAAAGTAAACGAAGGAGAAATTGTTTGCAGATGTTCAAATCGTCCCATCCCAAATGGAACTGGCATATCATAATTAAAATAAACATGCCTCAAGTTGATCAAATTTTCCATTTCCTTTGGAACCGTTTTAAGATTCCATGTATCCTCCATTCTTAACGTCTGTAGGTTATAAAGCTTGCCAATAGACTTAGGGAGTTCTTTGATTTTTGTTCGAGAAACGTTCAAATACCTCAAATGTATCAAGACGCCAATTGAACTCGGCAGCTCCTCAATATCAGCCCTGTACAAATTTAAAACACGCAAAGCTTTAAAGCTTATGAGTAATGTATTATTACTAATGGCTTGATCACCATTCACAAACAGTGACTGCCGTTTCTCAACATTTCTTTTGGAACATTTGGAAGGATCCCATGTCACGTGTTGATTCTCAAGTTTATCTTCCATTTCAGATCTTGATACAAGCTCAGCAAGATCATGTACAAGATCGTGCATCTTGCAATAGATAATAGTACCAAAGTCATCCCTTATAACATCTTGAAAGAGGGAGTTTTGCAACAGAATCGTAAAATATTCATCACCTATATCCTCCATATCTTTGTTATGAGAAGAACATAGAAATCCTTGAGCCATCCATAGCTGGATCAAGTCTGCCCTTTCCATTTCAAAATCTTTCTTGAAATTTGAGCAATATGCAAAACACTGTTTCAAAGAAGGTGATTTCAAATGATCAAAACTCAACTTCAAAATTGACATTATTCTTTCATCTCCTTCTGGTAATTCCCACATCTTACTTTTTTGAATTTCCAACCATTCATCGATACTATATTTAGAACGCATCATGCTTCCCAAAACCTGTTGATACATAAATTAGTGTATATATTAAAGATTAACTAGGTGACTTGGCTATAATAACAGGAAACATCATTTGTTTTTTCAAAAAACTTAGTTGTATGTTACCAGTAAATGTTAACATTTCACCAAAAACTGTTATTTTGTGGAATGTTTAATCCTCTTAGCCAATGTTCATGTGTGTAAATAGTAAATTTGGGTTTTCCCCTTCAAACGCAGTTTTTCTTACCTACAACACATCACCTTATTTTTCCATAAATAAAACCCTATGCTAATTACATTGTAACAATATTTTTTTCAACAAATTATTTGCAAGTAAATGCCAGTAATGGTATTTCAATTTTGCTTGAATTTAAAGAAATGCAAGAAACTTCAAATTGATATATCATTACGTACCTTTGCCGTTAAAGGTATACCAGCACACTTCCTGGCAATCTCCCTTCCAATTGTTTCTAGATCTTTTGCAATAGGAGCATTACCATCTGGAAATGCTCTTTTCTTCAATATGTCCCAACAATCATCAACAGATAGACTTCTCAAAACATACATTGGAAGTACTTTTTTCGTGATTGATGCAACACTGGCACTGCGCGTAGTGACAATAACAACGCTTCCCTGGGCACTATGAAGTTTTGACAAACAAGTCATCAAATTGCTCCATTTTTGAGGATCTTCGTTCCACACATCATCGAGCACGAGAAAATATCTCTTTTTTTCCAATTCTTGTACTAGGTTTTTAAGCAATGCATCTAGGCGTTGTATCCCAGCCTTTGTTGGGTTAAGATATTCTAATATCCAACTTAAAATCGAATTGACCTCAAGAGTGTTAGATACACACACCCATATTTTCTTCTCAAAATGTCCACAAATAGAATCTTTATTGAATAGTGACCTAGCCACAGTTGTCTTCCCCAGGCCTGCCATTCCGACAATGGGCATTACTGAAAGATTTTCTTGATCCAAGTTGGAGTTTGTCAAGATTGTAATTATCTTTGACAGATCCTCATTCCTTCCAACGACGATTTCATCTTCCTCAAAGATTGAGTCGGTTTCTCTGGCCCCTCCAATTTCTGGAGGGGTTGTATCTATTTTCTTGGAAACTAGTCCAATGAAAGATGCCTCATATTTGAGATCCAACAAAGATGCGTTGATGCTCTTGATTTTATGTGCCATTTTTTGACGAAACAAATGGGGATTGGAGCTGGAAAGGAAGTTGCGTACCTTTTTCCTCTTTTGGTTTGACAGTTCTGCTTGCCTGCGAAGATCTTCATAGTTGACTTCATCCAAGACATTGTCAGCATCATCAGCTATGTCTTTCAGTTTTCTCACCCAGTCCTTCAATGCCTTGCCCCGTTCTTGTGGCTGGTGGGCAACATCGCCTAAGAAATCTTGAATCTCGAGTAATGATTGACGAAGCTTTGTTAGTTCCTTTTTGAATCCCCGGAACAGGCTTATTTCTTGAGCAGCAAGTGAAGCCAGCTTGTTCAGTATTCCCTCGACAGGAAAAGTATAGAGAACATCTAACACCTTTCCAGCTTCCATACTTGCGCGAGACAGAGATGAGAGAGCAGAGACTGCAAAGATAGCGAAGGAAACCAGATGATTGAAGACGCAAGTACAGTGTTTCAGTGTTTCTCCCTCCTCCGTTGATAGAAATAAAAATTCAAGTCATTTAGTGTGATGGGTATATCGTCTTTGCCATCAATATTGGCCTGAAATTCAACCAAGTAAAAGTGCTAGACGACAGGTATGGGGCTTAAGATTTTAAATATTGGTGGCTCCGTTTAGTCTTATCACTTAAGAATTGTTGTTGTCGGCGGCTTTATCATTTCATGACTTCTCTGCATGGCTGTCGGTGGGTCAATTATTTCATGCCTTGAATGCCTTCTCTGCGTGGCTTTCGGTGGGTCAATTATTTCATGCCTTGAATTCCTTCTCTGCATTGCTTTACTTTTTTCTCATGTAACTACTCGCAGTGGCGGATCTATTAAGGCGCAAGGAGGTGCACCTGCACCTTCCCTCATCAGAAAATCACTTGGAGAGGTCGGAATTTGCCCCTTTGATGGTGCTCACCATTTGTTCAATTAAATGCCTCAAAGAGGCTTTCCTGTTTTGGTAGTGAAAAATCACATCTATTATGACAAGACTCCTTCAGATGTGTGTTTAGTTAGAATTGCATACTTCTTTTTCTGGCACAGAGACGCTACGCAAGGAAGAAGATGCGCGAGGTAGAGAATGCACCAAGAAGAAGATGCACCAGGAAGAAGATGTGTACTGTTTATTTTGGGTTTTTCATTAAAACGATGTCGTCTTAGTATATGAGTTTCATTTAAAATGAAACGATGTGTTTGCTCAAACCTTCTTAGGATATAAAAAAAGCATGTTTGGTGGAACAGTCACCGAATTTCGTTAAAAAATTAAAAAAAATTAAAAAAATAAAAAGGTGGTGTTTAATATGAATTATAAGACAAAGAATGAACATGAAACTTTCAAATTAAAACTCCAACAGATCCCAAATGTTTAATATTAATTAAACTTCGATAGCAGAATTAATATGGCTTATCAATTCTAAAACATGGTCAACATAAAACAAAGGAACACGCAGAGAATTATTGTACGTGATAAAACCCCACCTCTGGGGAAAATCCATGGAACTCCTCAGTCCAGTACAAATCCACTATAGAACGGTGATTACAAAAAGTACTCACACACATTCTAGATAATTTCTTCAAACTCGCCAGAGGCCACGGTCTTGGTGCCCTCAACCGTATGAGTCACCGAACAATGCAAATGAATGATAAAGTGTTTGATAAATCACCAAGTAAACATGGAACACTTGATGATTTATCTCAAATATATGCACATAAGCTTTCTTAGGAATTTTATATGCTCAAACAAAATATGGGAAAACTGTTTTTTTTTGTAAAGAGATGCACACCATGTTTTATACATAATCCATTCTCCTCTTTTCAAGAGAAGTGTAAAAATCCATGAATTAATATATTGCAATTGATTAGATTTGACACTCTTAAGGGGGTGTATTCAATTGAGATTTTAAAAGACTATTTATGAATAAATAAGTCCAGTGGATTTTAAAAGACTATTTAAGAATGTAATGACTTATAAGATTTTTTTTAAAGATTTTTTATACACATGATTTTTTATGTTTGGATTTTAAAGATTTATATCATAAGAATTTATAAGATTTGAAAGAATCACATGGATTTTTTATTTGTACGATACTAACCAACCAACTTAGTTGGATGATGAGCAATGTCTAGTTCAATGGTGCACGAATTCTTCAGGAACAGCCTCTACAACCCAAGCTTTCCAAATGATGGTGGAATTTATCCTTCCCAAAAGTTTTATGTAAGGCTACTAGGCTGCGGATACTTGGTTCAAACAATGGAATGAAGCCATAAAAAAAAAGCCAATGAAAGTCATTGCTTAAAGTTGTGGGCACTTGCATCAGCAATAACATAAACGGGATCAAATGGAATGGAACAATAAATAAAAGCAAACATTCAAAGTTACAAGAGTCAATGAAAAAGATAACAAAGAAAAACAATTGTAACAAAGAAAAGTAAAATTCAATAAAATTTTCCCAATCTTTTAATAGCCAATTTGATGTAGCTTCATGTCCTCCTAAGTAGCATTTCTCCACATATCTAAAGTTATGGTAGCCCTCCATGCATTAGCATTTTCTCGTTGCTACTCTTGGGTTTGAACAATAGGTTCCAAATTCTCTTCTTCATTAACTGGTAATAATGAAGATGAAAAAGATTCGTCTACTGATTCAATTGGAAATTCATCAAAACGACACTCTTTGCGAAGAAAGTTATGTAGTGCTACACATGCTAACACAAGCTCTGCTTGTGTCTTAAATGGAAATGGAGGCGCTGACTTAAAAATTGTGAACCGTGATTTAAAAATGTCAAATATCCTCTCGATCACACTACTCAATGACGCATGGCGAAGATTGAACAATTCATTTTTCATTTTAAGGGTCATTACCATGACCTGCAAAATCTTGGAGATGATATCGCACACCTCGAAATGGAGCTAAAATTATATGGCTTAAAGTTCCAATTCACATTTTGATGAGGTTTCAATATGGTCTAATTTATATTCCTGTCACATTAGTGGATGAAAATGTACTTATTTACCCTACATAGGGAAACCGATATGGAAGAAAATGTGGAACGATTGAAAATGCTAAGAATGATGAAAGATATTTTGTTCATGGGATTTCTTTTGATCATCTTTGTCAAGTAAATGAAACATTAAGCCTGCAAAACTATTAGTATAGTGCAAAAAATCACACATCCTTGACATCCAATTTTCCATGATACACATCCGACAACATAGGTAATTGGTTGATATATCTGGTCACAAACCTCTCCAAGAAGTGCTGCTCTGGAGGCAACAGCACAGAAGAAACACTGAAGTTTTCATCTATCAACCCCTTCAACAGCAAAACTTTAACAACTGAACACCTTGGAATAATTCTCTTCTCCAAACTGAAACACAAAATCACAGGATATGTGGCAATCACTCTTGAAGGCCATCCCATCTTGTTCACTAAAAAATCCATTACCTGCATTATTTTCTTCTCAGACAGAATCATGCACCCTGGAGTCTTCGTGAAAGCAGAGATCACATCATCATCAGACCAACCCCAACTCCGCTTGTAAATTTCGCAACTTCGATTCCATATGAACTTACTGCTCTCCCCACACAATGCTTTTAGTGCCATCACACAAGTTGATTTCTTCATATCAAATCCCATTGCTTTAACCTCTTCCACAGCTGCAGCAAAATTTTCATGCTTGTGCATCAAGACCTGAGTGTTGTGAGCTAGCAACAGAGCAATACATGATTGGGGCATACCCAATTCTCTCAAAAGTCCAATATTGGGCACCACACTCTTTCTGCGATTTTCCAGGAAAATCCATGAGCTGCGCTTCAAAACAGCAACTACATTTTCCTCGGAAATCAGACTCCTGAGAAATTTATAAGCGGGTATAATCTGATTCTCCAAGCTTCTTGCCAAAAGGTGGGGATTAAAACACAGAATTCTTGCAAGGTCTTGCCTTGAAACTACAACAGAGCTGAAAAACTCAAGCTTGGGCAAAAGGGTTTTCTCAGGATCAGCTACAAGAACAGCAGGGCGTAACCTGACAACCTTTGAGATCTGGGTTTTAGAGAGTCCATGGTTGCTCAAAAGGGCCAAAACAGAGTCTGCCCCTTGTGAGGATTGCAACTCTACCCATTTGGATGATGAAATTGCGTCTTCTGGGGACAACCCACATGAGTTTATGAGGTAAGCGACTGTGAAATTGTGTTGGTCTGCTGAGATTTTTGAGGTGATGGGTCTGTGAAGTAAATGATTTTGAAGAGAAATGTGCGAGGGTTTCAGATCTCCAACTAAAAATCTTTTAGTTGTGGAAGCAAATGTACAAGAAACTATTGAATAACCCAATCTGAGGATGTTGAAGCTGTAAGGAGGTACCACCATGTTTGACCCCTCCCTGCGTGGACGTTGATGATGATCAATTACTAGTTCTACTGGTCATTCTAAAACCCTAGCAGCGGGGCTTTGGGTCCGTGCGATATGCTGAATAAGGAACACAGTGAAACATCAACACGTATTAAGGAGTAATTAATTGAGCACATAGAGGGTCTCTCAAAAAAATTAAAATTTTAAAAATTTAGCAGATAGAGGTAAATAATCGGGCATATATATTAGACAAAATTCACCTACGCTATATCAAGAAAGAGTGTATTTACAACTTTACTCTGTTACACATAGAGGTAAATAATTGAGCACACCACATTGTTTCTTTCTTAATGTTTTGATTTCGCAGTTACTATTGCACCCGAGATTGTTTGATTTCTTATCTCTTCATAGATTAAAGATTTTGATATGCCCTTTGCCAAAAGGATTAAGCTTTTTCAACTGAACAATTGTACTTTACACTCTTTTTACACATTACAAGAGCAAGAAATCAACCACATGTCTTTCCTGCGCAAGTATTGCAGCTCGCAAGTCTAATTGCCCCTTAAACAAGACTTGTTCGACTCACTGATCATTGTGAACTCAAAATCAAGTGGAAAAACAGAAAAGCGAAGAAGAAACACAGAGAAATGAACACCTTCCAATTCTTCTTCAAGTAGAATCAGTCTTGTTATTCAATGTCTTTTTCTGCAAATTATAAATAAATTATTGAACTGTCAGCGTCTGGTTTCATAAACGTGTCTAATCTAAACAGTTTTCTTTGTTTGCTGAACAACATTATCTGTTTGACTATGAAAACCCAACAGCACAAGAAAACTTTCCTTGCATTAATATAAACCTCAATACTATATATCTTTGAGCCACCACATATTTCAAACGATTGACTCATCATCATTTAATAAAGATACCAATCACTGCAGGACAATAACATTTCCAGGCTAATTCAACTTTGACACGTAAAAGTCATATCGATAAAATAATAATTAAACACGTCACTTCGCATGTATATACAAATACTCTTAACTACCTGACATCGAGTTTATATTTATAATCACTTTATCATTTTTAACCATTCATATTTAATCATCCCATGCCAGCAACTTCACAGGTAGAATTACTTCATTTCTTTTTAAACTATAAGAATGATTATTTGAGCTCTCCAACTTTTATTTGTCTTTAAAAAGTTTCAATATTTCTTTTTAACCAACTTGTTTTTTGTTTTTTGTTTTAATAGTGCTATATTGAGATTTCTGATACATTCTTAAACCATATGGTGCAAGTTGCATAGTCCTTAGCACATGTTATGGAATTGAAGGACCATAGTTGGCCACTTGACAGGCCCACAAGCACATGAACTTCAAAGGAGCTGTCACTCCACAATAACATAAAATTATTCCCTCCATTCTTAATTGTCCAATTGCTTGCAATTCTTCATTTTTATCTCCAAGTTGAGACCTCTTATGCATAATGCATTATATATTTTCATTTTGTACATCATAATTGGTGCCTTAAAGAATTTTTGTTGGATATAAATTATTATTTTGTTTTTATTTTTTTAATCATTTGTATTTTATTTTATTTATTTATTTGGACTTAATTGACGGGATTGATTTATTCGACTTGATTTGATAACAACTACAATTATAAGGACGAAATTCGGAAAATTGAAATCATGGTGATCAAAATCATTTTCGACCCTAATCCTAAGTAACCAAAATGTTATTTTACTGATAATAATATTGAAAAAAGAAGAAATGTAATAATAGTAATAAAAAATAATAATAATTAGATGGATAATTTCTATTTGTGGGTCGAGGCGCTCCATAAACCGCCACTGAAATTTTTGTTAAAAGAATCATCCTTCTTCCGTCTGAGATTTATTCGAAATGGAAGACAATAAAACCCTAATAAAACAACAACCACAACCAGAGCTTGAAGCCGACGAATTCCGAGAAGAGTTCAAATGCTGTGTTTGCCTGTCAGTGGTTTCTTTCTTTTCTTTTTTCCTTTTTATATATCTATTTCTTCAATTTCTGCAACATCAAAATCCATCTAGCCCTCTTTTTTTCTCGAGTTGCATAATTTGTTTATTTAATTCACTGCTTGCTGTTTGGATTACAATTGTTGGAGCTTGAAATTTGGGTTTGCTGGTTCTCTCTGTCTCACTTTCTTTTCTGAGAATTGAATTTTTGTTGTTTGGTTTAGCACGTTATGAACAATTCTCCATGCTTTTATTACAATCTCATGAAGAACTATAGGCAATTTCAATGTACGTATTAATTCTTTAGCAGAATTAACTAAATAATAAGAAAAAGCTAAGAAATTTATTTCAAAACAGAAGGGCATGTGTACTAATCAAACAAAGATTATTGTTCACATCTAATAGCCATGACTCGATATGATTCTTATTATTGTGCATATATTAAACTAGCATCAATACACATATTAGTATAAAATGAGGTTAAATTGTTCCACCTGCTGATTTATTTTTCCGTTGAATTAACTTTTTTACCTTTTATTTCTGGTAACCACATGTCTAAAGGCGATTCCTTTACTTTGCAGGGATCTTCTTTACAAGCCAGTTGTATTAGGTGATAAATCGTGCCGTTGTATTTTGAAATATATGTTTCACTCACTTGGCTATTAGCAGCAATGAATATCTAGTTATCCCTTTCTGAAGACTTTATGATGTTTGCAGGCTGCGGCCACATTTCATGTTTCTGGTGCGTCTTCAATGCCATGAATGCTGTTCGTGAGTCCTATTGTGCAGTTTGTCGGCGCCCATATAATCATTTTCCTAGTATCTGTCAGTTGCTGCATTTCTTACTCCAGAAGTTGTATCCCAAAGCATATAAGCAACGGGAAAAACAAGTGAGAGGTGAGCTTTACTGAACTGCTTTAACATTTATTGGGTTGATTTGCTTACCACTTTAAATGAGTTATCTATGCTTACAACTTAGTTATTTCCACCGATAAACTCACTCTCCTTTTGAAAACTTATGTCTTCCTAGAAACTAGTGTTTCCATGTGCACACATCCTTTTTCCAATGTAAAGACAATGTGATTAAACAATGAAGTTCAAGATTTCTTTGACATATGGTGCACATGTATATGAGTGGTTACATGAGTACTCTTACATTAGCATCTTCATTGGTTCTTCAGAGTGTAGCTAATGACTTGTAAGGAGTTCTTGTGATACCTTGTAAAATAGCCCCATCCTGCATGTCTAATGGCACCAGATAGGACTCCTTAGTCAGATGTCATGAGCTTAATGGTTTTCTATGAACCTACAGCGAATATATGTGGTCAGAAAAAAGAAAGCAATAAATTTGTTTTGCACCAACACTCTGAAAAAATCACGATTCCAACCAATAGAATTACCTCTATGCCTTGGAGAGTGGAAGCCATATTACATGAGATTGACTAGATTTTATGGAATATGATACTTTGCAAGCGCAAAGCAGTTTTTCTTTTTTAAATCAAAATTGTGCACGTATGCCTCTTTTGGCTCCTTTTAGACTGTACTGCCATAGATGTGTTTGTAAGTAATCTTTTTTTCCGGAAATTGATATGACTCTATCCAGTAAGACGAAATGTCTCTAGATTTTGTTGGAATGCAAGAATGGTTAGATAAACTTTAAGGAATTTCAGAGTATTATGAATAAATTCACAATAAGAGTTTAAGAATTGTTAGGTGACCGTCAAAGAATGGTTGTGTTTGCTAATGTGAGGTCTAGGTGGAGTGTGGATTTTAAAGTGTTACTTTGCCTCACCTTTTTCTGTATTATTTGGTTCCTTTGTTTTGAGGTAACGCTTAAAACACTGATGTTTTGGTTGATGTCATATTAAATTCGACATTCTCAATGTTCTCAGTTTTTTCGGAAGCTTGTGTGAGTGACTTGTATGGCAGTTGCAATCTCATGATATATGACATAGTGTTTCCTTCATAAATAATTCACTGTCCCGTCTTCCTTGGCTGTTCCAGAAGAGGAAAAGGAATTTGGTTACTTCTCACCTCAATTTGATAATCCAATATCTGGATCACATCCTACTGAGGAGTCAAATATTCTGGACAATGTTCAGTCAAAGAACTCTGAAAGTTGTTCGTCTGGGGTAGGAGGATCTCCTTCACTTGTAAATTCACCAGAAACTACGTTAGATGATGAAGCTAATAGTAAAAGGCCTACAACATCTTTAAAGAATGTTGAAGCTACTGGAAAAGCGGCCATCAAAGAAGACTGTTTGCATGATAGTGGTCCTGAAAATGGAACTCACAATAAGGTTTCTGTTTCTGATCTACTGTGTGCTGCATGCAAGAACCTGCTCTTTCAACCTGTTGTTCTCAATTGTGGCCATGGTAACCTACATCACTTTAACTGTTATGTTGAACATAAAAGTCAGAGGAATGCTCATGCCAATATAAACTAATTCAAAATCTCTTTTGTGCAGTATATTGTAAATCCTGTATCAACATCCCAGTTGATGGAGTTTCCAGGTGTCATATTTGTCAAAGCATGCATCCGAATGGATTCCCTAGTGTTTGCTTAATTTTAGAACATTTCTTGGAGGAGCAATATCCTGAAATATATGCACAGAGACGATCATCTTCAATAAAACAAGCTGATTGTGAGTATGAGAGTCTTAAGAACTTTTATGATTTTGGTGCTTTTATTCTGCTTCAGATTTTTCTAATATTTGTATCATTATCTAGGATTGGATCATGTATTATGCCTCGGAAATTAATATTGTTTTAATGATCGTTTATCTTCAGAACTTGCCTTGCCTGAGCTATATAACTGGAAGAGAAATTGTAAAATATCTTCTTTGGGATTCAGAATTCAGATTGAACATCATTCATGTCCACTATTTTCTCCTAAAAAACCTCTGATTGTATCAGTTCAAAGATTCGAATTTCTTGGTTATACAGCCATCTTACTTTTTCCTTATCTATTGTATTCTAAAACTAAACCCTATTGTTTGTGCCATTTTTCCTTTTTCTCCAGTTCTTCCTCTGCTATCTTTGAATATCTTTGATTGTAATATTAGGATCTGATTTTTCCTTAATTACTTCAGGCTTTGTTCACTGTAGTTTGTGTCGAAGTCGTAACCCACTTCTTTGGCTTTTCTTATGTTGTACTTCAGTTATGCGAGACATAATTAGTCATACTGCGGATATTTTGGTTTTGTACTACTGATGTTTCCAGTACTTTTTTTTCTTGTTCTATTTTTTATGCATTTCTTATTTTAGTTGTTTTTCACTGTCTTGTTTCTGGTGCTCATATGAGATTAACTTGATTTCACATTCAGTGCATGCTCATCAACGTGCTGGCCAGCCAGTGTCAACGCTTTCTGACGATTACTTATCCGGCTGGTCTGGGATTGGGCAGAAAGTTCATTTTGCAATTGGTTGTGATTGCTGTGGGGTAATGTCCTTTGTCCCTGTCTACTTATCAAATTTCCATTTAAGAATAAGGGCCAAGGGGTTGCTTAATTGGTGATGAGCTTTCTCTAAAAAGACAGTGGACCTAACTCAATTTGCATAAAGAATTTTGGAATAAATTTATTGATAATTAAATTAATAAAACTACCATGGTTTTTTTTGGCTTTATTTTATTAGATCCACTCTTCTAATTTCACCTGTATCCCACACTTCTACTTACTAGATCTGCACTCCTTTTCCTAAGCGAATGGAGGCAAATTCTTTAAAGATTTAAATGAGTATCAGAGCATGGGACACCAGTGGACGCAACCGTTGTATTGATAAAGTGTTCGCCATAAATAATATAATAATAAACTAATGGAAGTGCCTTGCAAATCATAATAGGAATTGCCCTACAAATCATAGAGTAAGCTAAGAACTGCTTGTGTTATTTTTTTATTAGTGACTGTTATACTGCTATGCTCTTTGCAGATGTCTCCAATTATTGGGGAGAGGTACAAATGTAAAGACTGCGTGGAGAAAATGGGTTTTGACCTATGTGGAGCATGCTATAATGCTCCTTTTAAGATCCCTGGACGATTCAATCAGCAGCATAAACCAGAGCACGTGCTTGAGCTTGTACCACCACAGATAATACCTGTGCTTCACTACCAGTCAGATGAAGATGGTGCCGAATTTCAGGAAGACCTAGAAAATATCCCCGCTGCTCCCATTCCACAAGATCTTGAGCTTGTACCACCGGAGATAATGGCTATGCTTTCCTACCAGTCAGATGAAGATGGTGCCGAATTTCAGGAAGACCTAGAAAATATCCCTGCTGCTCCCATTCCGCAAGATCCAGAAAATGGCCCTAACATTGTGCCAAATTTTTGTCCTGCCTTTGTAATGTCAGTTGATAACTTAGATCCAGATGATGATTCTGATGACGGTGCTTCACCGGATGTGATTCAAGAATGTGAAGGTACCAACCAGCCTAAAAACTGACTATTTTCAAATTCTTGTTAGATACATTTACCCAAAACAACAAATCATGTGTCAAATTTTTATGGTTTGATTTTGTTGAATGAGAAATGCATGAAGAATTTAGGGTACTCTTCCTGTTAGGATGAGGCTTTTCACTCCTATCAATATTCAGCAAATAGATTAGAGATACCAATAGCCAACACTTTGGCTTTTTTTTTCTTTTGGGTCAAGAACAGTTGTATTATTCTTTCATGTTCACCATTGTTGCAAAATAAAGAGGTGAACTTCGTAGATCTCAAAGGTACTTTGTCATATCAATTGATTGTATATGATTAAATTCCCTGCATTATATTTTTTCGGTTGATCATGTCATTGCAATATACTTGCAATGCAAGGAAGTTCTATACTGTGCAAGTTTATGAGAGTGATAATATCTGATGTAACTTTTGGCAAGAGATTTGTAACCAAGTTGTAACTTGTACACATCAGAATGTTTTGGCTTCAATTACCGACTCCATTAGAGTTGTTTGTCAGTTCATTTTGGCTTGCTTCATGGTGATTTGTTTGACATTAATTTCCCTTAGTTTCAATGATTGACTTGTTGACGTACTTTATGTCCTTATGTAAATCTCTCTTGCTCTATTTTTTTTCTTTTTCTTTTTTTGCTTTTATGGTTAGGGTTTGGATTGATTCTGTTTATGTCCTGATGTAAATGGTCTCATCTAATTTGTTTGTTTTAGATTTTAAATAATTAATTTGTAATTTAGGTTTTATGAAAGGAAATTATATATGTGAGTCGACTCGGGATCAGTGAAAGATTCCAAAGAGCATGTGACTGTTCACGTGTGACTTGCTATTGGGAATATTAAAAACAGAAGAATCAAATTGAATCATTGGCGTACGCTACCATCAGTAACATAATTATTACAAACAGCTTTTTATGATGCAAGGTTTAGAAAAAGACTCATATAAAATCTATTTATTCTCGTCGTTACATCATTTGACACTAAAAGCTTATAATTTAAAAGATGTTTCAAGTTTGAATCTATCGACTTCATTAAAAAGCTCGCAATGCAAAATAATGGAGTTTGTCTAAGAACAAAATCGATGATAAGACCCCAAGAAAACCTTGATGAAAACTAAATCGACAATGAACTTTATAAAAGAGAAAAAAATTGATCAACTAATTATATTACAATAATATAATTATCAAACTTTCTAAGTTTAAAATTTTTGGTCATGAATGATGTGATTGAGATAACATGATGATAATTATAATAAGTAGGTCCAAAAATGTTGGGATTTGTTATTTAGAAATAAAATATATGAATTATGAGTTTTTAATGGCGCCACTCATTATGAGCTTTTACGAGAAGCAAAAGCTGCAAACGCTGAAAGCCCGCGACAGCGAGCGCCTTACCCAACGCTCTCATGTGAGATTCCGCCGTTCTTCTTCCTCGCCGATTTTTTTCAAAACAAAAGATTGGGATCTCTTTCCCGCCAATACTTTGACTTCAATTCAACTAGCAATTTTTCTTTTTTCTGCCAAGAAAGAAATTCAGGACGGAAATATTGCTTAATAGACAAATTTTTCGTGTGTGATAATGAAAATGAAAATGAATGTTTCCTTCTAATTAAAGGAGTAAAATGTTTTTCGTCGATAGAGTCTAACTCAATGAAAAAGCGTTTTGATATACAGACTAATAATCTAATGTTTAAATCTTCATTACACCTTAGTAGAGTTTGTGAGAAAATCTTCATTTCCCTTCTTCTGTTTTTTTTATTAAAAAAAAAAAAAAAAAAAGTATTAATGATAATTTGACTGAAATTTGACGGAGATACACGCTCGCTGAGGTGGCTGTAGACTTGTAGTGCCGATGAAGTCACGGTGGCGGTGTGAGTTCATATTTTGGGAATAAAAAAAGTTAAAAAGCGCGTGAATTGTGGGTTGGTGGGGACAAGGCAGGGCGCGAGGGGGTCCGTGAAAGCGAGGGAAGCGCCATCATTGGCTGCTTTTCCATTCAAACGTGTGCTTTTGTACGGCCCATGGGTGAAAACGAGGTGTTAAATTCAAGAGTATGATGAAATTGTATTTATTACTTAAACACCATCGAAATGAGTGCCCAAATTGTAGTTATAATTTTTTATCTTACGTAGTAAATTCCGTCTTTGTTTGGAGAGTTAGCTAAATGCAACAGATTGAATTTGGTGGCGACCATTAAAACCAATTTGGGAAGTTGTTGACTAAGGTTGGTTATGGTTCTCTCTCCCAAGAGCCAACCCAAGACCAACAACTTGGTATGTTTACAAGTGGGCTAAAATATACCATTAAAGCCGATGTGTTTTGGGCGAGACGCCTGCATCATTGCAGGCCAACCACAAATGGAATGGAATACTCCAGATAGTATCTATGGCGTATGTTAGTATTAGATGACATGAGGAAGAATGCATGCCCAAGAAAATAAAAAGAAGTTCAGAATATTACCATGGCCCAAGAAAGATTAATGAGTTCATTGGAAAAGACAAAAGGGGGCTGGGAAAGAAGTAGCAAAGAGGAAATATTCATGAAGATGTTGAATTGGTTAAAATCATATCTGAGCTTTTGAATTAAGGGCGACTTTTAAAAACAACCATCGAAGGTGTTAATTTTTTCTGCATTCATTTCTCATTTACTATTTTCACATCACCACACATTCATTGCACTCCAATCTCAAAATCTAGTATTCGGAATCGCCGCACTTGGACTGGAACCCTCGAATCTCATGTTTGGCTACGGACCCATTTCTGAGACCCTTTTCCTTCTTCATTCCAAAAAATTCACCAAAATTTGTTTACAAACACCTTGAAACATGAGCTTACATTCTATGGCCTTAAATTCACAATTTGACATCAAGAAAAATTACATTCTAAAATTCACATAAATAGGTGTTACTTCAATGACCGTAATCCTAAACAAGTGTCTGCCGAACAAACTTGGTAACCTACATGCTCTCTTCATGATGATCGTTCGGACCCGAATTGAGGACTATTGAACCCAAATTGGTGACCGACATACTTAGCACGATGATGACCCACATACCTAATTTGATGACCCTCGAATCCGACTCAATCTAGTATTCATGAGGTAACGAATCATGATTATATTCTAATCAGAGTAAATGCTATAGGTAGGTTTGTGCTTGCAAGGCAGTTAAGTTTGTTGCTGCAAAAAATTTTTTTAGTGACTTTCCAAATTGATGAACTGCCACCAGGGTCGTTCAGAAAAACTGAGTGCAAGTGTCTAAAAGATATCAAAACCACTCTCCTAAAGAAAGTGGACAGCACTCTCCAGACGGCAGACAAAGCCAAACCAATGAGCGTCAATGGCAATGTGTGCAGGCGCGTGAAGAACAGTTTCCTGTGAAGAGAAGTGAGGAAGGCCTATCCTTATCGTAATAGAGAAAACTTTGAAAGTAGAAATAAAAATAAAATAAACATAAATTGAACTTTCCACCTGGCCACTGACGGAAGGTATCCAATGACTTGGGCATCTCAGCTCTTAACTCATAATATCTTCTCTTCAACTCTTATCGCGATATAATAAGACTCTTTCACTCTCACGCAAATAATTTTTATTTTATTTTTGTTGTTGCTGGAAATGAAATAAAAGATGAGTACTACTTCTATAATTTTTTTATTATAAAAACTTTGGTGCATGTTGGATTATTTATAAATTATGTAACAAGAAACTCTTCTAAACATGGTTTTGTTAACAATTAGAGAGAGGTTAATTCGTTGATGATCTCTTTATTAGCAGCATTGGTCCTGACTTTTCAGTGGCCCGAGGCCATAAATTAAAATGAAGTCCTTTAAGTACATGAGAAGAACTTATGTCCTAAACACAAGAACTTACATGCAAAGGAAATATGCCACCATGGTAGTCTCTCTATTTTGTGTCTCTTAAGCACGAGAAGAACTTACATGGATCATGAATGTCATTATAGCGAAATTCCAAACCAATTACGCATTAACATTTGTGATTGAGTGGAGATATCGCCACAATGACATTTTCGGTGTAAGTAAGTTCTTCTCCCTTTGCACAAATGTTGTCATCCTTTGCTCCTTTATTGTCAGCCCTGCCTTGCTCCGTGCTGTCTCTATGCAACTCATCATCTAATCTAATTTATATATGGCTTTTAGTATCCTGCACCATGCATGTGGCAGAAAATTGTAGTACAACATAAGCTAAAGAGAAACATAAACTTCATGAAAAGTACTACGTCAGTATGAAAGGTAGAAGAGGAAATACAGAGGAGAATGATCCTTTTGTCTTGAAGATCAAGGCCAACATTTGTTTGTTTTCTTCTATTCATAACAAGATAAGAGTAGTAACTTGATCCTACATTAGCCATGCACTGGCCGGATCCTTGGATTTATTTTAATTTGTCTATCAGTTAAAAGTGGTTCTAATCATGATATATATATCTATATATATATATATATATTTACTTATTTATTTATTTTTGTTTATGCTTCTTACTATGTAATGTGTGATTGTGAATAAATAGTGGCTCTTATTATATTTCTCTCTTACATACCATGTTAAATCTTTGTGGAAATAGAATAAAGTTCCTTAAAGATCTTAAGTTTTAAACTTATATCTCTCAATCAACTTATAGATGATGTTCAAAGCTTGTTGCAACAAATCTCATGTTTTTTGTTCCTGAGAAGTCAATGATGTTGCACACCGACAACGGCTAGTTACTAGCTAGATTTAATTTAGGAAAAGATGACTCTTTTATGTGGTTTGACTTTGAGGTTCCCCTAATTTTCTTCATGATGTCCTATTGTTTGATTCTATGAGTCGGAGTTAGGTTATTTGTCTCCTCTCTCCCCCACCCCCGGTATTTCTTCTAGTATTTAATAAATCTTCCGTCATACCATCGAGGTTCTATCAAACAAATCTATGAATCAACTTGTTATAGTACTTGAATAAATGCTACTACTTATCTCTCATACAAGTGAGCCACTTAAAACTATTTGATCACTCGAATTAGGAAAATTAGGGTAGAAGTGGATGTAGTTTAATTAGAGACGAAAACCTAGTTTAAAAATAATAGTAGTTACTATCTTTTACAAATTAATTTGAATTGTATATGATGTTTTTAATGTATGTAAGCTATATAAGTCTTGGACTCAGTATTTAGAAGAATCAATGTTAGAATATCAAAGTAAAGCTCAAGGTCAAGGGCAGAATCAGAGTTCTTCTAATTGTTGTTTTCAGAGTGATTCTCTCTACCCTCATTGGTTTTGGTTCATAAAGTTACAAATTTAGACAACTCTTCCAAATACATCTAAGCCATCATACTTATTTTAATGCTCAATCATTAATTAATCACCAACACCTTCCAAAAAAACTAACAATAAATTAATAAACTAATAAACTAATCTAAACAATAAATACCTTGCAAATAACTAATAATTTTCCCATTCCATATAAAAAAATATATATATATCTCACTGATATTATCCAAAATGCATTTTTTTTGGGTAAGCAAAATGCATTGTTTCCCTTTGGGTTTTGTTTTTCTAAAAAAAAAGAAATTTGAAGTAGCATTAGAGATTGGAGAGAAAATGAAATTGAAAAAGAGAGAGAGAGAAAATGAAATTCTCCAAGTCATTTCCAACCCTACCCCCCATATTTCTTTCCCTTTCATTCTTCTTTCCAGTCGACTAGGCAAGGCAGGCTCTTGCCACTTACTACAAAATTACAAATACCCTCCTACTCTCCCTTTCTTCTCTTCCTTCCCAATTTTCCCCATTTTCCATTCTCTCTCTCTCTCTCTCTCTCTCTCTCAATGAGTTGAGACTGGCGAGAGTTTTAACAGACAAATACCAACTACTAGAGAATAGAAAGATTACACAGAACAGAAGAAAAAATAAGAGGAGCAAGAAATGGGCAAGTACATGAGGAAGTCCAAGTCCGCAGGGGAAATGGCAGTCATGGAGGTTTCACACCCACACCCACAGTCACAAGCCTCTCTCGGAGTTTGCACCCGAGCCAAAACCCTAGCTCTCCAGAGGTCGTCGGCTTCACCTGTCACCTCCGGCTCCTATCTTCAGCTCCGGAGCCGCCGCCTCGAGAAGCCTCCGATTCTCTTGCCCAAACGGCTCGAGCCCAAGAGGCAGAAACCCAAGGCTAGTTCTAATTCTAGGGCGACTTCGAGGCTTGGAGTCCATGGTTCGGTGGCCAAGGCTCAGGGCCAGAAGGCTGAGGAGACTGATGAAATGGCGCCGAAAGAGGAAGAGGGTCAAGAAAAGAATGAGCACAATAACACCAACAACAAAGAAAATGGCGATTTGGGTGTCGAAGAAGCTTCCTTTGGAGAGAATGTGCTCGAGCTTGAAGGTAGAGAGAGGTGGGTTTTCTGGGTTTTCTTTTATTTTAATTTTGTGTGCAACCTCTTCGTTGGGGGTTCTTGGGATGTTTCCGGAAAAAGAAAAAGATTTAGGTATCTGTTTGGTTTCCGAGAAAATGAAGGAAAATTGAAAGGGAGATTTTGGGTTTTGGAGAATTTTTATTCAATTGAAAATGTCTGCAACGAATTACTGTTCTTTATTTTCTTTTCGAACACTACTTTTTAGGGTTTTAAATTTTTTCAGTTGGGCAAATGATAATTGCCTGTCTTAAAGATTAATTGCTAGTTTTTCAAATATAAAAAATCAAACTTTTATATTTGAATTTGCGTTTTATTTTCTTGCTTACAGCCAGAAAATCTGTGCTTTCTATTGATTGTGGAATTTTCTTTTTCCTTCAAAAGCTTCTTTTGGGATTGTTTTTATACATAATTCCTTTTCTTTTCCTTCTTTAAATCACTGTACTTTGGTTTGGGTTCTAAGAAAATTAAGATGAAATTCGCTTGAAAAGTTGGGATTTTCTGCTTTCTTGTGGGGTTTTCTTGCATGCACTGTTTGGTTGCTTTGAAATTGTAAGAAATAGAAAAAGAAATTCATACCCACAAATTGGTGTTTATCCCAATTAGGAACCGTACAGCAGGACTTCCGCAAAACTGGGCTTAATAGAATTACTTGTCCAGGTTCAGGTTATTGTTCTCTCAGGAAACCAAAACTAATTTCTTTTTCTCCTTTCTTCTTTGAAAAAAAAAATTTATTTGAAACTCTTTAATATATTTTCCCCAGATGGGCAACTTTTATATTTCCTAAAACTTTCTTGAAAGAAAAGAAGAAGAAAATCTATCAATAAATTCTGAGCTTTTTATTTCTCTCTCTCTCTCTCTCCGTTTTTCTTTTTGAAACCGTCTTTTTCCACTGGAAATCTTTTGGTTGTAAAACATTTCTGCTGCAAAAGGAAAAAGTTCTGTAATTACTTTTTCTGATTTGCCTATGAGGGTAAACAAGATTTCCTTTATTCCAGCAGTGTTTTTGTCACAATGGTGCCAGATTGTTTTCAGATATACGTGACATGTACAAACCCAGAGTTCTTTTCTTTTCCTATTTCACAGTTTTGGCTACGTCTTTCTCCTTTAATTCTTATACATGATTGATTACTGAGTGTTTTGTCCTTCAATTTGGAGTTTCTACTTCTTTCAAACACTTAGGTTTTCATGTATATATTGATAACTTCAGTTTTCGAGTTTGGGAAACATGGATTCTCTCCCATGCTTCTGCAACAATTAACTGACTAGTATCATCTCTCTGTTTTTTGGGTGTTAAAAGTTCTAATGGCTAAGACAATTGACATAATTCTGACTCTGTACTTGAAACATAGGATTTAATCCTTTCAACTCCGTTATTGAAAATAAATGTGCCCAATGCCGCAAATCTATGCCCGCAACTTTTCATCTAGAAGACCTATGATTCTTTGCTTCATATGATAGTAATCGTTTTTTGAAGTGTTTTTTTTTGGCCACTAAGTATGCTGGTCTTTGGTACATTGAACAGGCAATGGTCAGATACAGTTTATTGTTTGTTTACTAGTTTTACAAAGGGAAACAGTATAAAAAGGTTGGAGGATATGGAAGGATTGATTTATTGGTGAGTGAAGCATTAGAAGGTTTGGGGCAGGGAGGGGAACCATAGTGTTAGAGTCCACTAAAAAAATTTGGCAATTGAGGCATATCCAGAGTCCGACAAAAGAAAAGAAAACATGCCCAGTGAAAAAATTCTCACTGAATTTAGTACCATGAATGCATCCTGCACTTTGGTTACTTCATGGTCAAGTCCTGAATGATTGGCCAAGTCCTGCATGATTGAGTCAGAAGATAAATGAACAGATAACAGTGTTACTTCTTTGTCTGTTATTTTTGTTAATGGTGTTATTTGCAGTAAACCATACCTATAGTTAACACCATTTGAAATGCAAAGCTTGTATTTTTTTTCCCCTCAATAAATTAATGTGTTGTCTTAAGTTTAGCTTGGGTTACATGTGCCTGCTTGTTATATCTAATGGGATTGATTTTCTTTATTGCAGGACCACAAGGGAGTCAACGCCTTGTAGCTTGATAAGGGATCCAGACACCATCAGAACCCCTGGTTCTACTACCAAGCCTACTAATTCAGCTGAAGCAAATCAGAGAATACAGAGCTCATCGCAGAGGCACATACCAACAGCACATGATATGGATGAGTTCTTCGCTGGTGCTGAAGGAGAGCAGCAAAGACAATTCATTGCGAAGTATGTTACTCATTACTCTTTAGTTAAAAGTTTTGGATAGACTTTATGTTGCTCGTCATATATTTTGAATACAAATTTCATTTATATCCTCACAAGTTGATGTAATATTTCCGTTGTGGGTTTATGTGCAGATACAACTTTGACCCTGTGAATGATAAACCGCTCCCTGGACGTTATGAATGGGAGAAAGTGGATCCTTAGAAGATATAATTAGCATTGCGTCAGGAGTTCCTTTCCTGCACATTCTTGGTTGATCTTGGGCTTAGGAAACTTAAACTAGCAGGGTTTAGTTTTTAGTAGTTGAGGTGATGGTTGTTATTTCTATTTTCCATCACCCTTCTTTTACTTGTAAAGAAGTAGGGACTGGCAAAGATGTGTAGACTAATGGTCTGTAACATAACAGATGTTATGAGTACACAAAAAATACAAATCAAAGTCCTTTGTCTAACAGATCATGTAAGAGAAGAGAGGAAGGGAAAGAGGGTGCGAGATGTAGGGTTAGGGTTAGGTTTCAGTGAATTAGGTCAGTCTAAGTAGTACAGAAAGTTACTTAGATTGATTTTCTTTTTGTCTTGTATTCTGTATTTTCCTCCCCCTCTTTGTCTATACTTGTACTGATGCAACTTTAGGAAACTCTTGGAATAAATTACCCTTTTTCCCCCTCTTCATGTTTTTGGCTTTGCCTCTACCATCTGCTGCTATGCTCTGGCCGATTTAATTTTGTCCTTATATTGCCATGTGAGACAATGCATGATCTCTCACTAACTTTAGATGATGCTACCCCCCACTGTGATTTTGTCCAATTTTTATTTTTATTTTTCTATTTATTTATCTTTTTATCTCATAGCGTGAGCTGATAACGACTACTGGTTTTGACGGTAATGGTAGGGTAGCTTTCATGCTTTATATTTATATTGGAAGAATCTTTTCTTCTCCATTATCATATTTCAGGGGTAAAACAGCTAAAAATCCAAATAAATATGATAATAATAGAGAAGAAAATATTCTTCCAATATAAATATAAACCATGAATGCTATCCTACCATTAGTGTGATAGTTCAGGGGCCAAACGGTATTTTACCCTATTTATTTTGGATATAAAGACTAAAGTGAAGTCGTGTATAAAATAAATAATAAATAGAGACAGAAGAAATGTAATTTGACAGGCAGTGACAATTTGGGAATATGAGAAATTTTTTTGAAAACTTTCAGCCCTAAGAAAGAAATTTGGTTATAGTAATATCCTAATATTCATTAGCTCAAGAATTGGGAACTTGAGTTCTTGTTTCTTCGATCTTTTTCAGTCCTAAAATTTCATTCCAGAACTCCAGAACTCCAGATACAGAGTGAGTTAAAAGCCATTAACAACAATTGCATAAACAGCAGAATGAAGAAAGGAAAATCCAAATTTCTATGAGGCAGCCTTGCTGAATTTTCACATTCTGATACTTTTTTCTTCATGATTTTCATGAAGTTGGAGACTTCATTATAAAGCAGGAGGCATCCAGAACTTTATTAGAGGTTCAGATGGAATATTAAGCAATGGTGGTTATAGTGGAAGTTGGTATTGCATGCTTCCAATGGTTGGCATTGGATGAAGGCTGAAGCTGAGGAATCTTCAATTTCCAATGAAGGTTTTCTAGTTTTCACATCTTTTAGGTCAATTAATTATTACTCAAGTATTCAAGTGTGCACTCATTGCTTTGCTTGCCAATCCAAGACCAAAACTAAGAAACTGTCCCCCACATGCACCACCATGCCCTTTTGCTGTCATTTGTGAAAATCCAAAACTTGAATTGACTATTTTCATTTCGCGCTTGTGAGAATAAAGGGGAATGATATTTGTCAAAGTTTAAAGTCATGGTTTATTCAATGACAATTGAATTTTGATCCAAAAGTTGAAAGATGATAATCCAATTGGTAAGTGTTTGAATAGTATTAAACCGACCAAATCGTATTTGTTGTCGTTGTTTCATATATCACATAATAGTGGTGAATAATAGTGGTACAACAATTATTTCTAACTGAATTATTCTGTCATTCATCATTATTTTTATGTAATAACGATAGATGTCCGTGTGTATATAATAATGTAATAAGAGTAATAATTGAAAATATTGAAACTATTGAGTCCAAAATCCCAATATTCTTGTGAGACACTAGGGTTATCTTTTTTAGTAGAGTAGGTGATTTTAAATGTTTATAGTAGTGACGGTGGAGCGTGGAGGTGGAGGTGGAGCCTGGTGTCGGTTTGAAGTTTGAAGAAGCAGGAGGAGACAGGTTGACTGTTTGGTACATTGTGTGTTTTGGCGCCTGAGAAGTCACTGTTTGGTTTTGGACATTTGTGCATAACTATTAACTGTAAACTGTGAGCGCTCATCAACACAGGTGGTGTCTTTTGGGCCCCTTTAAGCATCTCAAGGTTTCTTTGGCGGTGTCTGCCATTTGCAAAAACTGGATGCCCGAATCAGTAAATAAATGGTACCTTTGCTTTGCACTGATTATTTATTATGGCATTCCATCATAGCTAGCTCTCTCCCTCTCTCTTGATAGCTTGCTCTTGAACGATATAAAAACATAGGCCCCATTGGACATTAGAGGAGGGCAAGAATTCTTCCATCTACAATCAACAATGTGTTTGAATTGATTATTATATGACGCCAAGTCAAATAGAAAATTCAGTGGAAATTTTGGTAATTGCTCCCCCATGATGATGCCTAATCTTTAATAAGTTCAAGCACCATGTTTGTGTTTGCAAAAAGTTGTGTGAATACAGTTTCAGATTTATTTATTTTTATTTTTTTAAAGAAACCGTTTCTTATATCGTTTAAGCATTAAGTTTGAGACAACATCAATGTGCTATAGGGTCAACCTCCGACTGTTATGCAATACTCGCGTTAATTACTCGGGTATTCTATCATTATGTTGGTTGTCACACCTCTACCTACCAAAGCCTCATTTACCTAAAAAAATTCTTTGAGGACAAGGTGGATCCATGTTGGTGCAGTGATGCAACTTCGCAGGACTAGAAGGACAGAGAAAAAAAAAAGGTTTAACAAAGTGGAGAAATAAATGCAAATGCTCCCAGGATCAGAATGTTGCGTATCCTATCAAATATTAATCTAATAAAAGGAATGAGCCACCAAGTTAGACCAGTGATAAACTTTAGCATATTCTTTTCAAATTGAAAAAGATACACAATTTTTTAGTTGATTTTGACATATGGGCCTTGCAGAAAATAAAATTGGGGTTGAGTTGTGGGGATGGGTTCGAGCAATACTCGCCCTACTAATGGGGGGCCCATTTAGAGAAGGGGGGTGAAGGTCGGAATGACAAATTTGACCCACACTACACCATGATATTGCTATTATAACTCGAGTTAATAATCTCAAGTCAACAGATTTCCATTCAAGACCACATGCAATGCAAACAAGGTAACATATCATATCCAACTACACGGATATGATAGGTCTTAAAAAAACTAGGTATAAAAAGGTAAATCAAATTCATAAGGAAGGAACAAAATCCAACTACACGGATTTAATCTAGAAATAAAAAAATAAAAAAAGAAGAAAATATATATGTTCTAACTAAAAAGTGATGCATTGAGGCTTTAAGTTATTTAAATTCGAGAGACGAATGGGCAAGCACAAAAAATCAGTAAACATCATCCAAATGCAAGGACAACAAAGAGAGACGAGAAAGGGAAGTCTTGTATTTTCCAAACCAATCGAGTACTAATCGTTTATCACAATATTATACGACTAGCAATCATGTGTCACAATAACATAACATAGAACAACTTAAGTTGACTTGGTGTAAAGGCGGATGCCAAAAGCCAAACCCAAGATTGCAATGGGAACAAGGAACTGCAGAAGTTTGACGATAAATTCAGAAGTCTTGTCCTGATTGTAATGAGGCTGCTTCGGAGGAGTATATGTGGTACTGCTGGGGATAGTAGAGGCATCGATGTCTCCGACGCACATGTCCTTCAACATGTCTCTGGCATTATCACTATGACCCACGTCCTCAAAATCATCAGTTGCATCCTTCCCTGGAAAAGTACATGGCAACGTCAAGTTCTGTCTTGTACACAAAGAAACTTATGAAGAGACAATTAACAACATATCTTCAAGCCGATGATCATGTTGTTGGTACAGACAAGTCAACATGATCAACAACATGTGGGATTTGCTTCTCAACCGTTCGATAAACTATGGACGACTGAAAAGTGGATCAAATACATCCCAATCATTCACATTAATCGAACTATTTTAAACTAGGTCCTCATCTAAGGGCCTTATATGAGAATAAATTATATACATGCAAAATATCATGTATCTAGTACAGAGCCCTCCTATTGAGGGATCCCTCAATGAACTTATTAAGGGACACGTACACACTCAATTCGACCCCTCAAAGTGGTTTGACGATCAAACAGTCCATTGTTTCAAGTCTCCATTCAAGTATATTCTTTGTGAGAAAACAACCAGATAAAAAACTATTTAATCATTTGATTATCATCCTTCAGCATTAATTGACACACCAAGTTCAAACTAATTTGATAGCAATCAGATGTCTGAATGGTTCCAATTGGGGCAATGTCTTCAAGGAATTGAAAAAAGACTTAAAAAGATGGACGGTTAATATTGTTAAACCACATTGCATAGTGGGGCATAAAATGTGTCCCTTAAATAAGCTTACTAAAGGTTCAATTAGGTAGGATTATATGAGTGAATCCATAACTCAAATGTTTACTGAAACTGTATATTTCTTGCCAAATGATGATAGATTTAAAACTTGATTCTTAAAGATATTTCAGTTAACTTCACACCTGTTGCAGACAACAAAACATCATCACCACCTGGATGGTCCTCCAAAAACTTGGTCACATCATAAACCTGATAAAAAATAAATAAATAGATGATATAATTGAGGGGAAAAAAGCAAGCAAGATAACTGTTTTTTGCTAGATATAAGAAGACACTACCCAACAACTTTACGGTCTAGATACTAGTTTAGCAACTGTCAATAATTCAAGTACGCCTCTAGTTCCTAGCAATGCACCTTTAAACAGAAGAGCATATGATACAATAATATTGTCTTAGATGTGGAAACAAATGTGGTTCTATACTAAACGTAGTTTGACGAGACCATGATTTTGTCGATGACAGGAAGCAAAATATTTCTAAGGAATCTTCATAACATTCAGAACAAATTAACTTCTACAACAAATAATTGGAAAGAAGATAATGAACATTAGTTATACAACAAATATGGGGAATGATTTTGGCACTCCAAAACTCACCTCCCTCACTGTATCACTCACATATGAGGAGTGCATTAGGTAATTTAAAGATGATTTTGGAGTGCCAAAACATGACCTTAAAATATAGATAGACATCTGTTAAATTCTTTTATAAAAAATTCCACAAAACATTAGAGTGCTATCTGGACTACATTTTACAAAATTAATGAGTCTGGCACCCCAAGACCACAAATAATAGAAGGATGGTAATAAATTTTTTGAAATAAAATTTTTTTTCCATTTAAATCAAGCAACATAAGATTTATAAAAGATCAGTATAATTTTTTAACGGGATGATCTGAAAAACTACGATTATAGTGCTCTATTGATTTGGTAAACTCTTTAGTGAGTCCAGTACTATGAAGTGAATCTCATCACCTAATCTAATTGGATGGTCCAAAAAACTAAGGTCACAGTGCTCTACTGATTTGACTCTCATTGGTGAGAAATACAGGGAATCTTATTATTTAATGTAATCCTGGCCTGGAAGAGAATCTAATCTCTTAGCGTGGGCAAAGTGCAACACATCCAATTAAAGCATTTCAAAACATATACTTAAAGAGTTCAAGAAGTGAAGCTTTGGAAGACAGAACAAGATTACCAAATAAACTACTAAAATGACAGTACAGACATAGATATTAGTACTAATGGAGTAAACTATAAAGACATAAGAGGAACACAATAGTATTCTAAAAATCTGCAATTCACACCATAGAAACTAAACACTATCAAGACACAAATTATGAATACTAAAGCTAAGTTTGAAGTTCAATCCAACCAATACATATTGCGACGTTAAATCACATCAAGCATACTTCAGGCTGTTATCGCAATTGTTCAAGGCCTCATGAACATTTTAGAATACGTTACCTGTAATGAATATGGTTAGCACTTAACAGAAGGGTATAATAAACAAACCTCCCTGAGATTATGAGAATTGCGGAAACTTCTTTTCTTTACACAAATTACACCAATCTCCTATCTCTTGATAAGTTTTAAAAAAGATTTTTGATCACATTTCATATTCTTCCATACTTCCTATATCTCTTAAATGAGTAAATAAGCTCAAAAATTTTACCATACATACACATCAGTCTTATTAAATACAATTGCCATGTTGAAAAGTAAACTTCAAACATAGAAATTAGTAAAATCCATCTTAGAAACAGCAAATCCAGTACTAACAACTACTCTAAAACTTATTATGATAAGGGAGTTTCTGAAATAGAAGTGAGGCTCAGGAGAGGTTGCTGTACAGCAAATTATGAGTATGAACATCAACATGTATAACAACAGAATCACCGGGTTGGTTCCCTAAAAAGAAAACCAAAAACCTTTAGCAGCAAAAAATCAAAAGAAAACAAGATCCATAATGTCACAAGGAAACTAATTATCTATTTTGATCATATGCATGACTAAACTCGCATGCAAAGGATTCAAATTCCCATCCTCATGTCCTTTATAATGAAAGCCTTCCAATTTACTTGGTCAATACTCCTCAGAGAAAAAAAAAATTACTGGGGTCAATAAATATAAAGACAGAGAATATAATCCAAGAAGCAAGATAATCAAAGCTTCATATCATATGGTAAAAAATGGGAAAAGAGAGAACCTTGCCATTGATGATCAGCCAACAGTCCTTGGGGGTGTTGTGCTCAGAGACTTGAGCCAAAGTGAAGAACTTTCCATCAACACCCATTTGATTTTCTTGGTATCTCCGCTGTGTACTTAGGCAAAAGAAACTACTGGGTGAAAATTGATGAAGTTGGTATGCTTAAAAACAAATGCAGATCGGTTAACGATGCGGGCTACCACGCCAAGAGACAATACAGACAGCAAATAGTGAGAGAGAGAGAGAGAGAGAGAGAGAGAGAGAGAGATGATATCAAGGGAACGGGTTAGGTTATATGAATGAAATAGAGTTTGTTAGGTGGATTTAGGCCGGCCCTTGGTAGGCTACTCGTCCAAGGTTTGAGAGTGTATTGGTTTGGTTGGTATTGAAAGTAAACGGGTGATTTTAAGGGTTTGGTCGTTTTTGTCTATTTACTAGGCATGGGTACAGTTCAGGTCGGGTCAACTTTCGGCCTGATTCAGAAGTCGAACCGGAAAAGACAACGGTTCTTGAGTTGATTTGAGTGGATACTAAAATCTGAAGTTGGGCCGACCTGATTAGATTCAGTTTGGTCGGTTTGAGCTTGAGTTCAATATCAATTTTTTATAGCTCAATATCAAATGTTTTTCTTCCAAAAGCCGATTATTGGTTTATTTTTGGGCTAACATCATTTTACACTCTCAAGATTTGGGGTCATTTTTGAAATGGGTTACGAGATTTTAATTTGTCTATTTACGCCTTAACATTTTAAAATTCGACCAATTTACACATTTCGTCAGTTTGACCGTTTGGTCTTCTGTTAGGTGTAATTAAATATTAAAAAATAATATTAAAAAATTAAAAAATTTGACATAAACAAAATTTAAAAAAAAACCTATGGTGTCCCTTTTCTCTTTCTCTTTTCTCACTTCGTTGGAATATGGCAGCCCTTTCCTCCTCCCCCATCAGTTCATTTTTTTTTCTCTCTTTCTCTCGGTAGCCCTATCCTCTATACCCACCCACACACCATCTTGCCCACCCACCTCTCCCACGAAAAACTTCTTAGCACACCCACCATTCTCTCTTTGTACACCACTAACTCCAAGTCCAGCCACCCTTTTCTCCTTTCCCCTATCCAATTTATGTTTTTCTCCTATTCCAATTTCTATCTTTCTAATCCAACCAAAATAACACAAAAACAACTTCTCAAACCCAACCAAAAAACCCAACAACAAAAGAAGAAGAAGAAGAAGAAGATGATGAATGGACTTTTCTGAAACAAAAGTAAAACAAAAAACCAACACTTGCACATTCAAATTGACCATGAAATTGAGAGGTCATCATCATCATCATCATCATCATCATCATCTCTCAACCTTCTTCTTAACTATGAAAGTAAGACCGAGTCGTTGTCAATTCCATCGCCCTCACCGCTGAACGTCTCGAGTGCTCCAACTGACCAACCTTTCTTATATGAATTGTCATCTGGGTCGACCCTAGATCGGCCCCAATCCCCTCCGTCACTATCAAACGCCATTGTTCTGACCCTACTGGCATCACAACTTTTGTAGAAATTGTCACACTCGGCCCTTGCCTTTTCCTCTACTGCCCCCGAGTCAATCACCAGTCTGAGTTTGAGAAACTCGTCAATGCCAGAGGACTCAGTTTCCAGAGATTTGCAGACTACTCGACTCAAGAATCCCACCCTCAAGCTTCTTTTACATTGACACAGTCGAGCCCAACCGTACATCAACGACCAACAGCGAAGCTGTGAGAATGGGGTGATTGTGAGAAGGGCGAGGATGATTTTGAAGGCTGAGAACAGGGTGTGGTTGCTGGGTTTTATGTGTTGTGTTGGGCAAGATGGTGTGAGGGTGGATATGGAGGATGAGGCTGCCAATAGAGAGAGAGAGATAGAGAGAGAGATAGAGAGATAGAGAGATAGAGAGAAATGAGATATAGTTTTTTTTTTAAATATCTATAAGAAAAATTAATTCTTAATATTTAATTACACCTAAACTAAAAAAGTGTACCCTATGTTTGCCATGTCATCACTTAACTAAAGACTAAATGGTCAAACTAACGGAACATGTAAATTGGTCGAATTTTAAAATGTTAGGGCGTAAATTGATAAAATTAAAACCTCATGGCTCATTTCAAGAATGCTCCCAAACCTTGAGAGGGTAAAATGATGTTAGCCCTTTATTTTTTTCCCAACAACCTAATATCAGTTTTTCAAATAGGCCAACTATAAAGCCCATTTCGTAGTATGTATGTATTGCCTAAATCATGTAAATTCAACTATAGTTGCATTGCCATGTCGGAAAATTCAAATGCATAACGATGAGTGATTGACTTGAAATATCGCCTTCTTGGAGGTGGTGTGTCCTTTGGCCAACTTCTCATGCTCATTAATGGAAGTTATAAGTTATAATGAAGTCTATGTGTGGGAACCAAAAATCAAATCCCACATATTAAGGCTGAACCCGTCACGATTAAGAGCAAATGAAGATGTGGGTTAGTTGGACTTCCCTACTACTAGAAAAGTGTGAGGTAGGGGGCATAACCCAACCAACGACTCCCCACGATTATGAAATGGGGGATGGGATGCGTGAAGTCAATGAGATGGGGCTAAATCTAAGGGCTTGAAATGCTATAAAAGCCTAATGAAACCTCAACCAAAAGTACGAAAAATTCAATTGAGCATTGAGAGTTCATTGCATAAGCACTGACTTGAGGTACTCCATTTTTTTTGTGCCATTTGTTTTTTAAGAAGCGATCTGAAGTTCTTTTCAATCAAGGACATGTGGAGGCATTTTATCTTGAAAGAAATCTCGCTCCAACACTATGAAACTGTCAAGGCTAGTGAGGGGTTATAATGAGAAGGTTCTTAATAGTCATTCAATCTAGTGCAAACTTAGTATTGGACTATTGAATTGAATCCCCTCATTGTAATCCTTCAACATAGCCCCTCATTATAGAAGCACCCGAATGAATATAGATGTTGGCTCCGCTCTTAGGTTGACCATGCATTTGCAAAAGGTAACCATAACAAGGAATTAATTATTTATTGGAAACAAACAAACAACCATTTGTTTTAAATTTGTCTAATTCTTTTCAAGAAGATCATCTATGAATGAAGCATTGAAAGATATACATTCCATATCGTTGAAATAAAATTTATAAGGGACTCTAAAAGGTGTCTCTAAGACAGAAGAAGAGTGTTGTATGAAATATATTTAAGTTCAAGTCAATATGAATTTATATTTCTTTTAAAGAAGAAGTACGAATTTTATTTTTACTTTATTTTATTTTCTTTTTTTTTTTTTTTTTTTATCATTCAATCTTTTTATAATTGGGATTGGACTTGCATATATTGTATTGAGTTGAATTCAAATACGGAAAATCCAACTATTCTTGAATTGGATTAGGTTAGGATGCTCAAAAATAGGTTTGGATTGACACCCTCCTCCCATTGAATTTTTATTTTTATTTTTAAAAGTTATAAAATATGAAAATTGTTTGGAATCCTCCTGGCACAACCGTCCACTCCTCCACCTTTTTAATTTGTATTTATATTTTTAATTTTTTTTGACTTGTTGGGTAAGTATGCTCTAAAGAACACAAAACCAGAACAGTAGCGCATTCTACCATCAGTGCTACTACTCTCTTTCTGTCTTGTCTTTTTTTACTATTATAATATTATTCTGCTAGTGCTCCTAGGGTTTCGAATCCACCTCTCCCAAATCGGAATCCCAATTCTCCTGAACCCAATTCGAACCCTAGGGCTCGTGTAATCGGTCCCTGTTCGTGCAGCTATGGCGACCTTGGTGAGCTCGGCCGGTGGGCTATTAGCCATGCTCAACGAGACCCATCCTTTGCTCAAGCTCCACGCTTTATCCAACCTCAACAAATTGGTTGACGGCTTTTGGCCCGAGATCTCCACCAGCGTACCCATCATGTACTTTCTCTCGCTCACTCTCTCTTTTTTTCTTTTTCTTTTTAATTTTCTGTTGCACTTTTGGGATTAGGGTTTGCATTTGGTTGTCCTTCATCTTTTCGATAGGCGAGAAACTTCGGGAAACAATTTTTGAAACTCAAGTCGAAATTTGAGGAAGATTTAAGACCAACTAAGCTAATTGCTCGTGTTAGTTTTCTTAAAGAATTGTTTTTGTGTATTTTGGAGAATTCAACTATCAAATGTGTGAGATTGTACATTTTTGTTGTTGAAATTTATGTACTTTGGATACTTCTTGTTTCTTTGTTCTCATTGAAAGATGGTTTATTATTTTGGTCAGTTAAGAGAATTAGGCGTTTTTCTGAGAAGAGATTCTGTTGGAGATTTGCGAATGTTTTCTGGGCGGTGATGGAAGTGATTGGTGTCTAGGTTGTAGTGATTGGTGTGTTGGCGAAGGTGGCTAGTATATAATGCAATAAGAAAGAAAATATTGGAGTTCCATATATTTTTACAGGGTTTGCAAATATTGTATTTCATTAGTAGAGATGAGACATACGATGCAGATGGGGTCTTGGTATTTGTAAACCCTGATAATACAAACTTAGGAGAAATGCAAGTTTTGCTCTTTTTTTCCTTCCAAACATTGACTGTCAAAGTACCTGGGCTATGCTTATGCCCTGTCAACGTTTGGTTCTGCTTCTTGTCAATAAGTTGGTTATGCTAGAGTGCTTCTATAACCTTAGTCATGCTGATTTTCAAATTATGTGATTTTGCATATATTTTGAAGAAACCAAAATATTTTTAGCTTATATTTTGTGTTTATTAATTTTCTTTTCTAAATTGTTTTGTTGCTCAGTGAAAGTTTATATGAAGATGAAGAGTTTGATCAGCATCAAAGGCAACTGGCCGCTTTGCTTGTGTCAAAGGTAAAATCACTGCTCTGGTGCCTTTTATTTTTTATATCTTCTTTTTGTTTCAAACTATTGTGTTACAAACAAGATTCGTTATTACACTCTGAATTTACTTGCATCCTAAGTGGTTTTTTGATCAATCAATATCAATTTGGTTGCAAATAAATAATTAGAAATATTAGTAAACTAGCAATGCAAAATACTTTCATTCAAATTTGGCAGGTAGGGTTTGAAGACTTTGTCTCTCTTCATCATTTGTGGAAATACATTCCCTGTTTTTTTTCTTTTGAATATGTAGAGTTTGCTACTTCTGTGTTTTCTTTACATGACTTGTGTTCTTTCTCACCCCAGGTTTTCTATTATTTGGGTGAACTTAATGATTCACTTTCCTATGCCCTTGGAGCTGGTTCCTTATTCGATGTGTCAGAGGATTCTTATTATGTTCATACTCTTCTTGGTAAGAATGTTTTTGTGTTCTTCTTTACTTGTACAAAAGAGTGTAATCACTCTTAGGCGTTAAAGCTTACAATTTTACTTCTCATAGCTATGACTGAGAAGTTGGGATGTACATCAATGGAAGAAACTATGAAAGGGGGATATGCAAACTTAATAATCAACTCTGTTTTATTAACAATGATACCATCATTTTTTTAATTTGATATTGTTAGAAGTGGGCTAGATATATGAAACTTTGGGAAGGTTTAACCGGACTGTACTCACATGACATTTCTGGTTGTTTGCTCCTCTTCTCAGCTAAAGCCATAGATGAATATGCCAGTCTTAAGTCTAAGGCAGCAGAATCAAATGTTGAAGCAGCAAATGTGGATCCTAGGTTGGAGGCAATTGTGGAGAGAATGCTGAATAAGTATGCAGGCCTCTAATGTTTTTGTATGCAGTACATAAGTACCTCTAGGTCTCTTACTATTTTTTATCTTTAGGTGTATCATGGATGGAAGATACCAACAAGCCATGGGGATTGCAATTGAATGTCGAAGACTGGATAAACTTGAGGAGGCAATCACAAAAAGTGATAACGTTCAAGGAACTTTGTCATATTGCATTAATGTCTCGCATTCCTTTGTTAATCTTAGGGAATATAGACATGAGGTAAGACTTTGCTCTTTCTTTTGCCAACATATTATTGTTAATATGATGTTTCTGTTTTTGCATTGTTTGAAGCCATGATACTCTCTATAAATATGCAGTGATACAGAAAAAAATAAAGGCATTTTCTTTGTTGGTTGCTTCTGTAGAAGTATGATGGTGCAATACAGTACATAGGTTCAATATGTTTTTATACTTTCACAACATAATTTAGGTTTCTCTTTCATAGCAATTTAATGTTTGATTGCATAGAATTATTTGAGGCTGTGGAGTTAATAGGAAGGTGTTCTGATTTTTTGCCTCACACAGATTAAGTTGGCTTTAATATTGGATAACACTGTTATAAACTTTAGAGGTGCTCTCCCGTTGTTTCTTCTTATATATGTTTTTCTGGTTACTTTCTATATGTTAAATCTTGATGTTAAACTAAGAAGGGCATGCAATAAGTTTGGAACTAAGACCAAAAACAATCAGACAATGTGATTGGAAAATGTTGTACGTAGTCCATTTGGCTGTCCCTTTGTGTCTCCTTTTCTTGCATCGTGTTTCCAGAAACATCATGTTTCCGGAAACATTGTGTTTTGTAATTTCTCACATTCTATTAATGCTTTTTGTTTATGTTGGTTGATTAAATCAAGTCATGCGTTGTGCAAATAGTCTTTATTGAGGAGATTGACAGGATTTGTCCTCGTTTGGTTTTTGTACAGGTACTTCGTCTTCTTGTCAAAGTGTATCAAAAGCTGCCATCTCCAGATTACTTGAGCATTTGTCAGTGTCTCATGTTCTTGGATGAACCAGAAGGTGTAGCAAGCATATTGGAAAATCTTCTGCGCTCTGAAAACAAGGACGATGCACTTTTGGCATTTCAAATAGCATTTGATCTAATAGAGAATGAGCACCAAGCTTTTCTCTTAAATGTTAGAAATCGCCTTTCACCTCCCAAGATTCAACCTTCAGAATCTGCTCAGCCAGAATCTGCACAACCACAATCTAGTGAAGCTGCTCAAAGTGAAAGTAATGCTGCTCAAGGTGAAAGTAATGCTGCTCAAAGTGAAAGTAATGCTGCTCAAAATGAAAGTTCTGTGGAGGATGTTCAAATGACAGATGGAAGTTCTACTTCAAATGCAACCGTGCATGAAGATCCTAAAGAAGTGATCTATTCTGAGAGGCTGACGAAAATTAAAGGAATTTTGTCTGGAGAGACATCGATACAGTTAACTTTACAATTTTTGTACAGTCATAACAAGTGAGGCTGCTAAATTCTTCCAATATATTTTATTTCATTAACTTATAAATTTCTTTTGGAAATCATTGGTTGAGAAGTGTTTTGACTGTTTTCTGTTAATTTCATATAGGTCTGATCTTCTTATTCTGAAGACAATTAAGCAGTCCGTTGAGATGAGAAATAGTGTATGCCACAGTGCTACTATTTATGCTAATGCAATTATGCATGCGGGAACAACTGTTGACACGTTTCTGAGGGAGAATCTGGTGAAGCAGATATCTTACTATTTCCCTTTGCACCTTTTGCACCTTTTGTAATGTTATATTCTATTTTCTTTGCTAAGAATATTGACCACTTCAGTTCTTTAAATTCTCAGGACTGGTTAAGTAGAGCCACAAATTGGGCTAAATTCAGTGCCACAGCAGGGCTAGGTGTTATTCACAGAGGCCACCTGCAGCAGGGAAGATCTCTGATGGCACCGTACTTGCCTCAGGGTGGGGCAGGTGGTGGTGGAAGTCCATACTCAGAAGGTGGTGCCCTCTATGCTCTGGGTCTCATTCATGCCAACCATGGCGAGGGCATCAAACAATTCCTTCGTGATAGCCTACGCAGTACTAATGTGGAGGTGTGCACTATATATATATATTAGTGATTGCGTCTTTTTGTGCACGTTAGTTTATCGCCAAAATTTTCTAATGGGACCTTTGATGCAGGTTATTCAACATGGTGCATGCTTAGGTCTTGGCTTGTCAGCTTTAGGAACTGCTGATGAAGAGATCTACGATGACTGTAAAAGTGTGCTCTACACTGACAGTGCTGTTGCTGGCGAAGCTGCTGGGATTAGTATGGGTTTGCTCATGGTTGGAACTGCAAGTGAGAAGGCTAGTGAGATGCTTGCTTATGCGCATGAGACACAACATGAAAAGATCATCAGGTATAGATAGCTGCGTGACCTAGTTTGTACTTGGATTTCTTTTGTTAAAAAAATTCATTTATTGAGAAAAGTGCTCTGTGGGAGGAATGGCACATTTTGGCTGTGGTCTTTGCTAACTGTGTATTCTGTGTACAGAGGGTTAGCATTGGGGATTGCCCTGACTGTATATGGAAGAGAAGAAGAAGCAGACACTCTAATTGAGCAGATGACAAGAGACCAAGATCCTATTCTACGTTATGGTGGTATGTATGCATTGGCATTGGCCTACAGTGGGACAGCAAACAACAAGGCCATTCGCCAGCTGCTACATTTTGCTGTATCAGATGTGAGTGATGATGTTAGGAGGACTGCTGTTCTAGCACTTGGTTTTGTCTTGTACTCCGAGCCAGAGCAGGTTGGTGTTTTCTTATTTGTGTATTTCTGTCTCTGATCGTCCATCTTCTGTTGTTTCCCAAAGCAATTTTTTGTTGCTTGATACCCTTTTTATTTTTCTGTTGGTCTGATAAATACCTTGTCTCCAAAATTGCACTGGTAAATTGCAGACGCCTCGAATTGTCTCCCTGCTATCTGAGTCTTACAATCCTCATGTTCGATATGGCGCTGCTCTTGCCGTAGGCATTTCCTGTGCTGGTACTGGCTTGAGTGAGGCCATATCTTTGTTAGAGCCTCTGACTTCAGATGTTGTTGACTTTGTGCGCCAAGGTGCCCTAATTGCAATGGCAATGGTCATGGTCCAGATTAGTGAAGCCAGTGATTCTCGTGTTGGAGCTTTCAGGTAATGTCATCATAAAATTGCAAAGTTTTCCAACTCTCTCTCTCTCTCTCTCTCTCTCTCTCTCTCTCTCATTTTGCAACAATTTGTGTACTAATCTTATAGGCGGCAATTGGAGAAAATAATTCTTGATAAGCATGAGGACACCATGAGCAAAATGGGAGCAATCTTGGCCTCTGGAATTCTTGATGCTGGTGGAAGGAATGTGACGATAAGACTGCTTTCTAAGACAAAACATGATAAAGTTACTGCAGTTGTTGGCCTTGCTGTTTTTAGCCAATTTTGGTACTGGTATCCCCTTATATACTTCCTAAGCTTGTCATTCTCACCAACAGCTTTGATAGGACTGAACTCTGACCTGAAAGTTCCAAAGTTTGAGTTCCTGTCACATGCAAAACCTTCGCTGTTTGAATATCCTAAACCAACCACTGTGCCAACCACTACATCGGCTGTAAAACTCCCCACTGCTGTACTTTCAACATCAGCAAAGGCCACCAAAGCTAGGGCCAAGAAAGAAGCAGATCAAAAGGCAAACGCTGAAAAGTTATCTGGGGCAGAGAGTTCATATGCACATTCTGGAAAAGGAAAATCATCTAGTGAGAAAGATGGGGATTCAATGCAGGTGAGCAGTATGGGCATAATGGGCCCATCCCACCTTTTCTTCTTCCTCCTCTGTTCCATTTTTGCATTTAAACTTAAGAGAATGATATAAGTTTAGTGTTTAAATTTTATTTTTCTTTTAAAAGATTGCTTGAGCTGCATACACAGCCATGATCCAAACTAGTAGTAACAATTGGAAGAGAGAATATGATGGGATATATTTACTTTGCAATGCTTAGTTTATGATATCATAATTGTTCTGAATCCAACTCCCCTTCTTCCCTTTGGCAGGTTGATAGCTCAGTCGAGAAGAAATCAGAGCCGGAGCCTTCGTTTGAGATTTTGACCAACCCAGCTAGGGTGGTTCCTGCTCAGGAGCAATACATTAAATTTCTGGAAGGAAGCAGATATGAGCCCATCAAGTTAGCACCATCCGGGTTTGTTCTCTTGAGAGATCTGAAACCGACTGAACCCGAGGTGCTTTCGCTTACAGACACACCCTCTTCTACAACATCAGCTGCTGGTGGATCAGCAACGGGACAGCCGGCGTCTGCTTCAGCCATGGCAGTTGACGAGGAACCGCAGCCTCCTCAGGCGTTTGAATACACTTCGTGATTTTCAGTTTAGTTATCATTTTCGTTCTCTTCTGACAGTCAGAAATTCGCGCTGAGTATGCCGTGGATATTGTTGACTTGCTTGTTTTACTTACGTTGAAATTGTTAAATTTCAATTTCTTGTATACAATTTTATTTTTGATGAGTTTCAATTCAATTGTCATCTCTGGTGATACTGGGATGTTAGATTTGAGCCCCGTCAGCAAATAATGTTTCAACAGGGGATTAATGCAACCTCTATGCCTCATAGTCATAGAATCATAGATAGCTACATTGGGTTTAACATAATATATTCCTTCTCACAAAGTGAAGCCACAAGAAACAAAACATGGTCTTTATCCCTCAAATTTGCTAACCTTTTTCTCCGTTCTTTTTGGGTAATGAAAATGGTATCTTGCCCCTGCTCAATTTTCTTATTCAACATATATATGACTTTTTAAGCAAATGTATATAATGGGGATGGAATTCTAACTATAAAATTGAACATACGAGGAATCATGAGTAGGCCAACTATATTCAAATATTGGCAAGTGTGTGTCAGTGTGCATGGAATTTCATTTGTCTTATTTCCTTGTGTAGTTTAGCAAGTCAGTTGTGAACGTTTGGAAATATATATGCATGAGGAAGCAAATGTTTTATTGAAGTTTTTGAGTCTTATTTGATGAACTTTGTAGTTCGTGGTTAGTTTTGTAGTTGGACTTAAATTATTGGTTTGTGCAGTGGACTTATTTGTTTTGCAAGACTCGAATGATGAAGTTTTTATCTTTTAATGGTGATTGAGTAGGATTATGAAGTTTTGAAATTGGATTGAGTTGATTTCAATTCATGTGTGTGTTTGTTTTTGTTTTTTTTGGCCTAAGTTGTATATGGAAGTTAAATTTATTAAACTTGTGTAAAAATAATCCAATGATAGCTTGTTCTTTATATTTTATCTCTCATAAACTTACAATTATAGCTCCGCCTCTGACTATAAAGATTTTCTGAAAATCTTTTTAAGGGGATAAGACAAAGACACGAGTGGGAATGAAGATCAAGTACATAAATAATGGTATTGTGATCACCATTCCCGAACCTGGCCATTACCATCCGTAACTATTCGGGGTCAATGGCTATGTGCCAACGTTTGATTTGGAAAACCCACTTCGGCTGCCTTTCTATTAATGTAACAAAAGAAATACGTTACGAAATTGAGTCAATTGTTGAAAATTCATCAAGCTAGGTAGATAGATCTTATGTATGCCAATAATTAATAAGGAATCACATGCAGTTGAGTTATCTAGCTTCCTGATTGATTTGTAATTTTAGAAGAAAAAAGAAGAGAAAAGTTAGAAAAAGAAGAATAAGGTCATGAATCTTGTTGGTAGGTAATCTCTTTGAAAAGTTGAAAAGTTGAAAGTGGAAATTATAAAATGTTCACAAGCGGCTAAGCCTTAATAATGGTCATGGGGGAGAGTATTTGTGGCGCTCTCTTGTCCTGTGAGGCTGTGACACACATAAATTAAAGGAGGCCGTGACAGTGAGGTGAAACTGTGACAACCAAATTAATCCCACAGGCTCCTCTCTCTCTCTCTCTCTCTCTCTCTCTCTCTCACGGCAACTCTGGCTGGCCCATTACAGATATATAGACATAACTGAACCACGTAGCCAAATCTCTTATAAAATTGCAAGATCCTTTCCTCCAATCTCTAACAAAAGGTGGGGTTTGGTGCAGTTTCTGTTGGCCTTTGTCTTAGATAAATTTGTATTGTTTCTAACCTTGATGATTATTGTTACCTAACTTGTCTATATTTTCTGTTTTATCAATCTTCAAGCAATTAATTTATCTACAGTCCGTAATTTCATGCATTTTAACATTGTTTCAGGTATAGGACCAAAGCTGTCCTAGTTTCCACTAGGGTAATTTGTCCTTGCTTCAATTTAGCTCCACCCCCGGGCCTAGGGTTTTCCACTAAAGTTGTACTCGTTGTCCTCCTCTTCATCATATACTATATATTCTGTACATATGGAGAAGGAAGAGAACAACTACTCGGTACAAAATTCAGCTTTCTCTCCATCTCACACTGCTTATTTCACTTCCCTTTTACTTTTTGTTTATTTTCTGTTGACAAATATTGTCATCAATCACCATGTTGTTCTTTTGCTCTGATTATGAAATATTGCAGGCTTTTATGCCGTCTGGTAACTTTAACAACCTGGATTACACCCTAGATCATCATCATGATGAAGATCAGCAGATGATGAAGTCTCGCGTCGACGAGACTCCAAGTGAGAACAACAACGGAATGGTCAATTACTTGATGAACAATCACCATCAACTACAACAACAGCAACAACAAATGAGCACACAACTAGCTCCAGCTGGGTTTTGTGGTTCAACAAGTACTTCTTTTGATAAGCTGAGCTTCGCCGACGTGATGCAGTTTGCGGATTTTGGACCCAAGTTGGGCTTAAACCAAACCAAGATTTCAGAAGAAGAACCCTCCGGAGTGGACCCTGTTTACTTCCTCAAGTTTCCGGTGTTGAACGACAAGTTCGACAACGATGTCATGGTTCCACAAGCTGAAGAGAGATTTACAGGGTTGGGTGAAGAAGGCAAGACGAAGTCAATGGAAGAAGATCAAGATGAGGAGGCTCGGGTTTCGGGTAGTAATTCGGTGCAGCAGCTCCAATTTCTTGGAGAAGATCTTGAAAACAACCCTAGAGGAGGAGTAGAACCGGAGCCTGCAGCCAAGAACAAAAGAAAAAGACCAAGAACTACCAAGACGACTCAAGAAGTCGAAAGCCAGCGGATGACTCACATCGCCGTGGAAAGAAACCGCAGGAAGCAAATGAATGAGCATCTTCGTGTGCTCCGGTCCCTCATGCCTGGCTCATATGTACAACGAGTAAGTATATATTGTTTAACTGTTTTCTTTCAATTCAACAACTTTCGTCCATGAAATTTGAACTCACGACCTCCATCACCACTGAAATATTTTTAAATTGAATGTATGCAGGGGGATCAAGCTTCTATCATTGGAGGAGCCATAGAGTTTGTGAGAGAATTAGAGCAGTTGCTTCAGTGCTTGGAATCACAAAAGCGGAGAAGGCTCTTAGGCGAAGCTCCAAGACATGAGGTGGGAGAATCTGCCGGAGCGATGGCTATGGCGGTGATGCCTGCAGTGCAGGCAGCTCAAGGCGGCAGCGGGGGACCATTGATCTTTCCGGCTGCTAATCTCCCTGTGAATCCAAATGATCCAATCAAGTTCGTGGACTTCGAAACGGGGCTTCGAGAAGAAACGGCTGAGAACAAGTCGTGCTTTGCTGATGTTGAGGTGAAGGTTTTAGGGTTTGATGCGATGATCAAGATTTTGTCTCAAAGGAGACCAGGGCAGCTCATTAAGGCCATTGCTGCGCTTGAGGATTTGCAGCTTAACATTCTTCACACTAACATCACCACCATCGAACAAACTGTTCTATATTCCTTTAATGTCAAGGTACGTATACAGATAGTTGAGATTATAAAACATTATTTTAGCATATGCAATTAATTAATCTGGGTTTTATATATATATATAAATGATGGGCAGGTTGAGAGTGAATCGAGGTTCACGGCTGAAGATATAGCAACCTCAGTTCAGCAGATATTCAGTTTTATTCATGCAAACACCGCCAGCATGTGATGATGATGGTGGAACTTGAATCTTATGACCACAGCCTTTTCTTTTGGATTCTGATCTATTTATATTTATTGTTTATGAAAAAGAGAAAAAGAAATTAATGAGCTAGCAGTGTGGTCTCTGGTATAACAGCAGTTGAACCTGCAGATTACTAGCTAGATTCCATTGTCCTAAATAAGTAACATTACATGTATTTCCTCTTCCAGATTGATATTAAAGGCATGTAGTGGTTCTGAAATCTCTTCAAATTCTCATCATTGAACAAATTAATTCTTATATATAGTGGTCATCTCTCTTCAAAATCGATGAAGTTGTTCGTATACGAATGCCTTTTCAGTTTCTTGTTTGAATGTCTAGTTTATAGAAGTGGAACAACTTAGCTATTAATTGTTGAAGATTGTAAAAATACCACATTAGAAACCTAAGAAAATAAGATACAAAGAAATCCAAGTGTGTGGTTTCATTACCTAACAAATACGCTTTGCGATAAAACTACATATTTACTAGGATATTTGTGTTTAAGTCGTTGAAAGTATCGATGTTAGTATTATAGTGGTTCACTCATCCGTCCTTTCGAAATCTTAATATCATATATGTAACATCTAAAGATGTGATTAATTGATAATTACATAGTAGTATCAAATATCTTTCCCCATATGTATATTTAAAATAGATACTGATGAAGCTGCTCACCCCCACATGCTCTCTCTCTGTTTCTATCTTGTGGGGAAGGAGAATAGTATCTGTTATGGCAGCAGAGGGAGTGTGGAGACAACTTCTGTCATATATGTTGTTTACTTTGATTGAATGAAAATAATTTTGGTCATATATGAGTTAGAAAGTCAACGGGTCCCGTACCTTGTTGCCGTGGGTCGTTGACTTGCCAGAAATGACTCTTTTGGTTTTATTCGACTGCCCTGAGACGTTGCCATTCTCAGAGGGTCCCTTAAGCATTTGGATTTAAATGCGAAGGTTCATCCATCACCACCTCACTTTTGTTGTGTGTTACATTCAATCATGTTTGCTTGGTCGCATTTGTCTTAAAAGAGTTGACCCATGTGGCTTCAATTGGCTTTATTCTCTTTCTCCCACTAGCTTACAGCTTGAAATTTCGAACTTATCACTGAAAACGATTGGGAGGCCCTTTTTCATCAATTAACTGGGGCGATTGTACTTGTGCAGATATGATGTATATATAATCGCTCCAATCGAAAGTCAATGGATATGATATTTTCTTTCTTTTCCAAATAATGGGTAAAGATTCTGGCACCACATAACACTATTATTGCTCACTTTCGAAGAAGAGTTGCTAAATTTAATTTTGTTACCACCCATTGTTAAATAAGTTTGTAACTTGCAGTTATGGACTTAGCCAAGTTGACTAGAGCGGATATGCTCTCAACTCTGCATCCGAATTCGAATCCTTATTTACATAATTTAAATTATATTAAAATAGAATATCATTTGTATGTATATGAAAAAAAAAGGTTTGTAACCAATAATTACAAGTAAAATATTTGGTGATCCACAATAAAAAAAAAGTCTAGGGCTCCATCTTTTCTCTCTCTTCGATCACATTTGGTGGCGAGGGTTTCGGACAAAGCCGGTCAAACCCTGCCATCTTCTTCGTCTCGACGAGGTCTTCCTCCTTCTGGTAACATTTTTTCTTATGGGGTATGTTAGAAGTTTTCCGTTTCAAAAAAAAAAAGTTTGGTGTCCTAGCTACCTTCGTATGGGCCTATTTCTAAAAGATTAACGTCGGCTCCTCACTTTGGGCCTTGGCTAGTGCGCAGCCTAGAGAAGTTTGTAAGGGGCCCTATGGGCTTCTTTAAACCCACGAAAGAAAATTAACCTGCCCAGCCCATATATTTTTTTTGGGCCTTTGATCTGGCATACCTGTGGGCTACGTGGCCACCATCTAAGCCCAGATGCCACACAACCCATCAATCCCCACCACATGCAAAGCTACACCAGCCAGCAGCCAACCAAACCCTCCAACCTTATATATACGCCTTCTTTATAAACCACGGCATTCCAAAACCCTAACCCTTACGCACCCATTTCTCACTTCACAGCCGCTTAGGGTTTGAGAGCGTGAAAACAATGGTGTCTGGCTCAGGAATCTGCGCAAAGCGCGTCGTGGTGGATGCCCGCCACCACATGCTGGGTCGCCTGGCGTCGATACTCGCCAAAGAGCTTCTCAATGGGCAGAAGGTCGTGGTGGTTCGATGCGAGGAGATCTGCATCTCCGGTGGGCTCGTCAGGCAGAAGATGAAGTACATGAGGTTCTTGCGCAAGCGCATGAACACCAAGCCCTCTCATGGTCCCATTCACTTCCGTGCCCCAGCTAAGATCCTCTGGCGCACCATCCGTGGGTACGTCGTCGTTTCTCTCTCACTCTCTTTCATTGCTGATTTCTAGATTTATCTACGTTTTCTTCAGTTTGAGCTAGGGTTTTCTGGGTTTGTTGGATTTTGTTTCAGTTTCTTAGTAACCGAACAGAATGCCTGGTGCCCATTGTTTAGTTTAATCTGGGAACTGGACGAGATTGATTCTATTAATTTGTGTTTTTTATTCTAATATGTTGATTGTCGGAATAGAATAGGAGTTGAAAAGTATTGGACTTGTTTATTTTTCTGGTTTGCTGATTTTGAAGAAAATGATCTCCAACTCATTATATGTTATAGACCTATTTTGTTATTTTATGTTTATTTTATTGATTCAAAAGGTGATCTATGTTTTTAGTTGGAACGGTAGTTGCGTTTTCTTCTTTATTTCACTCAATAGGGGATTTCTTTGTATAAATTATTTTACAGTGATTTTGTACTTGTGTCTTTGGTTTGCAGAATGATTCCTCACAAGACCAAGCGTGGTGCAGCCGCACTTGCCCGTTTGAAGGCATACGAGGGTGTTCCACCTCCTTATGATAAGATAAAGAGGATGGTCATTCCTGATGCTCTCAAGTGAGCTTTTCACACTAGTTTGTTGATTTTGATTACGTAGTTTTGTTATTTTTGTTTGGTTCTGTTTTCGTGAACTGAAAGGTTATTGTTTTTGGAAATTATCAGGGTCTTGAGGCTTCAAGCAGGACACAAGTACTGTTTGTTGGGCAAGCTTTCATCTGAGGTTGGATGGAATCACTATGAGACCATCAAGGTGATAATCACATGCTTTTCTTGTTTGCGCTTACTGAGTTTTTTGTGTCCTTGTGTTTGAGTAAAGCATATTATTTTCTCTTTTTAGTTCAGAGTAATACACCCATTTTATGGTTGTATTCAATTGGATCAGGTTACATCGGATTTTAGTTTCCACAATGTGGTTGTGTACATGTTATAGGGGTGTTATCACACTTAAACGCATAGTGAATTTAGTGGTTGTGATGCCATGTTTTGAACAATGCTTCATCAATGTTATAGTGATGGATTTGATTATTTTTATTTTTATTTGCAAAAGCTAGTTGGATCCTTCTGTTTGCTTTCCTAATCAGGACTTTTATTGTGTGTGTACCTACATGGCTTTAAATGGTGTCTTACTATGTATGTTAGTACATTAGTCTTTTGCGGTAGATTGGGTATGCATTTGTATGTCAGTGTCTAGAACTTTTGGAGCTTGCATTAGTGCATCCCCTACAAGTGCATAAATGCCTGGAATTCTGCATAGTATGGCACAAGTGACTAATAGCTAAGAACACCATTCCAGAGAAGGGTTATGTTCATAAAAATCATCACATTAGTTTGCTTTGCATTGAGTTACATGGACGACAATTCATATGTGTCATTCAGTTTACAACTTTGCTTCCCGACATCTATATTTAATTTTGTTGTGCGTTTTGAGCTTGAGGCATGTGGACTTGGAATGATGTTGCCATTGATTCCTGTACTTACAAGTAGTCACTAATGAATTTATCTGTGGCTGTGCAGGAGCTTGAGAACAAGAGGAAGGAGAGGGCCCAGCTTGCATATGAGAGGAAGAAACAGTTGAACAAGCTGAGGGTGAAGGCAGAAAAGGTTGCTGAGGAGAAACTAGGCCCCCAGCTAGAGATCATTGCTCCTATTAAATATTGATCAGTAGAGATTTGCCTTTAAAGACGAAAATGTTGTTGAGGATTGAGCTGAGAATTAAATTTTGTTTTGTGTTTAAGATACTTGGTTGTTCCTTGTGATGGTTTTAAGTATTTTGGCAGTAGTTCTTTCTGATAGATAGTCGTACACTTGTATGCTGTTTGGTATTTACGAATGAGCTAAATCACTGTTTTCTCAATTCAGTTCGATGGCTTTTTCTAGATGATAAATTCAATTTGAGGAATGATTCTCTATTTTTGCCCCCGAGCCATATCAGGTGACAACCAAAATACCAAGAAGTTCTCTAGAAAGAACAAATTGCCATAAGCATAGCAAATTGATTATATAGCAAAGATTTCATTAACTTGTACAATGCAACTTCATACAAATCAGAGGACGGTAAATCCTTTATTTACAATCTTTGCCTTCCCTTTCCCTGTTAAGATCCTTATATTCTCCCTTGAAGGCGAAAAATGATGTTTTCTGAGCTACACTCTTCGCTTCAAACTTGAAAAATCCGATTCTATTTGGATGGATGTATTTGAAAAAAACAAGGGTTTGGACTTGAAACAATATTAAATTTGCTTAAAAGAGCTACAAGTGTCATCACAAGTCCACTCAAACCATAAGCAAACAACTTGATGCCTTATTTCAGGAAAACCGAAAAGATTAATTGATTGATTAGTCTTAAAATCAATTAACAGGACAATAATCTCTCTCTCTCTCTCTCATAAACGTTGTTGTGGTTTGTTGGGAAACTTTGGTTTAACCCCTAATTATTAGAGCATAAAATTAGTACGGACACATCTGATTTCTTGGGTTTTCCTAAACAAATATATAACAACACCCAAGTGGAGCAGGCGGTGCTAATGAATTAAAGCTTTGAGAAGGAGTTATAACAAAGTCTCTTCACAAATAAATGATTTATTAATATAGTTTTATAACTAAGGACGCACTATTTCTCACTAGTTAGGACATGTGTTTGGAGGCCTAAATACGTGAAGGGCAACGGTTGACAATTTTTAAGTCATCTTTTGTGGATAAATAACAGAATGTGGTTTACCAAAAACAATAATATTTTATCTCATTTAGAAAAAGTCAAACAAAAGGTTTTGGGGAAAAGCTAAGTTTGGGCAGATTCAAACACTAATTTCAGATACGGAAGTAGCTGTTCTTAACCACATAAACTACAAGTACATTGCAGCAGTGCTCAATTTTAAACAACACTAGTATTTTAGCATGTGTCATGACACAAGGTACCATTTTGTTTTTCCTTCTAGAAAGTTAGCAAATCGATTAAGCAAGGAGAGTAGGTAACGTTACAGAGTCTATAATTACGAGGTCAAAAGTTGGCGTTCATTTCATGGCCACAAAGGCGGCATTCAATGGTTTAATTATTCTCACGTTTGTGATTGTCAGTAAATTTCTTCAAAACCTAACTTTGATAGTGCGGTTTCCTCCTACAAAATATGTCCATTCTTCCTCTCTAATTATTTTGACTGCTTAAGGAAGAAGCTTTCCCAAATTGGATTGTGGCCAAATTCCTTCAGATGTTTTTGCTTAACAAATGTCTTGTGCTCAATTAGCGGCAAATTGATTTCACCCTAAGTTTGATGTCCACAAAGACTTTTTTAGTACTAAAAAATTGGGGTTAGCAAATCCCTTTGAATGTGCAAGAGAAAAGAATGAACAAAGAAATAATAAAATAATAAAAAATAAAACGTAGTCAATCTCTAATTTGATAATTAATTTATGAAGATTTTAAGCAATTAAGTCTTTCATTAATTATTTTTTGAAGTCGAGAGAAATTTTTCTCTTGCATATATATAGGTCTTACCATATTTTTATTAAAAAAAATTCAATTGTTGCACCGAATTTGAATAATTCCCGGCATCTTCCAATAAAGTGGAGAGTATTCGATATACCACAAGATGAATTTGTTATTGACAATAATTTTTTTGAATTAGGGGTAGAGAATATAATCAAGTTGAGCAATTTAAGGGAACACAATATGCTATGGTTAGAAGGCTAGCTACTAAAATCTGTGTCAATTATGTATATACTAATTTTTTTTTAAAAAAAATAAATTTGGTGACAGACATCACCATCCAAAAAAGCTTCCTATAATCAGCACCTTGTAGTGAGGTTCAGACGAGGCTTGATCACACTGAACATATTTGGAATCAATTGAATCTCGAAAATCATGAAATAATTTTCCTTTTCCCTCCTGAATGTCTGTAAATTTATATTGTCTTTCTGTATATAGCCAACTTTAGTTTTCAATTTCTTCTCAATTTTGTAGATTTTTCTGATTATTTTATATTTTGTAATATTTGTTTTCACAGTTTTTCCTTTTTTTGTCCATCTACTCTATCTTCTCATTTTTGCAATAAGAAGCTGTTCCTACTTCCATACACTTAACTTGTCAACTGCACCTACATTTTTTTCCCTTTTAAATTATTTTTACAGGGTTGGAAAAGAAAAATATATAGGAAAGGAAATAAATCAAGGCTCAAAATTGAAAAAAATATAAATAAAGAAAACAACAACAAATAAAAAATTGATACCCCTTTGTAAAAAATCAATGAGTTTATTATTACAAGACATTCTTTTAGGTAGACCTTTGACTTTCCCAATTTCCCTCCAAATCCCAGAGTCTCATTGGCATGCTTTAAATACACACACACAGAGCAGCAATGAATTAAATTAAAAATAAAATTATTTCTGTGCTTCTCCCCTCTTCTCTTCTTCTCCAATCCTCATACCTTGTAGCAAAGCAAAGCTTCATACTCTCTCTCTCTCTCTCTCTCTGCAATAATTTTCTTTAGGCTCAAAGATGTCATCATTTCTTCATCTTCATGCTCATTATTATTATTCATGTGTAGCTCTAATCTTACTAGGCCTTGGATTATTGGGGCAATCCAATGCCCAAATGTATAGAGTTGATAGCAATAATAATAAGCTGGCTTATTACACCATCACTGTTGATCAATCTGGCCATGGCAATTTCACCTCCATTCAATCAGCCATTGATGCTGTTCCTATAAACAACAGGAACTGGGTTTCTATCAAGATCAAGGCAGGCACCTATAAGTAAGCTTAATCTTTGTGTTGTGATTGTATAAATCATGAATCTATTTAATTTCTTATGGGAAAATGAATTATTAATACTTGTTCTTTGTGTTTTTTTTTCCATTTCTGTGTGAATATTGCAGGGAAAAGGTGATCATCCCCATTGACAAGCCATACATAATTCTCAAAGGAGAAAATAGGCATAAAACACTGATTGTTTGGGATGATCACGACTCAGTTGCACAAAGCCCTACTTTTGCCTCTTATGCCGACAGTATCATTGTCAAATCCATCAGCTTTGTGGTAATTGCAATAATCATTATTAACTTTTGGTTCATATAGGATACGTGTTACACCAGTTGGTCAGGACAGTGACACCCCCCTTCCACTCAAGTTTGAATTCTTCTTTCCGTACGATTAGATTAATTTAGAGTAATTTAGACTATCGTTTGTGTTTAAATAATAAAAAAACTTTTGGTTCAAATACTCTTCAATTTCTTCCATTTATTTATATTATATGCTTCTTTTAATTTATGAATGTTATGCAGAATTCATACAACAACCCTGTGAATAACAAAAATCCAAGAGTGGCAGCAGTGGCGGCAATGATTTACGGGGACAAATCTTCATTCTATCGATGTGGTTTCTTTGGTTTGCAAGACACTTTGTGGGATGGTCAAGGACGGCACTACTATCACCTTTGCACCATCCAGGGTGCCGTTGATTTTATCTTCGGCAGTGCCCAGTCTATTTTTGAGGTTTTTTCTTGTTTCCATTTCATCTTCAATTCCTTTACATATTTAAACTTAATCCATCAATCAACCTCTAGGTCATGACTAGCCGTGTCTCTATTTTATTAGAGGATCGGTCATGAGTTCAAATCTTATGAATGATATTTATTGATTACAAAAAAACTTGAAATTATCTAAATAACAAAATGAAATTACTAGTATCAATGACCACGGTCACGGAAAACACCCCATGGAAACCACAGTGTAGGTTTTTTTTGGTAGTGGTGGAAAGAAATTGGGTTGCGTAGCATCTTCTTCTGAAAATTTATATTGACAGTGATTGGTTGTTATCGGGTACCAATTTGTAATACATTTTACATTATTGATATTTTATTGATATACATTACAAATTCTCAAAACAAATATCATAAAAAGGAATGAGGATGTTTTAATTTTTTTGCCATATATATATATATATATATTTGCAGAAATGTTCGATACAAGTTCTTGGGGGAGCTCTGGATCCTGGGTCGGCTGGTTACATCACAGCACAGGGAAGAGACAATCCAAATGATGCAAGTGGGTTTGTGTTCAAGGATTGCAAGGTGTCTGGAACAGGTTCCACCTACTTGGGCAGGGCATGGAGAGGTTACTCTAGAGTCATTTTCTACAACTCCAATTTTTCAAAAATTGTTGTGCCTCAAGGCTGGGATGCATGGCATTTCCAAGGCAATGAGTAAGATCTCTCACTCCTAATTATAATTAAAACACTAATCTTAATTAAACTTAAGAGTGCACCAACTCTTTTTTCCTTTTCAAAAATACTATCCTTAGGTGTTACCAATTTCCCATATCCATAACAATTTCATTTTCCTTTTCATTTTGGCTAGTTTTGTAACTTTTAGTCACCAAATAATATATCAACTAAAATACAATAATTTTCCTTTTCTAGACCATAATTTCAAGAGTTACCTAACTTTTTCTTGAATTTTAGTCTGTCAATAATGTGATAGGTGTTACCAATTTCCCATATCCACAATGATTTCCTTTTCCTTTTCATTTTGGCTATTTTTCCAACTTTTAGTCGCCAAATACTATGACAACGAAGAATATAATCCTTTTCCTTTTCTAATTCACAATCATTTCAAGAGTTACCGAACTTTTTCTCAAATTTTAGTTCGTTAATGATGTGACAGAGATTAAATGGGTGTTCGATTTCCTAGAAATAAATAAAGTGTAAAGTGAGTAAAAAATGAAGAAATCAAACGCTTTGTTGGGTGCGTATGGCATTTAACAAAGTTTGTAGAGAGAAATTGACATAACATTTTTGTTTCTGTTTTATGGAATTCATATGTAACACTTGATTTGGACCCTAAATGAAAATAAATGTTGTGATATAATGCAGGCACCAATTAACGTATGCAGAGCATGGTTGCTATGGGCCGGGAGCCGACACTGTCAAGCGTGTGGAATGGGAAAAGAAGCTTAATGCTGATACGGTGCGGGAGTTGACTAGCTTGAATTTTATTGATACTGATGGATGGCTCAATGACCAGCCTTTCTAATTATTTTATTTAACTTCCATTCATTTCAAGCAGTTGTTCTGCAAATCTTGTGATACTTTTTCACTTCCCCATTACATTACTTTTGCAAGATATTAACTCATGAATTTGTAACGTCTAAAGAATTTTCACTTTACCCAATTTGGAAGTGATTTGTTTAATCTGATTACGGAAATATAAGTTTCACTCGCCTTTTTCATATTGAACTTGAACAAATATGTTTGAGAAGTACTTAACACGGGTGCCTCGTCCATTTCTCAGATTTGCAATAATGTTTTCTTTATATAATTTTCATTCAAATCTTGACGTACATTATTGCAATAGTCTAAACACACAATTTCACCTCTTAATGTCAGTAAATTCACAAATTTGGAATCTTTTCGTCAAATTGGCACTTAGTTTAACACATTTAATCATGTCAAGTGATTTCACACTAACTCGATCTGTTTAGTAACTTTGCTGCGTTTGGATCTAGCCACATATACTGTAAACTAGAAATTTAAGAGCTTAAGTGGTTAAGAGTGGCTATCCTTGCACCCGAGGTCCCATGTTCAAATCTTCATTTCCCCAATATCTCGTCTCAAAACAAAACAAAACAAAACAAAAAAAGGAAGAAGGAAATTTAAGATGACTTGCTCTTGTTACAAGCCAAACCTATCACTCATATATTTTCAAAACAAAGTCTTATATACTAATAAAAATTCCGTTAGAAAAGTTAAAAAGAAAATATTTCTGTAATTCTCGAAGGATTCATGCAATAATAGCCATACAATATTACGAAATTAAAACGTAAATAAATAGTTGGTCATTTCCTTCTTATAATGCTGTTGTTTTGACAGCAGTCTGTCAACTAATAATAGAACAAATGTGGTAACTTTGGATTAATAAGTTATTTCATAATCTGAAAGCTGACAATTTTGGATTGATTCTAGTAACAAATTTTTTTCATAAGCTGTTTAAAACTTCAAATGCATGGTGAGACATAACCATATGAGCTCTTCCTCTCAAAACTGAAACAAATTATTAAAACGAATAAACAGGAAAAGAAAAGTAAAAACAGGACAAAACTGGGAAGGGAATGGTTCAGCTTTCATGGCAACCTCTTATTCGCTGGGTCCTAATCTTTGAATTTCTTCTGATCTTGAGCATTCATAGCAAAGCCACGTTGTATTTCATCCATCTTTAGAGTTAGCAATATCATCGTTTTACCCAATGTTCCCAAAGATATATGTATCTCTATTAGGAGCATTACAGACAGCCATTCAACTTTATTGTCTGATACAGCATCAAATCTGAGTTCAAGCTTGTAAAAAAGGAACTGCTCGTTCACTTACCATACTGCTCAGAAGCCCACAAATCACTTCAACAACAATACCAACTCCAGATATTCGGAGCCATATGCTTTCTTGGAAACAAAATCGCTGCCAGTTCCATCTATACAGTATTATGTGTTGGAACACTTAGATAAAATTTCGTATTCTTGAAATCGTCCAAAAGTGGATTGTATCCGTCCTTGGTTCTTGTCTTCGAGGGCAAGCCAAACTCGTCCATGAATGACGACGTATCAAGCTACATCATTATATAAATTTGATTAAGAAAAATAGTGTGATTGTTGAGGTTTATGTGAGCGGAGAACTGCTCTCCTGGGCAACAGTTTTTAAGGCCCCCTGAGGAACTATAAATCCAGCGGTAGGATTCATAGCACAATCCCTCAGAAGTAGTTATCCTTTTCCTGTACTTTCTCTTTATCTTTATTCTTTATCATACATGATTAGGGAAGTTTGGACCTAAGGTCTACCCAGTGTCCACCTCATCCACCTAAAACCCCTGCTAAGATTTAGGCAACCGCATGCACTTTCTCCACATTGAACATGGATATGTGAAGGGCAACTTGATTGCCCTGATATCTAAACCATATATTTTTCAAGCAAGCTACCTAGGACCAAATGAATTTGTGTCCGCGTGAATTGTAATCTATCTTATAGCTTCCAGAAACAAAAACCGCTATATGACAATAGAATTGAACTCACTGTAATTGTTCGCCTCTTCTTCCCTTCCTTGGACGACAAATCTTTCTGCAGTTTCAGCCATCCAGAACAGTAATGGTCAATACGTTCCAAAAGCCAAAATTCAGTGGGGAAAAATATGTCAGCATCCCCCTGAAAACAAACCAAAATCATAAACTTTAGTTTCATAAAAAGCTGGTCACCTTTAAAAGTTAGCAGTAGTAGTAGTAATGATTATAACTATTATAACAACAAAAAACCAAAATCATAAACTTTAGTTTCATAAAAAGCTGGTCACCGTTAAAACTTAGCAGTACTAGTAGTAATGATAGCAGCAACAACAACAACAACAACAACAATAATAACTTTGAAAGACAGTACACAGTGACCTTGAAAGCAGAAGAAAGTTGACCATTCAGAGAGTTTATCACTAAGAAGCAGTGACTACGTAAACATTGCACTTAAGGAGGTTATTCTGAACTATAGCAATCAGCAGAATTTTTTACAATACAACTTGATTGTGGTCATAACAAACAATGGAATTTTAAAAAACCCAAATTCTCTCACAGGCTAATGATCATTCTACAGTAATATCCCCCATCAAAACTGTCGTTTCTTTCTTCTCCCCTGAGGAAGAAGGTTTACATTGTCAGGTTTGCACGGTTGAGCAATCTGGATATCAGATAGCAATAAAAATGATTGCACAATGCTTCAAACCACATGCTACAGAAATGATGACCTAATGCCTTGACCAATTTTTGTTCAGGATCCAGCCTAATGCCATAAAAATTGCTATGGCAGACATAAAAAAGAGAAGTTCATTCTGTGAAGGAAGTAAGTTTAAAAACCAAAAAGCTCTTGGGATTTTGATTCTAGCAGTCATAGCATTAAGGGCCGAGGGGGGTTATTAGGAATATCACTACAAAGATTCAGCCCTACTTTCAAAATACTAAACAATCAGAATATTTTCAAGGTCCACCACTAAATGTCATACATCCTTAAGTCTACAGGTTTTGAGCAAAATGGAACGAGAATTACGTAATCAAGTTCAACCACTCATTGACCCAACCTCTAACCATATGTGCTGTGAAAAACAAGGGGAAACAAACTAGGGGACAAAAAAACCAAGCCTTGAATCTAATACCAAAGCAAGTCATGCTTTCAAGCAATCCAAATTCTTAAATATATGCATACAGAGAGCTTCCATTGAGGGATGCCTCAAATAAGCTTATTTGAGGGACATCCTTGTAGGGCCCACTCCGCATTGTATTTCACTAATCCAAACCGTCTATTTTTTAGATAATCATTCAAAGATCATCTCTACAAAAAATCTCTTGAGCCCAATATCATTTGACCACTCAATTGAGTTATTGAAATTTTAGTACTTTTTTGAAGCACCGTGTTCATTGATTTTGTAGGACACAATTGGATGTCGAAACGGTTTCCGATTTGTTTGACTTTTTGCAAGGATGATCTATGAATGTAGATTTAAAAAACGGATAGTTTGGATCGTTGAAAAAAAAATTCATAGGGTTATATATATATATATATATATATATATATCTCTATGTACAAGTGCTACTACTAGATACATCCATACAACATTCCTAGCCACATTGCCATACTTCTAGTGATGTATCAAATTGCAGAAAAATCAGCACAAAACAGAAGCAATATATCTGAGGCCATTTATGGAAATTCGCACAACCATGTCATATTAAAATGAAATCAAAACAATAGCGTACCCTTGCATCTAGATAACTGCTATAATCTGAGCTGCTGCCATCTTTCTGCAGATAGAAAGGATCAAACCAGGATTACCAAATTGTTACTAAATGCATTTGAAAGGCTGTCGTTTACCAGATTTAAACTAGCACATACAATAAGAGAAACACGGAAATAGGAATTTTCAACCAGAGCAGCACCATGGCCACCCCCAAAATACTAAGCCCTCCCACTGTATGTGTGTGTGTGTGTGTGTGTGCGCTAATTAGAAGTTTATCCTCCTACAATTTCCTCAAATGACATGGTTAACATTATAGTTTTAAAAAATTAAATAAAAAAAGAGGAGAACATGAAAACTGGGGCTGCTACAGTTTGTGAGGGGTGGTAAAAGCAGGTGGCTGGGTGGGCATTTCACACAATCCTGGAATATAGACTAAAAGAAAACAGCCTCTGCACGAATCCTAACATCTTTCTAGATAATTTAGCTCATCAGGTTCCTAGGTGACTACATGCTGTGTTTTATGCTCCTATTCTGATCTGTTTATTATATTTCTTTTACTAGGAATTTTGTGTCATCATACCATTACAAATGCAATAGTTGGAATTTTGAAATGATCATGAATGTTTTGCTGTAGCCTAAATTACAGTAGAATTGATAGTTTCAAGGATGACAGGGCATTTCAAGAGTGACCTTCCCTGTTCCTTTGTAGAGATGGGGAGTGTGGACCTAAAATTAGGTGAGTGTTGCACCAAAGAGGCACACATATAAATACTCAAAGTATAATTTCCAATCACAAAGGAAAAACTGGATGCACCCAAATAATATAGAATGTTACGTGAAAGTGTCAAACAACATAATAATAATGATAATAGTCAGTCTTTATACCTTGGTTGAAACCAATGGAGCTCTTTCACCAAGTATTCTTACGTCAGGTAGGTAACTAAAGTCTGAAGCGATTAAAGACATCTTTGGTAGCACCTCATGCAAAACTTCAAGCAGTTTCTGGATGTTCAAAGGCAACATTATTGCTCGAATTTGTTAGAAAATAAAATAAATAAAATGAATTACCAACATTTCCTCACCAAGCAACCAGTTGGCAGCCAACATCTTTGAGGCTTTGGAAAGACTTTAGACCAAACACTTTTTGCTTTTAGTATTGCACTGCTTTGAGAATCATGTTTTTTGTCCAAATCGATGATCTCAACGCATCGTTTAATTAGTGAGTCTTGCAATGGCTTATACAATTCAGACAGTGTTTCCCTATTAGCAAAAACCTTAATCAGTAAAACTGAAATCATGTTCCCACAGTGAACAGTTCAATGAACAAAATGATGGAGTAGAAATGTATTTCAGGTTATATATATGCTGATTTCAAAATAAACTTGAGCATAAGTATTTTATGTGCCACCTCTAATCCGATATTTGCATGTTATCACATACCACATCGGAAGCATCCTGTTTAACTCATTAGTCATAGTTGTAAAGATATTGACTTACTTGAGTTGGAAACACTTTCTTTTTTAAAACAAAATAAATTATCACAAGCGACTTCAACCTCCAGTTATACTAATGAGTAAACATAACAACCAATATGAAAAATCAGCAAATGCTGTCATACCCCACAATTTTCCAAAGATAACAGATGAGACACAATGATGGTATTGGAGAATGAAAGATGTCAGTCACCAAGGTAAAATAAAACTGTAACAGAATATAAATCTTGACCCAATGACCCTCCATATGTTTTCTGTCTACAGTATCTCTACCATCCTCAGCCGGGAAAAAGAAAACTTCAAATTTTCTGGGTTTAACCCAACAACAATACAGATATTGATGTATACTCCATTGACAATAACTTTAGAAAAATAGTTTCAGGCTGAACAATCACTTTAACAAAGAGTGATCTTGAAAAAACGCATTTGTACTCAATCAGTGCACTAACTTTTAGATAGAAATGCAGCCAGACTTTATGGATACTGCTGCAAGATGTTGCTTACCTATCCTGTTGCTTCTCTACCCATACTTCCATCCATGGGGAAACTTGATTTTCTGAGTAGATAAGATCATGTGGAAGATTATCAAGTACCTGTAAATATAAATAGACAAATCTGACAATGTCGGACCACAAATTGATTCGCTGAAACTCATTTAGAGAAACAATAGAAACTTCCACGTAAGAATCTTTATTGTCCACTTATTCTAATAGTACAATAAGTGAGCACAGACACAATAGAGTCAATATAGGACAAAACATACCTCAAGCATTATTACCCAACATGGTTGTTGCTCCGCATCTCCTATCAAATAATAAAATATATATGAAATTAGACACACAAAACAGTTGCACTCTAAAAGTTCCGTACAAGACAAACTAAAGATAATGAAATATCTGAAAAGTCACAGACACCATACCCCATCCACTCCGGTCAGTAGCATCACGACATTCTACTCGAAACTTTGATAAGTGACTACAGACTTCTCCAACAGTTTCTCTTTGTATCTCAGCCAGCGAGGGACTGACTTCAACTGAGCTACAGTTTTACATGATTATAGTCAGCAAATATACAGACACGCATAAATTAGGATTGAAAAACTAACTCAACCAGTACCACTATTATATTGGCAAAAATACTCAGCACCAGAATATAAAAAATTTATGTTTCCAATTATTTCAGGTAATGATAATAAAATTTTGTAATGTTGAATACAAGTATTTAGTTAAAGCATATGCACTATATTTAGGCATTTAATTGGGGCATGGCAAATGTAAACAAATGAGATGGTGGCAAAAGGAGTAGAAAAAGAGAATTAACGGGAAGAGAAATGTTATGTTGTTTCATGGGTTTGTAGTGAATATAGATGATTATATTGCTCTTAATGTCAAGAGTGAAGTTATCTTTCTAACTCTTTGCTCAGATTCCATCAAAATGCTCAAGGGCATTAACGGTCAGAAAAATAATGGTTCAATCACTTTTGACTATTTCTCCTCACTCCAGTGACAGATCAAAATTGCAGGCATGATATAATATCAGATGGATAGCTCAAGTAAGGCACATCAAGTAAAACAAAGCTGTTGACAAATAGTTTCATGAGGTTTTATGAGGGTCGCAGACATTAGGAATATGGAATACTTATTCATGTTACATGGAGGTATAGTCAAGCACATACATGTAAGTCATATTGTTGTAAACTCTTGGCGGTGCATTCAGCATGATGTAATCCATAATTCCCTTTGCACAAGTTCCTGATCCACCACCAATTTCATATATCTGAGTGCACATTATAAAATGACAGATTAAATTGTAGCCTACTTGTATTAAACAAGTGGATGAGGAACATTTAAGGGCATGATTAATGTATCACCAAAATAAGAGTAACATAAATGAAAAAAGATCAAAGATCTGGTGCCTAGAAGCATAAACAAAGAATTTTAAATTGTGTAAGTTGCAAGCAAACTACCATGTCCTGCCTACAATGCTAGATTGAAAAACAGAAGCATTCACGGGACTTCATCTTGTAATCTAGAAACCAAAGTATTTAGGGAGATTACACATAGTGACAGAATCCTGTCTTTGATTGAAATTACTTACTCCAGCCTGATTATATATAAACCATTAATTTGCATCACTTTACAAGAAAATCAATAAACTCGTGTTGTAAGCTTGAGGACAAAATCTTGCAACTTATCACATCCAGCCAAACAGAAAATCATCACTAGTCCTCTATGACTGTAGTAAAAGATTGACTAGGCAGCATTGAGGATATAACCTCACTTAGCTTCTTTTTTCAACTGAGGTATCATCAATCATTTGTAGTACTCGGTCACTTATGGTTTTCAAGTGGAATGGCTCAGTTTAAAGACTATAGACTCTTGGGAAAACAAAGCAATTATAGATTTTACGAGGACAAATCACAAACAGAACTACATTCTTTCAGTTTCAAGAACAAAAGGGAAAGGAAGTACACTTAATCAAGATACTACAGACATTACTTAAAGCTCTAGAACATTATGCTTTTATTCATTGTTAGTCCAAACTTTTCTTTGGTGAAAGGAAAAACTGGACTCTCAATAAAAGCATCCAAAAAATTTACTATAAATTTTTAGGTTTTATTTTTTGCCATATAAAACAAATGTGTGCATGCAACAATTAATAATCAGAATATGGTACTATCATATAAAAAATGAGATATGGAAATTTTATAAAATTATCAAATGTGCCCTAGACATTTACTAGAAGCAATATGCATTAAATCCAACAACATAAGCAAAATCTCATTGATACGTCCACTGCCTGATCATTAAAAAGAGGAAGCTTACCTTTAGGGGAACTGAAAGGTTAGCAGTACGCATTATGGCTTCAGCAATCCCATGCGCATACCAAGGCTATAAAGAAAGTGAAACTTTTGAAATCGCAAAGACATGCATTGCATTTGATGAAATAAGAAAAATGCCAATCTAAGTGGAGTTTGGGTCGGAAGATACAAAGAACCATTTAATATTACTTTTTTTGTGTGGTTACCACTGTAATGTACATCCAAATGAAATAAATGCTGCTCATGCATTATGTAAAAACATGGAATACTATGACACAACATGTAAATGCTGCTTCTTAAGTTGTCAAATGATACAAAGGTCACACCTTGCATATGAAGATATTAACTGTATATCAGGTTGCCTTCTGTTTAAAACTGGTAATCTTGTTTCTATTAGAATCATGTGTGGATTCAAAAATATACTTATATGTAAATCATTATCCTGAAAGAAAAATGCAATACGTCATTTCACCTTGAAATCATGTATCATTATTGTGTACTGCCTATGTGCTAGCCACCTGGTGTTTGTTTGGTTTCCCTTCCTTTTTTTCATTTTTCCTTTATATCTTTCGTTTGCATGTTCATGTTTTAATTTTGTGCAGAATGTGAAGCCTTTGAACTATGAATTCCCTATGGAAATTAGAATTTAAGTTTCTTAAAGCAGAAAGCAGACAGACGAGAGAGAGAGAGAGAGAGAGATTACCTTAAAAATTTCCACAGGAGTAAACCATGATACCTCACTTTCTTTGTAAATTTTATCCAAGTATTTCATATAACCTTTCCTACCTATAATAAGCGACAATTTCAGTATATATGCCCTTCCACAAATCTCCAGCTACTACAACAGATGGTTACTTTAAATTGAATCGGCTCATAAGCAATTGGTTCTAATTCTCCAAAGAAATGCTTTATATTATGATAACATCATTCAAAAGTGCCAATAATGCAATTTTGTTCATTTCAGAAACTGGGACAAATAAAAGACTATTGATAGGAAAACTAACTAATGTATGTATCATTTCAGCTACAATTTTAGACAAACTATTTACAAAGTTTAGTCAAACAGGAAAGTAATGTAATTTTTACTAATCTTCACTTTCTATGTATTTTATTGCAAGTCATACTTGGGCAAAGGATATTACTTGCCAGCCTTTTCAGCCAGTCTAGATTAGCAGATATGTCAAATACTAAAGAATACATTGATTAACTATTTAGAAACCAAGAAAACTAAACAAAGCTCTAAACCTAAGTGCTTGAGGATTGCCACATAAACCTTTTTTGAGGCTTGTGACTCGATCAAGGACTCAATACTAGGCAAAACACAGGCAACCATGATTTTTGCACCACCTACATCAAATTAGTATTTCTACCTCTTATTTTCATAGCAACTTCTCATAGCGCCTTCAAAATCCAAATAAAAATCACCTAACAAGCTCATAAGAATAACTATGTGGAATGTGAATTTCCTCAAGCTGTCCCTTGTGCTATTACAAGCTTGAAATTTTAACTTTTGTTGTACTTCCACTCGTCCATCTCAACATACTCAATTCAAATACACTTTTTTTTCTCAAACATGTCACAACTTACAATACGCTGATGTTTTAAGGGATTAGGGTTGATGTTGTAACGCGTCACATAAACATCATAATAGCCCTACGAAATTTGAGTAACTAGCTGGTTAGAAATCCCAAAACCATGTTTCCTGTTTAACCCACCCCACTTTATTTCAAGAAAGCAGAATCCTTTAGTACTTGAGAAAGAGAGCTTATAGTCACATTTTTTCAGTAATATCGCTGTATGTTCCTTCCCATTATCATTCTTCCAACATAGTTCATGCATAATCACATAAATGAATCAAACCACTTAAAACTTATACTAAATTCATTAAAAAATAATGGTTAACATGCTTGAAATATCTGAATTATGACATGCAACTAATAAAAAATTTAAGCTAGATACCCTCAAGCTGATTGAACTTAATTGCTCTGGGAAGCACTCCAACCGATTTCGATCTTTGAGAGAAATACCCATGTTTCGGATCGTATAATGCAGAATGAATGAAATCACGAACCTGCCCAATTGAAGTTATAAGCTTTTTTATTTATCCCAGCAGAGCAGACCCATTCTCTTGAATTGCATAAAGTAATGAATAGAAATTGAAAATGACACAGAATGTGTGTGAATTCCTTACAAGAATCGGCTTGTCACTGACAATGTGTGTGGAGAAAAGGGATCCAAATGGAGCTCCCCAGAGTTCACATGGATTCACTGTACAGACATTCATTTTATTGTAACTTGGAGAGAAAGAAGGTACAGTCGCATAGTGGAGAGAGAGAGAGAGAGAGTACCTTTGGGCTTGTGGAAGAGCAAAGGAAGATTTTTGGGACGAAGGGCACGACACAGCATCATAACCAGGTGATGGGTTTTTGTGGGAAATCCGCTTAAACCCTTAACCCGTCTACAGCCAAAATGGGGGATCAATGTCGTGTGATATTTTTGTGGGAAAGCTGCTTAAACCCGAACCACATAGTATAGCCGTTCGGCTATACTAATTTTTATCATTAAAAAGAATATTATCGCCGCGCGGCTGTACTAATTTTCAATCATGAAAAAAGCGTATCGCCGAGTGGCTATACTATTTATAAAAAACAAAAGAAGCCCGCCTGGCGCTAGCGCCCCGTATAGCCGCCCGGCTATACTATTTATAATTAAAAAAGGAATACTCGCCTGGTGCCTGCACCCGCTTAGCCACGTGTCAGAAAAGTATAGCCGTACGGCTATACCATTTTGTATAATAAAAACGTAGTATAGCCGCCCGGTTTTACTATTTCGTATAAAAAAGGAAACCCCGCCTAGCGCTAGCACCTCTTCATTAAGCAGTATAGCCGCGCGGCTATACGGCTTTTTAATAATTAAAGTATGGCCGCCTGTTTCTTTACAGTAAATGCAATTCTCTCAAGGATTGCATGATATAACTTGAATAGGTACACTTAAAATGTTATTGAAGTGTTTTTTGGTTGCATTTAATATGTATTTGTTTTATGTTAAAGTTTATTGAAAATTAGTCAATGAAGCTATGAACTAGTGTGATTTATATGATTTAATGTATACTTTTATTTGTAAAAAGACTATAGAAACGGTAAGTACCAAAATATTGATCATTAGATTTTAGCTAACAACTTTAGCTAGCCCACCCGTTGAAAAATTCATTGTTCTACCCTTGGCTTTCAATCAAAGACATTCATCTCTCTATGCTATTTTGGTCTTGCAAGCCTCCTTGGTATCAATTGCCAACTGACTCCTTCAGTTGAAGGCCATTTTGGTTACTCTTTTGAACTGCTTTGGTCATTATGATCCATTAGCAGCCCAGTTCCGATCCTATACTTGATTGCCACTAAATTCCTTTGCGCTGTATTGAATCAAAATTGATACAAGGTGGTGGCAATCCTTAGTTCTGATCAATTTGTTCATCTCCTATTTCATTGTTTACTTTTTATGTACTTTTTGTTGCCCTTTATCATTTGTATTAGAGAAATATGAAGTCCTTAGTTGTCTTAAGGCATATAAAAGAATCTCAATTGAATTGTTTACCATTTAGTTCACAATCATTTGATTAAAGTTAGTTTACTTGGTGCGCAAGTCTTTTATTTATTTATCTTTTTTTTTTATTTCCCATCTATTAGAATTAGGTTAATTGCTAATAGTAGAATGCTCACAACTCACATTCTCTATAAAGCCTACTCTAAGTCTTTGTTCATTTTTCAAGGTAAACAATATTGAAGAAGGAAATGAAGGTAGAGGTGAATAATTTTTCATTTAGGGATTAGAAGGGATTAGTTATGAGGAGTTTCTATCCTACCATTTTGTGGGGATTAGATGAGATTAGTTTTCTTCATGAGTAATTCATACCTTCAACTTGGTCAAAAAAAATTCATTTATAGCTTAAACATGCTTTGAATATAAGGAGTTATTCAATCCAATCCAATACTGGGCACCAAACAAGGTCACGTTTGGTGGTGGGAGTGGAAATGGTCCACAGAGGCCGAAGTTGTTAGAGTGGTCCTAATCAACTCTAATTGGTTGACTAAGACGTAAACCATAACTCGATCAGTCTCAAGCCAAGGCTTTTCCACAAGCATCTAAGTTTTGCTTTCAATAAGGAATAAGAAGAGAGAGAAGAAAGCAACTACCATTCATTCATTGATGTCGTATTCTTGACAACAACATCTGCCCAAGCATCTCATCTGGTGGACTCCTTAATTAGGTCACACATATACAATCCCTGTAATTTAAGCCATGATTAATTATAGTATACAATTGGGTCAACCAAATTAAATATTGACATGAAGATATAAACAAGATTAACTTATTATGTGATAAATTAAATTATGCTTCTTATATATATTCAAGGGTTTTTCGCAGCTATGATCCCTCAACTATATCCATAATTGCATTTGGGTCACTGAACTCAATTATTAGTTGCAGAGGTCACTCAACTATATGTTTCGTTGCACAGTTAGTCCCTACCATCAAGTCTCTCTAACGGAAGGGACTAATGGTGCAACACAACACCTAATTGAGTGACCTATATAACTATTTTTTGGAGTTAGGTGATCAAAATGTAACTCCGAGTATAGTTGATGGGTCATTGCTACAAATAATCATAACTGAAAAAGTCACATTTGCCCATCAATAATTGGATAGATCTTGCCACGTCATCATTTTAAACGGAAAAAACTAACGGACTTAACGGAAGGACTGCTGGTGCAACGAAACACATAGTTGAGTGACCTCTGCAACTAATAATTGAGTTCAGTGACCCAAATGCAATTACGGGTATAGTTGAGGGACCATAGCTGCGAAAAATCATATATTCAACTAGGGTATTTTTCAAAGTTAGAATTTGACATCCACTACACGGATGTTAGGATTAGAACCTAGGACATTTCCTATTGAGAGGGGGCGATAATATACTAAATTCACACACGCTATACGGATGCTATGACTCAAACCTAAGACCTTGCCTGAGGGAGCAATTGCTCCAAACTACTACACTAGTTGTTTAAATTTTGAAAAATTATATAAAAAATGTACACTTATTTCCACAATAGATTTAAAAAGCTTACATTTGTAAGGTCGTATAGCATTGTTATGTCAATGTCATTGCAATGATACACCAATTGCAGCTGTGAATGCAAGGTGGAAAGAGAGATGGTGCTGTGAATAACATTTGCAACCCCACCTCATCGCAATGATTGGAAATTTGCAATACATTTTTGTACGAAAGCTCATATATTGTTATGGTTATTTGTTAGCTTGCTGTTGTCCAATATATATTTGTATGTCTCTCCCAAATTCCCAATCAGTGGTTAGTAGCAGCCACTAGCTAGCTACAAGCCTACTCCAAGTACATGGAGATGGAGGGGTCCAGAGACTCGCCGCCCTTGTTTCGCTGGCCTCCTACTTTCCAAGTACATTTGTTCGAAAATTAATTTCGTCTTTCCACCACCACCACACAACAAAAAAAAAAACAAAAAAAAAAAAAAAAAAAACAATTTAAAATAATAAATTTTGAGAAACTAATATAGTAGCAAACTCTTTAGTAAATTTTAGGACGTACACTTCTTCATATACGTATTTGGTTTAATCATTTCCCTTATCGTGTTTTATATAAGCTAAAATTTGATTTGTTTTTTTTTAATTCTAAGATCTGTCGAGGATCTTCTTCGTAATTTTCTTTGTTTTATACAGGCTAGATTTTTAGAAACACTATTTTGTAAATGAGCCTATGAAGAATTGCGCACTTCATGGGCGTGAAATGTCTTATTCCAATATCCCACTCGTTAGGCAATAGTCCCCCCCAAATGATACTAACTTGTCAATACTCGGATGACAAGCAATTGTTCCAATTTGGTCAGGATTAAGACACAACGACTCAAAACATTGAAAGACTCTAAAGCTTTTGTATTTGAGTTGAACAATAAAGTAGCTCAAGGTCAGTTCGGTGTACTTGCAAATTCGGTTTCTTGATTTAGAATGCAAACAAAATAATCAATTGTAAATATTTATCAGCATAAAAGGAAAAAATTAGCTTGTTTGGTTTGAGTTTTTGTTTATTTATTTATTTATACAAAGTAGTTTCGAAAAGAGATATTACTTTATATTAAAGAGAAATACGTTAACTTAAGTTTTTGTTTTTTGTAGTTTCTTTTAATAGTATAATGCTCTTAAAAATTAAGAACCGATATAAAATTACTATTGTTTTATCTTGTTCTTGTGGAGGAGCACATTTAAAAATATAGCCAATGCTTTGAAAGTGGGTAGGAGGTGATGATAAGCAAAAGACACCTAGGCTAGGATCCACTTGTCTTGACCCATAACTATCAAATTATCAATGCGAGCAAAATAAACAAATGATACGTTCGGTAATATGGAATGGGAGTTGGTGATCACACTAATAATACATTTTCATCTTACTTGAATGTAACAAGACCAATATAATTATAGTAATCCTATATTTTTAGACCACATTAATGAAGCATATTATATAGCAGTTTATGTGTGCATTATAAACATATTATTGCATGCCTACATTCAAAGTTGTTAATGCAAATGAGGCTCGAGAGACAAGAATATTCAAACTCTAACTTTGGGTGTGAATGTGGGTAAATACTCTCAACCATTGTAGCTACAAATTCTCATTTTATATCTAAGTTTTATTAATTACACTCGACTGAACTAGCTAGAAGCTATCACTTTGAAAGGACTGGGAAATGCGGCGGCATAGAAACCATGGGACTCCCCCTCCCCCCCTACTACTTTCTACAGTTCCTATTATTTTTCAAGAAACACAAAACAAAATATGAAAGCAAAACCTTATAAGCCAACTGTCATTAGTTTGCAAGTAAAACAATGATTTAGAGAAAATTTTAGTTGTAATCGGTTATATATAACTGTGTGTTTATTTCTCTCTAGAGAGATAAAAATATGATATGGTTAAAAAGCTTGGCTGCCAAAAAAAATCTGCTATTGATGGTGATCCTCAATGAAAAGACATGCTTCTCTTGAAAAAAAGAAAAAAACTGAAAATCATAGGCACCCAAAAGCAAAATGATCTAGGGTTCGAAGTAATGAGATTCAATTTCAATTTTTTGGGTAGAGTGTCCGCAGCAGAATTAGAAACACCACTAAATATTTCATTGTACCCATTGACCCATCCAAGTACTATTTTTTCAACAGTCTATTATTTGGCCCCAGTATTTTTTTAATATTACATTATGGAAGCTTGTTTTTTTTTTGTTTTATAGAGGATGGAAGGCATATCGACACTTGCTTTCGACATAAAAAAGAAGCCAGGTTTCTTAAAGAGCAAGAGAAAATAAAAAGCTATTTTCTTTCTCTAAAAAGGAAATTTCAAGATCAAAGACTTATATTAAAAGGTGTTCTTATTTAGAAGGATTTTAAAGATGTGAGGAGACATCACAATTCACAATGTCTGTTATAAAATCGAAACATAGATGTAAAACATTTGAATATCCAATAGAAAATTGGGGGAAAAAACTATAAAAAGCACAGAAGTATCACATGCCAACCAAGGACTGCTACACGTTGCCTCTCTGAATAGCCATTTTCAGCAGACAAAACAGAGAGAAAGTAAAATATACAAGAAAGAAAGCAGAGAGACAGAGACACAACAAGACATCGCTGTCTAAGGCCCTAAAGCTATAAGCTAAGCTGAGCTCAGCCTCGCATGCCTTAGTTGTACTCATATTCTCTCTCCCCACACTCAAAGTTCTCACAGCACAGACCCATTTCTCCAAACTCACTGAGATATCTTCTCCTCTTCTTCTCTGCATTTTCGGGGCTCCGAGCCCCGAATCCCAGGTACCCATTTTTCCAAACGGGTCTGCATACATTCCTGGGTCGTAAATTCACTCACTTTCCGAAGGAATTTTTTGTGGGCTTTTTTTTTATTTTTCAGGAGAAGTTTTAGAATGTATTCTGCTATTCATTCTCTTCCTATGGATGGGAGTATTTGTGGGCATGGAGAGTTCAGTGGATCGTTGGACGGCACGAACCTGCCTGGCGATGCTTGCTTGGTTCTGACTACGGATCCAAAGCCCCGGCTGAGGTGGACTGCGGAGCTCCATGAGAGGTTTGTGGATGCTGTGACTCAACTTGGTGGCCCTGACAGTGAGTATTTGGTTCTTTACTTGCTTGTGATTTAAATTCTTGGTTTTTTATGTTGTTTGGTGCTCTAGTTTCTCCCCCAAGAGCATTTTATGTGTTTGTATTGGTTGTGTGGCGCTGCAGCTTGTATCTGGTTTAATTTCTGGGTTGTATGTTGCTCTAAATTGTCTTCTGGTTGTTGGGTTTTGTCCTTTTATCTTTTGGTGCTATTGAATGTGTCTTATTGTTGTGTGACCTTTATTGTGGCAAGGGATATCATAGATGCTTAGGGAATATTTCCTTTTTAAAAAAAAAAATTTGAAAATTTACTTCCCTCCAATGACTTTATCATGTTTGTCTTATGATTTTTCACGAATTTAGTGTCATGTTGAATTACAGTGACTAATGGGGGTGTTCTTACCCTTCTTTGGATTTTGTTGGGGGGGGCTGTGGCTTGTTGTGGGGTGGGGATTGTAATAAAAATTCACTGTCAATTAAACAAATGCAAGGATGACCCCCCAACTCTCAACTTCACACACTCACGAATCTTGAACCCAAATGCCAATACACCCAAGCTCATTATTCCCCTCAGTATCTTGTCAATATGCACACCCTAATGGCCTTCATAAGGACTTAGGGGAAAACCCGAAACTAATTGGGAGTAGGAAAACTTACTTTGGGAGCAAGAAACTTTCTCTATGCATCCTATTCAATATAGTCAGTATAGGAGAGCCGAAATAGGAAACTAAACTCAAATATTAATTCGAGTCATATTCTAACAAATCTCAACCTTGACTCAGATTCTCCAATTTCCACTTCAAACACCATATGAATGATATGAATTTAAGACACCCTTGCACCTTTGTTATGGATAGAGGTGTGCCTGCCACTTCTTTAACATTAGATCAATTCTATCTCTAACAATGAAGTAAGGCCTTCCTTGGTTGATTCCTAACTCCACCTGCTCAGAGTCTTGTCATTGTTGCTTCCCATGGCATCTCAATTATTTTCTCTAACACCATTATAATTCTTGCAGAAGTTCAACTTTTCAGTGCATAAGCAATAGCATTGCATCAGTGACATTGGGTCTTTTTGCTCCTTAGCTGAGAATCCATAAGCCAAAGCATCCAGTGACCTCAAAGAAATCAAACTCTTCTTTAAATTTGGAACACGTCTCACCTCACCCAATGTTCTAGCATTCCCATAAAACACCTTGATTTCATGTGCCTACTCCAACAGCTTTACACCTGAAACCATTACCCATCATAACTGTATCGACATTACAGGGCTTATAAGCATCAAACCACTCTTGATATGAACAATGATATGAGCATGTTGAGTCCAACATTCAACGGTCCAAAAAGGAACTATCATTAATAGTCAAAAACAACAGTTTTGAACCAATCTCTACTTCACTGTATCTCTTGATATGCCACATCTTGTCGAAGAAATGCTCAACACCTTTTTCTTTGACATGACTCGTTGTGATCACCATTCCTACCAGAGCTCCCACTCTAGATTTGCTCCTTCCTCTACTCCAATTAGGCTTGGAATCTGACTTCACCAGACCACCTTGATATAATTGAATTCTGAGAGACAGTTTGACACCTCATCCAGAGTCCACGTGTCTTTCCCAACTAGGAGTGTAGTCACCAATGTCTCATATGAATTAGGAATATATGTGGACACAACTTCACTGGTGATTAAATATCAGAATTCAGCTTATATTCAGGCTTATCATTCTTGTTGCTCAGTTTTTGAATAAGGCCAATCTGTATTGCCTTGAGTCCCATTCATGTTTCATTTCTTAGGTTCCTTATTGTTTAGCCAGCAGCTGTATGCCATAGGATAAATTTTTTTTCTTCTTCTTATTGTTGTGTTTTTAAATGCTTTCTTATTACAGAAGCAACACCGAAGGCCATTATGAGAACAATGGGAGTAAAAGGCCTAACCCTTTATCACTTGAAATCTCATCTTCAGGTTTGTTTCTATTTCCCATTATGTATTTTGTGATGAGCTAGAATTCAAATTGTTGAGAGAGAGGGAGGGAGGAAGGTAACTGGTATTTGAGACTTAAAGCTAAAGGCTCAAGAAAATTTGATCTAGATTCTAACTAATTAGTGTTGCATGCATCTACAGTGTATATTTACCTCCCTCTTCCTAGTTATCTTCTGTATTTTTTTTCCCCTAATGATTTTGATCTGAAACTTGGTAGTATAAAAAATATAATAGTTTTAATTTTTCTTTGTTTAATTGATGATACTTGCAGAAATACCGGTTGGGGAAGCAATCATGCAAAGATTCAGCTGAAAACTCCAAGGATGGTATTAACCTTGGACCCTTTAAAATATTTAAGAGCTGGGACATTTATTATTAAAAACTGTATACATTTTCTGTGTCATGTTGATGATCCCTAATTAAAGGAGAGGAAAATCACAAATACTACTAGAAACAACCCAACATAAGGAGCACATTTTCAATTTTCATTTTATACGTTTTCTGCAGGTTGTATTAATACATTTAGCACAAAGAAAGTGCTATTTTCAGCAGGCTGCGGTCTTTATCTTTCCTTCCTTTTTCTTTCTTGTCTTCTCGCATTCCCTCTCTTTTCCACTGCTGGTCTGGTTTATATATTGTAAACTTTTAAGGCAAGAAACTTCTAGATCAATTATTATAAACTGCATGGGCCACCTCTAATTCATTTGCTTGGGGGTGCCGTGTTATCATTATAATTTTCTTTGACCTTGAGTTGGGGGGGTGGGGTGGGTGGAAAATCTACGAAGATCCGAATTCGTAACTGTTAACTGTGACATCTGCTGGTGAAAATGGCATGTCTTTCGGGAGACTAGAGTCCGTAGACAATCTTATCTCTGAAGTAGTAGTGAAAATTTGGTGTGCCAAAAGTTCCCTGTGATAAGTTGGTGTGCCAAAAGTTCCCAGTGATAAGTTGTGGCTATTGGAAAACTTATTAGTTACATAATAATGTGTAGGGATTGCAGCTTCTTGCATTGCTGAAAGTCAGGACACTGGTTCATCTTCAGCAACCTCATCCAGAGTGATTGCGCAAGATTTGAATGAGTATTTGATCTTTCACTTACTACTCCTCCTTTAGTAATTACTACTAATGCTTATCAATTTTCATGTAATTGTTGTTTTTCATGTCTCAAACAGTGGCTACCAGGTTACTGAGGCTTTGCGAGTACAAATGGAAGTCCAACGGAGACTGCATGAGCAGCTGGAGGTTAGTCTCTTTTGTTTGTTTTGTTTAGCTAGTAATGTGCAGGCTTATAGGTTTCCGCATGACCAAAAACCACCTTGAGCAATTGTATCATTTGTTTACCAATTGTGCACAGGCCACATAAACTTCTAAATATAACCACAGGTCAGGAGCTCCTCGTGAGAAAAATAACCTTGTTTATATATATATATATTTATTATTTCAGGTTGCCTTGATCCTGTAAAACTCATCCATTTGCAGCTTTGAACTTAAATACTCTTTGTCTGTCCAGTTTATTCATTTTTCTTTGTTCTTCTCCCCTCAAGTGGCATGATAATTTAATTATGAATTTTAAGCAGCAATTTCTTATGGCTAATATTATAAGCAGGTTCAGCGTCGTCTTCAACTTCGAATTGAAGCACAGGGCAAGTATCTTCAGTCAATACTTGAGAAAGCTTGTAAGGCTCTGAATGATCAGGCTGCATCGGATGCTGGTCTTGAAGCTGCTAAGGAGGAACTCTCTGAACTAGCTATTAAGGTTTCTAATGACTGTGAAGGGATAACCCCACTTGATACCATGAAAATGCCTTCCTTGTCTGAAATTGCTGCCGCTTTAGAGAACAGAAACGCCTCCAATGTACTGGCTCGGCTTGGCAACTGCTCTGTTGATAGCTGCTTGGCATCAACTGGAAGCCCTGTTTCTCCAATGGATATGAGTTCACTGGCTGCTGCTATGAAGAAAAGACAAAGGCCCTTCTTTGGTAATGGAGACTCGTTGCCCTTGGAGGGTAACATGAGGCAAGAAGTAGAATGGATGATGAGTAATATTGGATGAATTTAAAGATTTTCCTTCAGGAATGGAAATCCTCTTTTTTTATCTTTTCATTTTCATTAAAAAAATTCTTTTCTGCCTAGCTAATCTGAAATGTACCATCCTTTGTAAACTTGTACCATCAGTGGTCTGTATATTCGTAAAGCAGATTGTTTCCATGTGGATTCACATTCACCATTATTTTTATACATGTTTGCCTGCCTTTTAGGCCTTTACACACTGAACTGGCCCTGGCATGATCATATATGCTTCTCTTTTCCTTTTGAGTTGGGATCATAAACATACTATATCACAAGTTGATCATAAACTCAACACTTTATGGATGTGAACTCAAGTCCAAATGGTTAAAGCCTCAAATCCTGCTCAATTTTTTAATGTCATGCGTAGACCACTATTACTCACTATGGATCTCAGGCCCATGTATGTACCTTAATTTTGAAGAGCCCTAATTTAAGTTTAACCTGGTAATCCATGTAGCACTGCATTTCGCACCATAACCATAAGTGAAGTGCCGTTGGTCTCATTGTTATCTTTTCTTAGTAGCACAAATACATGTTTATATGGGTGTGTTCAGTGCAGAAGCTTACAGCATGAAGCACAATTGGTGCTACTACATCTGCATTTAGGATGAGGCATGCTTAGTTAATTTTTTTTAGGTGGTTGGGAGAGAGGAATCTTTCAAGTGATGATCGCATGATGCGGTTGAAAGAAGGGTAACATCTCTTGCTTTTTTTCTTATAATTATAAATGATAAATACTTCTGAGTTTTTCCCTCATAATCTATCGTTTTTATAGTTGTGTTAAACATAAATGCCCATTTTAGGAAGTGCATACCGGGTGGTAGCAGTTCGTACTTTCTATCGACTTTGGTTTTTCAGGAAGTTTATGACAATGTGCTGATGATCGTTCCTCCCCTTGAGCCGATCACGACAGGATGTGAGTGGGCCAAATGTATCTTTCCAGCTAGCCTTAGGGTATTGTTTTGAGATGTAATGATGCATCAAGAATGATGTCATACCAGTTTAGCAGACTTATTTTAGGTATTGCTCTTTTGAGAGTATATTCTTTTTCTCTATGATTATTATTATTCATGATGTTGGTGATGACGGTATGAGTGAGGAAGTTGTGTTTGTAATAGATTAAGATAAGGGTGAAGGTGTTTATTCCTTTTAACATGGTGTATAGTTTTCCTGGGTTTCCTTTCCCTTTCTATTTTCTTCTAGGGTTAAGCTTTTGTAATGAGGTGGTTTGATGAAGTAGGGGATTTACATAGTACAGCACAACAACAAAATTCCTGAAAATGATACACTTTTGAATTCTAAATAGTACTGCCGGGCGGCTACACTGTTTAAAAAGTATAGCCATGCGGCTATACGCTTTAAGTATATTTTGAAATATTCGTATATATTTAAGGGCTTGTCCAATATAGATCCATACATTTTCTATTTCCTAGACATATACCCATCACTCTATAAATCTATGTGTAAAACCAAATTTCAAATTTAAATGACCAGTAGAATATAAGAGGTCGTAGTATTTCTATGTTTTTACATCGTTGCCACTAAACTTCATATTTTATTTATAATTTATTTCAAGCATTTCATTAAATGTCATAATTGTAATTAATATACTCCCTATTAATAGCATATCAATCACCCCATTTCTTATAGTTGTCATTCCCTCTCACATCTCGCCCCCTAAAATTGCAAACAAAAAAAAAATCTGTAAATTACATATCCAATAATGTACTTATGAAAATTATAATATAAATATATACATATAAAATATAGGTATCCAATAAATTACATATCCAATAATGTACCTATGAAAAATAGGTACATTATTAGAGGAAAAAAATAGGTAAGTTATTTGGAGAGAGAAAATAGGTTCATTTAAAAAAATTACTTTTAATAAAACAAATAATAGGTACTTTATTCAGAGAAAAAAGGCTATATTATTTATAGAAAAAAAATAAATTACATTATTTAGATAAAAAAATTTAGATAAAAAATAGGTACATTATTTAGATAAATAATAGGTACTTTATTCGTAGTAGGTAAATGGTGGATGACATATAATACCTAAATCCTAATTGTAAGTACATTAAAATTAATGTAGGTATATTGGATGTTGTATAATGTAGGTATATTGGAATAGATAATTATGTACACTTTTCATACTAGGTAAATTATATTTTTCATAAAACAAACAAGTAATAGGTACATTTTTTTTTCAACATAATTAGTATGTATAGTTTTATTCATAAACAATTATAAAGTGGATTATTAGTCATGTATAATTCATAAAAAGAAAATAACATAAACATTTTATTAAACAAACCGATTACCCAAATTTGAATTTATTGTTAAATTTTTTTTAAAAATGTTTCAAAATTAATTCCTACATCCATTACAACCATTTGGAGATCTTTCCAAATTCAACATCTGTCATTATATACAATTCAATTAAAAACTGTTTCCATATTGATTCCTACATTAATATACAAAATGCAATAATGGCTTAGTTGGGGGTATTTTTGGAATCTAAAAAGTACAATAAATCAGATTTTATGCTTAATTAGGTAACTTGCTGAGTTGAATTCTAGTCATGGGTTTTTACTTATACAAATTGGGTATTATTTATAGAAACAAAAAGTGAAGGGTTTTAGGTACGGCAAATTGAATTTGAAGGGTGTAAGCCAAATTTACTATATATTTAAAGAGTATCTCTGACAGGACCCGCCCCGGAATTTCCCCCGAAACCGGGGCGGACCCTGTTTTGGTGCCGACATCATACCGATGCCGGGCCCATTTACTAAAAACCTAAGACATCCTACCAAAAATTTGGCAGAGTCTCCCCTGTAAGATGCTTAAACCCAACAACATTCAACCTGCATAATTTACATAATATAAATCCCAACTGCCAGCATGCTTTCAACATACAACAATTCAAAGTAAAGTGGCCTCCGGCCTCAAGTAACAGCCTAACATGGGCGATAACAGAGCATCTAACAGAATTTGATTACAACAACAGTAGAGTAGAAGGAATTTACACGAGTCCTATCTACAGATGAAATGTTTGGAGCTCGCAAACTGCTCGAACGCTTCCAAAAGCCACTACTGCCTGGGGGGCGCAAAACAGAAATATGTGAGTGGACAAAAATAAAGTTTGCATTTAAAACAACATAGTAACCCCACCATGTAAAAATAATGCTCAAGCATGCAGTCTCCACATCCATAAATCAAATACTCAAACATAAAATCCCAAAGTCCAATAACTCTCAAAAATCTCAAACCACAACTCCATTCCCACAAGTATGCAACTCTCACCAACCCATACATATGTATACCTATATAAGTATATATTTATATATATATCTATAATATAACATATACTTCTCTCCATACTAATGTACCGGGGAAGACAATCCAACCGGGGGATTGTTGGCTGGTACGCAGGATTTTCGAACCAGAACCCGCGTCCAGGGATGAGTAGTCCAACCGGGGGACAGAACTCCATAGCTCACACGCCGGCACTGCCAACGACACGTGTAGCTCACAAATCTCATATCAAGTCCTACGCGCGCAGACAGTATCATCACCCCACCGGCACTGCCAACGACGTGTGTGATGATACTCAAGCAATATACATACTCTTCCCATACGCCGGCACTGCCAACGACACGTATAGAAAGTGTCTCACACACCGGCACTGCCAACGACATGTGTGAGACCCGCAATCTCATGGCCTTCCCACCCCACCGGCACTGCCAACGACGTGTGTGGGAAGCCTAGTAACTAGGGAATGGTACTCACCTACCATACTCATACATCTCACAACCATCCCTCAAATCATATCTTTCCACAATCTCATAACAACAACTCCTCATACTCCGTACATAGCACAATCTCACAACATCAATCTATACATAGGCAATATAGATAGATATCCCAAAATCCATATAAACATATCCATAATACTCAAACATAGCCATACTCAAAATATATTGCCAATACGTATATGAATATCCAAATCCATCAACCAAATACTCAATAAATCACATTTACCATTTAAAAACATATGCACAAATCTTTTATCAATAAAACCATGCAAATGCTTGAAAACAAAGTCCACTCACAGGTAATCCCACGCTGCCCGGCCCCGAGAGGGTCCTGCCTGCTGCGAACGATCGACCGAAGTACCTATTTCGAGATACGAATCCTTGATTAATATAATACCCTTCCAAACGGGAATTCACAAAAGAGAATACTTAAATCCCCAAGATCCCGGTGCGTGTACGTCCAATAGGATATCCTAAGGTCCGGTTACAGGTTTGGGAATCGCTTCCCATCCTACGGTTATCGCTAATCCCACAAACTTCAAATTATTGAATCGGAACATCCGGGGCTCCGATTCACGATCCACGAATTCCTATAGGATTCTAAGAGTACCTAAATCAACATACTTCAATTTGGAAACGATCCAACGGTTAGAACTTATCGAACCCGAATAACGCACAATATGCGAAATCCGTTCGATAGTCAAACGACATCCAAATTGAGATTCGTAAAATCCTACGCACTCGTGACAACCTAAGGATCTCGTCAGGATGAAAAGCAACTTCAACAGCCTTGCCCACGCGCCGCCACACGCGCCGGCAGCGCGTGGGTGTGTAGAGAAATTTCCGGCGACGGAAAATCTCCACACCAACGCTCACCCTTCCTACCCTAGCTTCTTCTCAAGGTCAGGATCACTTTATTCAACTACCACGAGGTCCAATTCGCACGGGAACTGGCCGAAATTTCAAATTGAAAACCGGCCAAAACCTAGGTTCCAAATCAACTTCCAAACTTCAAAATCGTTCTAATCTAACCCCAAAAACAGCTAGAGCATACGGAGAGGGTTCGAAAACATACCAAACTCGACGGAAAAACTGGCCGGAATCGCTGCGCTGTCGTGGTGAAAACCGGGAGAAAAACCAGTCGATATCGTGGCCGGATTTCAAGCTTTCCGGTCGGGATAGCAGGTGGGTTTTGATCGGGACTTCACGACGAGTCGAACGAGATCGATCTCGAGGACTGAGGTGGACTGTGGCGGCGGCGGCACGGTGGTTTCCGTTCGGTTTGCACAGTGACGGGGGAGAACTATCGCACGCAGAGGGAGGAGACGCGGGAGAGAGAGAGAGAGAGAAAGTGAGGGGTAAATGTGAAAAATCTGATTTTTACCCCAAACTCACTTCGAAATAATTACGGTTCCGCCACCGAACTTATTTTGATCGCCAAAACTTCATTACAACTCCGATTCAAGCCTACCGCCTGTCTACGGTTTCGTCTCAGTACCACCTACGCAACCAAACCACTCTTGGTCCCGAACTCCTTCTGGATAAGAAAATGACCAAAATTACCCTTAACCCAAGAGTAAATTAATAATTCTCTTAATTTAATTAAAATAGGAATAAATTTGGAGTCGGGGTGTTACAATCTCTTTACTGGCTTGATATTTAAAAGCCTTGCTTGTCTGAAATTGCTGCCGCTTTAGAGAACAGAAATGCCTCCACTGTACTGGCTCGGATTGGCAACTGCTCTGTTGACAGCTGCTTTACATCAACTGGAATCCCTGTTTCTCTAATGGATATGAGTTCACTGGCTGCTGCTATGAAGAAAAGACAAGGGCCCTTCTTTGGCAACGGAGACTCGTTGCCCTTGGATTGTAACATGAGGAAAGAAGTAATGATGAGCAATATTGGATGAATTCAACATTTTCCTTTAGAAATGGAAACCCTCTTTTTTTTTCTTTTCATTTCCTTAAAAATTTCTTCTCTGCCTAGCTAATATGAAATGTACCATCCTTTGTAAATTTGTACCATCAGCGGTCTGTATATTCGTAAATCAGATTGTTTCCATGTGCATTGACCTTTATTTTTATACATGTCGATTTGCCTGCCTTCTAGACTTTTACACACTGGCCCTGGCATGAACATATATGCTTTATTTTCCTTTATGGATGTGAACTCAAGGCCAAATGGTTAAAGCCTTCGTTCTATGGTGAGACCACTATTGTCCCTCTGGGTCTCAAAGCCCATATATGTACATTATTTTGAAGAAGCCATAATTTAAGTTTAACCGGGTAATCCATGTAGCACTGCTTTTCAAACCATGAGGCCATCTCCAACCTTCCAGGCCGAATAGTGTCCTGCAACTGTTCGGAAAATACATGCAAGGTTGGAGAAAAAAATTATTTGAATTCGGAAAATACATGAATAGTTATTTTGAAAGGTGGAAATTTAGGTTTTAGCCTTTTTATGGTTGGAGATGGTCTAAGTGAAATGCCATTTGTCTCATTGTTATCTTTTCTTGGTGGCACAAATATGTGTTTATATGGGTATGTTGAGTGCATAAGCACAATTGGCCCTACTACATTTAGGATGAGGCATGCGTAGGTATATATATTTTTCCTTTTGATACATGTAATATCAAATACGAAAGAATCAAACATATGACCGCAGGAATATGGATAAATTTTCTTGAACACTTGAGCTATAAACTTCTTTGCACTTTGTAAACTGTTTCTGTTCGGAATATCCTCACTGACATCTCCTGTTGATTTAAGTTGCATTTTTCTTTCTATGCCTTAAATTCCTTCCTTGTGGCATAATGTGGTATACTATAAAGTCGCGTCCAAGCAAACATATTCTTTGATGAAAATGTGCCGTTGATATTTTAAAAACAGGTTTAAGCAATACTTTGTCTTCAAAAGCCGTAATGGCATTCTCCACTTTACCATCCCATTTTTCGCTCCCTTTTAAACCCTCTCTCTCTCTTGCTTGGTGGGTAGGTGCTGGTACTCTTTGTTTTCTCTTTCTGTCGTTGCTTTGTTTTGATACTACTGCCTTGCTCTCCTGTAAGAACTAGCTTAATTAGCTTCCATGAAGGGTTCAACTTCAACAGGTTAGTCGTCCCTCTTTCTTTGCTTTTGATATTTGTAGTTTGATTTTCTTTAGCTGTTAACTAGTAACTATTTTTTGGAAGAAACCCATGAAATGTTTCTACAAAAATCTGAAATTGGGCATTTCCAGAAAGTTTCTGGCTTCAATTATGTTTGGATTGGATTTGAATTTCTGTTACTGTTTGGTGTTTTTCACATAGCCAGCTTGTTCTGTTTGTTTCTTTGCATTTAATTTTTGTATTACAGTGTGTGATTCAATATGGATTATATTGCTTTGATGTAGTTAATTTAGGCTTCTATTATGCCTTGCTTATGTTTTTGTGTTTTTTTACAAGAGAGTAAGATAGCAGTCCTGTAATAAGATAAATGGTAGTGTTATATATGATCAATTCTTTGTGAAGACGCGGTTTCGTTCTTCACCAGGTTTGATCAAAATGAGTAAAGGGGAACAACGGAAGTTTTTCTTTTAGAAGCTTCCTTCATTTTTCTTCATCTTCTTATTATTTTTTCGTTTTTATTAGAGGGCTGGAGTTTGTGAATTTGAGGAGATCATAGACATTTTTTTTCCTAAGTGAAAACGTATTGGCTGTAAATGTAAGTGAGTTGAAGCTTTCAGTTGTAATATCAAAAGTAATGCAGAATTTGTTAATAGCTTTTCAAGTTAGACGTATTTGGAATAGAAGTTCTGCATCTGTTGTAGAAACTGTATATTCGATTATAATATTTGAGATATTACAACCTATATTTATACCCAAATTATAAGATATCTTTCTAGTATTTACAATGAAACGGAAAACCCATAAGTATACTAATAAAGGCTAATAACAACATAACAGCTAAAACACTAATGTATTGTCATTGAAGACCCTTAACTATGGTTGTAGAAACTGTATATTCGATTATAATATTTGAGATATTAAAACCTATATTTATACCCAAATTATAAGATATCTTTCTAGTGGTTACAATGAAATTGAAAACCCGTAAGTATCCTAATAAAGGCTAATAACAACATAACAGCTAAAACACTAATGTATTGTCATTGAAGACCCTTAACTATGGTAACTCCCGTAACCCCCTAACATCTGTAACTACTTTGGCATTGAAAAACTTCCATTAATAAGAAAATTTTGCCACATTTACTCTCCACTATGACATATCCATATGCCCTTAATGAGGAGATACTAGCTACTGGACCATCCCAAACAACCATTTGACCATTTTCATCACTAGTTTCACAACTATAAACAGCTTATCATCACTAGCCCCTCTCACCAATATCATCACTATTATTTTGATCACTAAATAAGTAAATACAGAACAGGATATATCTTGACAGGATATCGATTTGAACTTTCTTGTTGAGCTTAAATTGATTCTTCCTAATGTCTTATGTAAAGGCACATCTCATTGCTCTTATCTGAAGTCGTTATCAAACAAAGTAGGAAGCATGCTTTGTTGTCGTGATTCAACCAACAAGTATAGCAGGTTGGATGCAAAGCTTGAAAAGAAAATGGTTGAAGTTAAAAGAGGTTCCTTGGGCCGTAGCAATTTCAAGTCAATTGACAGCATAATCATGAGGTTCCCTCAGTTCAGGGAGGAACTCAAGAAAATAAGAGATGTCTTTGAACAGTATGGTAAGTTTTGAGTTGTTTGAATTATTAACGTTTTCACCTTTCTAAGATGCTATCATGGAGGTTTACTGAAAGTTCTCCCTATCTCCCTCTCTCTCTCTCTCTCTGTCTCTCATAGATGAGGACTCAAATGGAACTATTGACCTTGAGGAACTGAAGAAATGCTTACAGAAACTGGAACTCTATCTGACAGCGGAGGAGATTGAGGATCTTTTTCATTCATGTGACATGGATGGGAGTGAAGGGATACAATTCAATGAATTCATTGTTCTTCTATGCCTCATCTATTTATTAAAGGAACCTTCATCCTCTCATAATGTAATCACCATAAACTCTATTTTATTTCTCTCTTTGGAAGCAAATTTATAATGTCTGTATATATAATGTCTTGGGGATTGTTTCAGACATCCAAGATAGATTCGCCACAGCTTGAAGCAACTTTTGACACCTTAATTGAAGTATTCTCATTTCTGGATAAAAATGGTGATGGGAAACTGAACAAGACAGACATGGTGAAGGCATTGAATGAGGCTTCTCCTTTGGAGAAATCTCCTGCACATGTCACCAGGACTCGATTCAGTATTAATTCATTTGCTACTATGGTTAAACTGGTATTTTTCCTTTCTTCTATATGGTTTTAAAGTTCTCATAATCCATTTTTGTTTATCTGTGGGTTGTTGCAGAAGAAATGGATTGGAGCAAACGTGGGAAGGTCAGTTTCAGGGAGTTCCTCTTTGCTTTCATCGATTGGGTTGGAATTGACACAAATGAAGAAATGTCTCCGGTACGAAGTCCAAGCAAGTGATGTACAGTTTAGAAATGGGTGCAGTAGCAGTTGTTCAAATGAGGTCAGATTGATAAATTTATATATGTATATATTTCTAGAGCATTTTAAGTTTGTATAAAACGCTTTAGCTGTTCTATCATGTTTAATTAATGTATTATTTTCTTTACTAGTTTGAACCATCTTGTGAATCACTATGAGAACTAAATGATGGACAGTATTTTCACTTTTTCCTGTATCTGCTCTTCTGTGTTCTTTGTAAACAAAATTGGAGAAAATTTTGTATCTGTGGATCATGGCATTATATATGGCAAGGACATGTACCCATTTAGAGTTACGCTACTTCACAAAAAAATAATATAAAAAAACGTGCAGACATGATGCTCTTTAATTTGTTACACAAAGTCTAAAAGAGTAAATACAAAACTTATGTGTAAAAGATAAAAAGAGAGATCAGTTTCTCCATTATCAGAGCTTTCGGTATATATATTATCTATTTGTCCCTCTGTTAGGCCAATTGGGTGAGTTTCATTGTATTCCTAGAGCTTGGATCCTCTTGATTAATGACAAGGAAGAAGCATTCATTTGCCTCCATTCTTTCATTCTTTCCTCCTTTTTCCCATCTTCCATGAAGCATTTGTCGTTGCCATCAAGTATCCTTACTATCTGCCTCATGTTTGGTCTTAATCGTGGATTGGAGCGTGTACAGCCAATTCCTAGTTTAATCAGTCTCATCATTTCTTTGTGATTGTACGCTCCATTCAACCTAATATCTGCCAGTTCCTCCAATGGTCTTTTGCGTGCCTCAAATTCATGGACCCTCTTCACCAGTAGCACCTCAGGCCGTCGAAAGTCTACTGCCATCTGTCCACTAATGATCTCGAGCATTACGACGCCAAAGCTGTATATATCAGCCATCGGCGTTGCTTCCCCAGATTCCATATATTCTGGTGACATGTAACCAAAAATCCCACGAACTGATCTGCTTGTGTTAGAAGTTGCATGATGGCCATGTTCTTTTCGTGTCAAGAATTCAGCAAGGGCAAAAGAACTGAGCCTTGGGTTCATGTCTGGATCAAGAATAACAGCAGAAGAGGTAATATTTCTGTGAATTACTTGCTCATCCCATTCCTCGTGGAGATAAAGAACGGCAGAAGCAAGCGATTTGATAATGCTGTATCTGTGATGCCATTGTAGGATGGAATTGCCAAATCTGTAGTCATGATGGAAAAGCAGGTGACTCAGAAGGCGATCTGCTAAGTAATCATAGACAACAAGCATCTCTCCTTGCTCAGTGCACCACCCACGGAGCTGAACCAGGTTTCTGTGGCGGAGCCTTCCTAAGTTCTGAAGTTCATTTGAGAATCGTGCCCGCAGTGCAGGGCATGTTTTCATGCCAAGCCGCTTCACCAGGATATGATGACGGTTGTTAAGAAAGCCCTGGTAGGCTGTTCCAAAGTCCAGCTCTGCTACCCTTTGAGAATCTGCAAAATTATTTGTAGCAGATATAATTTCCTTGTAGGATATCTCTCGTGGAGTTTCTATCATGGGAAATGTTGATTTTTTCTGACGGAAGCTTTCAGAAGAGCTGACATCACTGCCTCCATATTCAGCAGTGGCATAGATGGTTTCTCCAGTGGCTGTGACAAAAGTCGATGAAATAGATGAAATAGTTGTGTTGGTAGTGGCTATTGTGTACCTGGTGTTGGTGCTGCCGTTGTTTGTGCTGGTAGTGGTGGGAGAGGATAAAGTGATGTACAGAGGGTGGCACTGAAATGATGGGAGAACCGGCAATTTTCCATAAATGTTGCCAGAAAGTGCTTCCACAACCCATTTCATGTTTGGTCTAGATTGCGGGTTGTGAAGTGTGCAAAGAAGCGCAAGATGAAACAAATGCTCCATATCAAAAAGCTTGTAAGACCCATCTGGAATCCTATTATCCCCTGCCTGTAGAAGCTTCCCTTCATCAGATAGCCTTCGGATCCAGTCGAGCAATATGATCTGATCATCTGGGCAAGTGAGGTCAACTGCCCGCCTACCTGACACCACCTCCAGCACAACAATCCCAAAGCTGAAAACATCAGATTTTGCAGTAGCAACACTTCTTTTTTGGAAGCTTTCAGGCGGCAAATACCCAATTGTTCCACCAATTCTGGTCGTCTCTGAGAGCCGAAACTGGTGATTTTTCATTGATGGTGTCATTGTTTGGTACTCAAGTTCATGTTCCAGCCACCGTGCCAAGCCAAAGTCACCAAGCCGAGCATTGTAATGGGAATCAAGCATCACGTTACTCGTCTTAATATCCCGATGAATGATCTGAGTTTCCAACTGTTCATGCAGATAGAAAAGCGCTGCTGCCAAGCCACTGATTATGTTCCTTCTACGATCCCAATTGAGAGGAGCTGACCCTATATTTTCAGGCCTCCTGAAAAGTATGCGGTCAAGGCTAAGGTTGGGCATGTAGTCATATACCAGAAACAACTGGTTTTCATGAACACACCATCCCCTTAGCCGGACAAGGTTCCTATGGCGGAGGTGAGCCACAGCCAATAACTCAGCCACAAAAGTCTTCTCGAATTGCTCTCCTCTCTCCACCAAGCATTTAACAGCGACCACAGTTCCATCACTTGGCAGAACTGCTCTGTACACTTTGCCAAATCCTCCACTTCCCAAAACTCCATCCTCACTAAATCCATTAGAACCGATATAAAGCTCGGAAAAGCTAAAGATCCTCGGATTGTCTCCTCCAGCCTTGTCCTTAAGTTGTATCCCATCCATGTCTTGAAACACACCCGAGTGCCGTTTCCTTCGTGTACTGTCATGGTGACAAAAGTGGATCCATTTGAAGTCATAATAGAGCCTGCATAGTGAATCCTTGATGAAAGCAAGAATATGACTCGTACAATAACCACGAGGATTCTTTTTGATCTCTTCTTTTGTGGGTTTCTGCAGCTTTTGGCAATCCAGCGGCTCGATTTCATTGAAGTCAGCTGGTAAAACGAAGCAGAGACGGTTCAACTGCATGGCTACGGCGGTGGTGGCTGGAGATTATGGCTTGAAGAAGCACTAGTTGGACATGAAAGAAGGTGGTGATCAAGATTTGGAGAATTTGGATTTGTTTATAGCATGTAATGTCAAATTGTCATGCTCGATGCCTTTGTGGTGCGTTTATTTTATCAACAGGCTTAGGTTGCATGGTTGAATTGAATGTATCAACCTGCCGAATTGGAACCTACCCCTTGCTGATGTCATAAAGAAGATTCTTTAAGTCGATCTTTTCTGGAACATATATACAAACATCCCCGATAATGTTTTCACGTGAGAAAACATATTATCTTTTCATACTTGGCCTTGTAAAGCGCGTGGGAACATGCTTCATCTTCGGCTTCTATCATGATGTTAATTATCAGAAAGGGACCCAAATTGCGACCCTCTTCACATTAATTAATCACCAAGACTTGGTGTAAAACAAATAATATTAAAAAAATGGTAAAATCTAATCGCCGTTTAATTATTCTCAGAATGAGACAAGCTTACAGCTCGCCTTGTCTCTTTTTCGTCCCATCTCAATGTTCATTAGCTTTATGTAAAACATTTTTTCAAAGAAAACGATTTTGTGTAATTGGGTTTACGGCTAAACGTTAGGATTTTGAGTTTATATATACATATAATTAAAAATGGAAAAGTTTAGCAATCGCTCTCAAAGCTATGACTTTCAATCTCGTTTTAAATCCTCTAAATATTTTAAGACATCCCAATTTTACTTCTCACCGTCAAAATTGTCACATTTCTGTTATTTTTTGCTAGCAAGCAAAGCAATGTCTACTGAATAGATGAAGAATACCCATCAATTTGAAAGACAAATTGACATATTTAACTACATGAGACAATTTGGAGCGCACACATGTGGGATGCGAGTCTCCAAGATATCCCCTACATATCACATCTAGATTAGCTGTGGTCCACTTTGCACCGACCTGAATGACTCATCACAAATCTCAATTTTCCGGCAGAAGAGAGCTCCTCCAATTAGGCAAATTACAAACAATATTTGGCGTAAGTGAAAGTAGAAGCAAAAAAGACGTATGAATGACATCCTTGTTTTCTAGAGTAACCATTAGTGCTTTGCTTTTATAGATGGCAGACAATTTACATTGAGATTAAACAACATTGAGATTTTGGGCAAATGGGTTTTGTAATTGGGTCAAATCAACCATCTTTCTTAATATTCAAGTCATTAAGAAAAATAAAAAAAAAAAGGATTTAGTTTATGCAAACACTGAGCTATATATAATATAATTGAATCACAACCGAAGGCGCAATCAGTGTGGGTAGGTAGGGATAAAAGTCAATAGCAATGGGACCATGCATGGTGCCAAAAGTTTATGCAGATAATTTAATAAATAAGTGAGTGGGTTTTGGAATTCATGGTAGTTTGTGTTTGGTGATTGGGTAACCTAATTTTGTGGCTGTTTCTTCTTAATATCTCAACTTCTCAGCCTCTTTCTTTCTTTCTTCTTTCGGTTGAACCTAAGACCAACAACTTCCATATCAGAATATGTGCATAAGCTAATTCGTATTTCCTTCTCATTGTTGGAAAACGTCTAAGTTTGAATCTTATATCTTTATTATTGGATTGGATGATACTCCTAGGGAATTGGCAATTGGGGTAGATACTTCGGAGGTGATGTAGTACGTTTGTACTTTGGCCGGATTTTTCTTCCTCGGAGATTTTTTTTATGGTTAAGGTTTTAATAATGTCACTTTTTTAACCTTCGATCGTGTGTGCCGTACGTTGCTTCGTTGAATAAAAATGCTTCAGAATCCATAAAGCCACAAAATGATGTATATGATTAAACCAAATATAAAGATTTGGAAGTTGACGACCACGAGTTACCACCTTATTGCATTCTCTAAAAGTACGCAGAATTGCTGGCTGTTAATGTCCAGACAAAGAGAGTGGATGCGTCAAGGGGCTACAATTGCTGTGTCAACTATTTTAATAACAACCTACGAATCACCCTCTGTACAAATATCTGCTAATCCTCCTAACTGCTTTGCCCAAATAAGTCCATATTTTAATGCCAAAGTTTCAGCTTCCAAAACAGAGGCAAAATCCAAAGGAATCTGCAACTGCAAGTTTCATCTGGCCTTTGCAATTCCTAATAATGAATCGAGTTGTTGGTCTTCTATCACGATATACAATACCATCAAAGTTAATTTTCCAAACTACTTTAAATCTAAACTACAAGGAGGGGGATTCGAACTCGAATACAAAGTGATGAGCACATCCGTTCTAGCCAACTTGGCTAAACTCATGTATGCAATTTGAAAATTTGAACTTTGAGTGGATTTTACGTCTTACCCTTTCATAGATAAATTACAAGTAATACACTAAGTCAGAAATTTGTAACATCAAAATGATAGAGACAAGGGACCTTAGGGACGACCTAAATTGGTTTGAGTTTTAGTATATTAATATAGGATATATTGAAAGTAAAAAGTCAATGTAATTTGTCATCTTCCACTCATGATAAAGGAGACACATATGAAGATTATTTAAACTTTTGGGCCATCTTAGGGGCTAATCCATATAATGTATGTTTGAGTCAATATATTTAAACTTTTGGGCCGTCTTAAAAGCGAAATTGAAAGCGAAATTGGACTCTATAACACGCGTCTTGACTGTTGAATGTCATAGGCTCATCGATCATGCCAACCAAAACGCAAAACTGGGGAGGTGGGAGGGCCAACTAAACTCCCACCAACTGCACCTTTCAACTAATCCACAGAAGTCAGAGAAAAAGAAGAAAAACTATCCGATAATATTAGTTTGACACCACTTCCTTTCTTTTTCCAAAAGAAATGAAAGCAGCTTTGATTATAAAAGGAGAACAGTTTGCCTAGCTCACCAGACTTATATATATATATATATATATATATATTATGAGAAAAGTAACTCAAAGTGATTGAGATACCATCAACTTTTTACTGTTCCAAGTGCATAAAAATTTGTTCATGAAAATTGTTAATGGATGCATTTTGAGTTTTTTTTTTGGCTTTTATTGACAATTTTGTAATAGGATTTTTATTGTTTTTATCAAGCTCAAGTTTAGATTAAGAATAGCTTCTCTAGGTGTTCTTAACTAACAACTATCTGATGAAGGTTCAAGCAAATTGACAAAGGTAAATTGTGCATTGCATCACAGTTGATTTCATAAAATGATGACTAGTCATCTATTTCTCGTATGACTAGTCATCCTTGCTCTGTAGTATTTCCAGCTGGATAACCAACTATTTTGTCATATTATCCTTTCTCTCTCTGCTGCCATGTGTCAATTCTAACCTAGGGAATTTTTGGGTGTAAAGGCCAAAGGATTCCTCATTTTGGAGTTGTCACTTTTGTAGGCAAGTTTTGGAAAGTTTCTCTGTAAACCTTCTATTCTTCCTCAAGTGTAATCTTCATATTTTTCATCTTTGAGTTTTTCCAAATGGTTTCTTTTTGAAAAAACCGCATTTGAAATATGAAAACCTCATCTTGCTAGATCAAACATTCTCTCACATATATCTAGGTCAAATTCAAGAGTATGGTTTCTTGAAGAAATTGGTCATTCTTCCTTTGAATCCAAATTTCTTTCTTGTTTGAGTTAGAGCTAGCCAGCTGGTATCATGGGATGAAAGAGCTGAAGAAGGAGTTGTCATTACCATGAAGACCTAAGTTGCCGGTTTTGCTAAGCTGGAGAAGAAGATTGCACAAAGAAGGTGAAGCTCATCTTCCTAAATAGACCTAGGAATTTCTTGAGCTTGCTAGTGTTTCGTTGTAAAAATCTTTTTGCTTAGTGGATTGCTTGGTCGGTTGATGACCCCTAGTTTTTCCCAATGGTGGGTTCGTGGGTGAACAATTTCTGGTTTCCATCTCTGTAAATTTTCTGGATAATTACCCATCGTCACCTAAGTACCAATTTCAATTGGTATTAGAGCACCAGCTCTTAACATAAATAGAGAGATCCTTCGGGTGCTAATTGGTATTAGGTGTGCAAACATAAAAATGTATCAAATTTCTCCTTGCATTCATGATGCGCTTGCCTTGTTTGTTAAGAAATATAGAAGGGTTGTCAAAGATAAAATCAAAGTCACTAGGAATTGTCAAAACCTTCATAATTCATCTACATGTATGTCTCAAGACAATATTTTTAAGGAGAGGAATTTTTTGGACTTTTATGGCTTTAGGGAAGACAAAAGTTTGAAGGGTCTTGTAAAGTGCTATCTATGTGGCAGTGCTGGTCACATTGATGTGGAATGTGAAAATAACCATATGACAAAGTCTAATGGGAGAGAAGAGTCAATTAGCGCATAATAGAGTGATAGTGATAGTGATAGTGATGATTCCAACAACTATATCACTTCATCGTATGAAGAAGTAAATAATTTTGCCCTTGTTGGTTATGTTTATAACTCTAGCCTTGCTAGAGTTTATATAGTTAAGGAAGAATCTGTGTCTGGAGATGATAGGAAGAATGACCGGTCATACAGGGAACAGAATGACCAATCATACAAGGAACAAGATGATCAGTCATACAGGGAATTATGTGAAAAGTATGATATGCTTTTCAATGAAACCTGTAATTTCAAATAACAGAATCACAGGATGGAAGAAAAGGTTAAAAAACTTGATGAACTGAATGAAACTCTTAAAATGGCCAAAAAGAAGTTGAGTGATAGCTTGTATGAAAATGAAGTTGACATGTATGAATTGTATCATAAAGTTAGCACTCTTGAAAAAGAAAATTTTGATTTGATTAAGAAGTTGAATGTACTTGAAAATGAAAAATCATTGTGTTCTTCATAGATTGATTTTATTTGAGTTTGAAAAGTTATTTGATGAGCATGAAAAGGTTCTCGTGCATGATAAGTTTGTGGTTAAAAATTCTGTTTTGCAATGCATGTTATTTGAACCAATGAAAGGAAGTATAAAGGGGGATCCCGAGCCTCTGTATTTTGAGATGGTGCATTACCTGCATTTCATAAAATTTGGACCATTCAACTAATCCAATACTTGTGAATATGCCACATCGGCTACAATAAATTTGTTTCCTTTTTAAAAAAGTAACACTGTTTAGTGCATTTGATAGAAAAAATAAATAACACTCCCCTTGACAATAAATTCTCTAGTTTCGCCTACTGTTCTCTTGGTTCTTCCTCTTGTTTTTTGGTTGTTGTCTGAGTTCTTCCTCTGGTTTTGGGTCTTTTGGCTTCTTCTTCTACTTTATTTCGGAGCTTCGGCTTACAAGAGGTGCCAACCAAGACATTGTAGACTCATAATTGGTTCTAGGTTTTCAGAAAACTGTGACGAGGAATTTCCTGTGCTAAGAGTCAATACATCCAAATGTTCTAAATAACAAGTAGGCTCTCCTAGTCCATCCCCTCCTCCCAAGTTCAGGTGTCGACGGTGTGATGGATTGTTAATTTGGAAAATTGTACTTTCTTCCTCTTTCTCACATACGTCCTTAATTCCATGGTTTGCTAACGATGAGTAGTGTAACCTAGCATTGAAGAAAATAAATGACCAAGCCCGTTCATCAATCAGAATATATAGTAATCAATTGGGTTGTTTTTATTATCAATTTTTGCTGATAATTACAGCTTGCAATAACAATCAATTGCAATAGTGTATTTGGAATTTAAAAGCTATTGATTGGAGCAGATTTGCAATAGCTATAAAGCCAAAAGAGAAAAAAAAAGAAAAAAAGATCAGCTTACAAAGACACAAGAGGGAAGAACCAAAAGAGCGGTAGGTGAGACTGGAGATGGAGGGATTTCTGTTGTTGTTGTCGTCACAGCCACTGACATCGTTAGTTTTTAAAAAAGGAAATAAACTTATTGTAGCCGTAGCCGATGTGGCATATTTATAAGGATTGGATTAGATGAATGATCCAGATTTTATGAAATGTGGGTAAATGCATCATTTCTAAATGTAGAGGCTTGAGATCCATATAAAGGGTTGCAATTTATCTTGGGTTAATTATAGGCTTTTGAGATCAATTGCGCTATAGTGAATAATATATGGTAAACTGTAGGGCACATGAACAGGGTTTCTTCTATCTGCGAGCAAAACAGTTGTTTTTAACCCCCCCAAAAAACAAAAAAAAACAAAAACTGTATAAACACAATAAGCCTATGAGTAGTCGCATTACGATCAGGTTGTTCTTGAATATTATGAATAGCCTCCAATCAGACCGAATTTTCTCGCATGATTTGAAGGCCCACATACCTGCCAAAAACACAATAGACAGAAAGAGCAATGGGGCACAGTAGAAAGCCATATTCAACCAAATGATTATTGAGAATCTTATAACATACCTGCCTAACATCATAATGTAGCCCTGAGGATGGCTACATGGTTCGTAAGGGATTGTGGAGCCATCAACAACGCGTAATGCTTTGATCCCTATAACACGGAAATTACCATCAAGCACCTTCCCGACGAGGCTTCCACCGTGATAATGCCAGTATGAGGCTACATTATCTCGACAAAATCTTTCCAAGGCTTTATCATCATTTTGGTTCTTTGGTAAAGGTACTCCCAGAAAATTGAAACCTTCAATACCCGGCACATTTCGAGCTTTATATGGTCTTAATGCCTCTGTCCTTAAGACCTCACCAAGCCTCTTCATGCCTCTAACACAAAGAGCAAGGTCTGTGGGATTTGAAAAGTAATTAAATCTAACATTTGGAGCGATGTTCACGTTAGATGATGATTTTAGCGTGACTGAACCATAAGACAAAGGTCCTGGAACTTGGCTAACAATATGAGCGAAAGTCGAATTTGGGAGGGGGTAAGATGTTGTAGGGAAAAGACTAAAGGCTGGTTTCGAAAGTGGCAAGCTCGAGAGAGAAATTTGGTAATATTCACTTTTAATGGCTAAAACAGTTACAACTGATGGTTCGATTGGACGTGGGGGCAAAATGTTAATGAAATTACGAGGATTGTCATACAAAAACTGCCCAACGTGAGGATGGAGACGAACAACTGGGATTCTCTGCGATAATAGGTAACGCTCTGGGCCAACGCCACTAAGTAGTAGAACTTGAGGCGTCCCGATTGGCCCTGCACTCAATATAACTTCTCCCTTACCGCGTACAAATGCCCGATGAGGCCTACCGAAAGAATCCCTATAAATGACTCCTATAGCTGACAGATCTGCATTAGAGAATGGCTTCTAGTTAATTATTATCAAACACATCAAACGGAAATATATAGGGAAATACCACAAATGCAACATACTTGATTTACAGGAAGAGAAGAGGATCTTCTCTACTGAGGCATGCACTGCAACTCGCAGGTTTTTAGGGTTTCCTTTATTAAGCAGTTCATCAGCTGCATGTCTCGTTCCATTATTGTCAAAAGTTGAGCCGGTAAGTCTAGTTCCCCGTATGTGATCCAAACTAAAACCATTGTTTGGAAGAAAACCAGCCTCCAAGTATGCCTCTCCTATAACAGATTGCCAAGACTGAGATTTTGGCTTGACCACAATAGTGTCCTCAACCCACTGATATGCCTTATTAACCAAATTCAAGTCCCAATTAACTCCTGATTGACTATAGAATGAGGTGTTAGCTCTGGCGTGGACGCCGGCACCGATGGTGCTGGTTCCGCCGAGGACCCTGCCTCTTACATTATCAATACCATCTTGGGACACGAACCTTTCGACTGGTGTCTTTCCGTCATCTTCCTGCTGCAGATTAGCTGCAAACCCGGATGAAGTCAAGGTGTTCGGATAGTCTATGGGAAGACTGCCCCTTTCGAGGAGGAGCACCTTGTATTTTGCTGATAAAGTTGCTGCCAATGGACACCCTGAGGTTTCTCCACCAACTACAATGTAGTCATATGATCCTTCCAACCTTCGATCAGTGGCGTTGTACACAAATTTCAAGTAGCGAAAATCTACGATATGTGAAAGAGATGAAGATTATTGTTTTGAAGTATATACATGAACAAGTGTTTGCATTGATAATATAAAGCACATGCATCTACTTTTTTTTTTCCTTTCTTTTTTGTGAATTAGGGAAGAAGAAGTATTACCATGAGGATGAGTATTGGTAAGCGAGTGAACCTCGGAATATTGAAGATGGACGAAAAAAAGGTGCAACACCAATAGTATAGCTGACATTGTTGATTTCTCCATGTTTTTTGAAGCCAGATATACGCGTTATATAGACTGTTGTTCATTAAAGGAACCTTAAGATAGTTTTCAAAAATACCTTAAATGCCCCTGAATATCGATAAACCTACAACTTCGTTTTCAGAGAACAAGACAGTACAAATAATTTATTCAATAAATTTTCACAAAATTAATTAATTTAATAAAACAAACTAATTAAGAAGAAAAAAAAAATTCACCTTTCATTTCTGTCCCTACTAATTGTGGTAGACTCTTTACTGTTATTGCCTCCACCCTATTGATAGACTTATAACTGAGGTAGGTAACAATACCTAACTTCTATGTATTCTGTTATTTTGTCATGCATTTTATATTATATTTTAATATTTTGGTTACTGTAAATTTTAAGGATCAAAACTTTCAACATGTTGAGAATTTGAGAATAGCAAACACTTGCGTTGCATTGCACCAGGCACCATGTGCAAAGAATACATACACATAACAGTTTTATGCTCTCAATTTTAGTTTCTATAATTTGGGCTAAATTATACTTTAGTGTCTGTAGTTTGAAGGTTTAATTACACCAATGCTCCTTGAATATATTTTTTATGATTTATTTTAAATTTTAGTTATTTTAATTATATTTTTATCCATGTGGAGGTGGGCTCCACTTGCCACATCACCCACTTAATTGGTGGATTCTGGTCCATGTGCACGAAATTACAAAAACACCTCTGCCACATCATCAAAGTTAACAGATTTTTGGATGGGGTTGACGGTAGGGGACAAAGGCCTAGTTTGGGATTGCTGCCGATTTAAAAAAAAAAGTTGTTTCTGCTGTGCTTTAAAAAGAATCAGCTGTAAAGTGAAGCAGTTAAACGTTTGGTAAACTGTAATTTTAAAAGCGCTGTGAGTATGAAAAGCAGTGTCAGAGCATTTGGTAATTTTTACCGTAAAAGTGTTGTAACTATTTATAATGACTAAAATGAACATGATGCTGAAAGTGTTTTTTACTAATTTGTTTGGTAAAAAATAAAACTGTAAAGTGCTTTTATATTTTTCTCCCAAATAAAACTTCAGGACTTCATGCTTCTGAACAAAGTGCATGAAGGCCTTCTATCTCTTCCCCCAAACAATACAAGAAAACAAACAACATAATAGACAATCTAATTGGCACTATCATAAGGTTAGATTACGAGGGAGACACTTTGGAATTGAATTTTAAGTTTCAAGTTTTAATGGAGAAAAACATATGTAAGGCAGGAGCACACATAAAGAAACAGAGAACATGTGATGCATAGGGAAGACAAAAGGCACCCTCCAACAACAACTCCAGGAGCTGCCATAGAAAGGCGCTTTGGCGATGCAGCAGCTAGTTCTACAGAAACTCCAGTAGAAAAAAAAACACAGAAGCAGCACGTCTACAAAAGTTTGAGAGATTGAAGAGATTGAAGAATAAATATATCACAGAAAATTATAATTAATAACTTTGAATAGATTGATAATCTACCTTGTGAAAGAGATTGAGAGAGATTGAGCGAATGGTTGTCTCCAAACTTGGGAGGCTACGTGATGAACTTGGTGTCTGCAGATTTGTGAGAAATACGTGAGGATAAATTTCTAACCTAATAAGAGTATTTGTGGAATTGCGAAAATTTCATTAAAGGGAGCGCGCTGCTTCAATTAAAAGCAGCTTTTAAAAGCAACCCATTGCTTTTAAAATAAGCATGATATTTTATTTTTACCAAACACCTTAAACTGCTTAACTTTAAAGTTAAGCAGGTTTTTAGCCAAAAAAAGCAATCCCAAACGGGGCCAAAGTGGGTTAGCAACCCTCGTAGGCTATTTTGAGTTTAAGGGGGCATAGTGAGATTTAACCAAAATTTCAGAGAGAATTAATATAATTAAGCCTAGTTTTAATTTTAGTCATTTTACCATTATAATTTGTTAACCGTTGCAAATCAAGAGAACATCACAATTACGTTAATTGACGGAGGTTGAGTTTTCAGTCTTTTGACATATTATAATGTCAAAATCTTTTAAGAAATATAAAATTAAAAAATTAAAAGCTAAAACAGCCCGGCAAGGGGAAAAAACAACCAAATTAAAGTTTTGCGATGCGGCAATGGCAGCAAGCTAGCTTCTGGCGCTCTCTGTATTGAAGGGTTTATCATCTATTCAGATGTTTCATGGTCTAATTTGATCGTGGAAGTCCTCCCCAACACAAAACAAATTGATCTGAAAATTCTTAAGCCTATGTTTTTCAAAGTTCTTACAAATGGCCACCTAGTTGGGCTATGCAAAAATTTTGATTTAAGAAAAATCAGAAGACTGAAATAAGTGAAATTTGGCCTTTATCCAATTGACTGGTTAGTCATTGGCTTACCTACCTAATGACAAATGTAGGCAATGCCCACACTTGCAAAAAAATTATGAAGATGCTTAAGACTCCTAACCATGTTTTAGCCCCTACATGGTCCACTGTCACAAAGCCTTCAAGGTTTTAGCCCAAAACCCCATATTAATTTTTTTATTTATAAATAAATGATTTGTTATAATATAATTAAATTATATAGATATATTATCGAATGAGATACCAGGGGGAAAATGACTGTTTGATAGTATATCCATATACATGGAAAAAAAATTTGGGTTTGCAACATAACTCAATAAGCTTCTCTTGTTTTTATTTTTTTTTCCCAACAAAAAAAATAAGAAAAAGAACTTATCTCGTTTATGTAGCCTAATCTTTTTACTTCAATTATTTAAAATTTCCCCACCTAAATTTTTCCTTCTTTGTGTATATGTACTCAATTAATTTCTTCTAACCGTATGTTAGAGGCCTAATCATCCCCACCCCACCCCTCAAGTTAAATGAAAAAAAAATATTTTTTTTAAAAAGAGAAAATGTCCACACACAAAAAGGTTACTAGTATTCTTGTAATTTTATTACATAATTTTACATTAAACTATTTATAATTTTCCCACCTAAACTTTCCCCTCTTTGTATATGTGTACTAAAATAATTTCTTTTAACCGAATGTTAGAGAGGTCCCCACCTAAATTTTTGACTCCACCCCTCAAGTTTGTAGGGCGCGCGCCTCTTTTACTTAATTTTATGACATAATTGTTTGCCTAACTTTTCACCTCTTCATGAACTCATCTAATTACTTAATTTTGTTACGTAATATCCCCACCTAAATTATTTTTCACAATAGCAAGGCAGCCCCCCATACGTGGGTAGAACATCACAAAGTCACACATTGAAAAACTTGTCACGTAATCTTACCACTAAAAATCCGTTTAATAAGCATTTCAAAAGGAGGTGAAAAGTTCATCTCCTAATCTATTGAGAAACTTTTGGTCTGTTGTTATCAAAGAATCATGAGGTGGATTGTTACATAAGTTGGTGGTGGCACCATTTCTTGTTTGCTTAATGGATGCGTAATTACTTACGGCCCGTTTGGATTGAAGGATTTGAATTTGGATTAAAGCCCAATTAGTTCAAATCTATGTATTTCAAATATATATGCTTTTTTTAGTATATGTGATAGTCTAAATTACAAATGATGTCATAGGGGTTCGAACCAAAGACCCCTATTGTCTACAAATCAAGGTCATTTTCCATTGAAATAAATCCCGTTGATAAAATAATTTAAGCTATGGATTTCAATTTCAGATTTTAAACAATCATTTAAAAGGCACCATCTGGATTCACGTACCCCAAACAAAACACAAAGATAAGCATCTTATGAATCACGTTTCAACACTGATATGTAGCTTTATTAGCTAGCTCTCTACAGTAACTTTCAGAGATCTGTGACAGTCAAGAAGTGTACCACTGTGCATTGACTCCTCCTATGTGAATCGAATCGGCAACAACATGATGAAGTCCAGCAAAGTATACAACTTTCTTGTATGAATAATAAACAATGATACAAAGGCATTTAGGATCATAGAATCGAAAAATATTTTTATTTAGAGTATACTTAGACAAGAAGCACGAGGAACTTTACATTACAGGAGAACAAAGTGATAACTTGATATGTAATTATTCCAGCGCATTTCATGAATCACATTTCATTAGTGAGTGTATAACATATGGAGAGAAACTGAACTTGCATCTTCAAATCCACAGCTGAGCTAGCACAAGCATGCGTTGCACGATTTTGCTTTTGATTTCTTTTGGGTACAAGAGGTTTGTATCGCTTGAACAAGCAATGCCTTCCTTCTTGGAAAATATATAATAGGAAGCACCCCTTTGGAAAGTAGGATAAAGAATAAGATCATCACTCCCCGGGATAATCTTTTGTCTGCCTTTTTTCTTTTCTTTTGTTTATTTATTTATTTTTTAAATTTAGTTTAAACGGTCTAAGAAGATACTTAATCAAAGTTAGTTCATTGGATATAATTAATCTTTACTCCATCAGCATAACATAAATAATAGCGAGCGAAAATTATATAAAGAAAATTTCAAATTCGCAAACCACAATAAATGAAAACTAAAAGTTATGATTATCTAACCAGTCCTTATTTTTTGAATGGTTGATCTTTGAAGGAAAACTTAAAGAAGGAAAAAGGCCCTTGAATTTCATATTAGAAATCTCACGTTCAAATTCTCATAACATCATTTGTGTGTTTGTGAGAAATCTATCTCCCTTAAGTTTAGACTATGTACTTAAATATATATATATATATATATATATATATATATATATATATATAAAGAAGGGATGGTTGGATATATAATAATTCTCTGGAGTGGTATCACAAATTTTAAAGGTTTGCTATATATATATCGCATCACTCATACACTAGCTAGAGAAGGGCAGACATGGGTACAGAGGTTGAATCCCAAAATGCCACGGTTTCACAGGAGAAAATGAGCAATAGCCTGTTTGAAAACGCCATGAACGGCGAGTGGGAAAAAGTTGTGGAGGTCTATGGATCATCACAGAGCTCAAAAGTTCAAGAGATGAGGATCACCAGAGCGGGGGACACTGCTCTACATATCGCTGCTTCGG